GGCTCAACAATAAGGACTGCCCGCCCGGTAGTGCCCAATGCCCCCAGGGCCAATGTGAAAGACGCTTGGGACATAGAAGGAATTGTCACTGTCCCGATTGCGCAGTGCTGCGTCACCATAAAAGTTTATTATTTGCACATTTTTATGTCACGTCAATTAAAGTATTTAAGTGATTTTCACGCCTCTCAGACAGCGTGTAAATACTGAATTGCGTTCTCTTTCGCATCTTCTTGCACTTGAAATTTTTGTGCTATTGCTTGTAGTTTTTTTTTCTTTTTCTGACTGTTTACTTGTCTTTAATAATGTTTGAAATGTATTAGTTAGGCTAGTTTTGCTAGGTGGGTTTTGCTAGGTAGTTTTGCTTTGGTATCGAAATTGGAAATGAGATTTGTAAAGGTTTACTGGTATCTGTATCTTATTCATCAGAATACAAGGTTAAATGAGTCAAAAACAATGAAAACAATAATAATTGTTTTAATTATTTATTACTCACTTTGTGGCAGGGCTAGTGAACATTTTTGCAGGGCAAGTAAAAATTCAAACCACTGGCCAGTAGAAAAAAATCCCTAGTGTTAAGCCCTGATGTATATGCTTTGATCAAAGTTTTTATGTAAATAAAAACCTGTATTAAATCTGTTCATCATATAAAATGATCATGTCTCTTCAGGAGCCTTATGGATTACTTTTACGTTCTCTTTATTGATTTTTTTTTTTTTTTTTGAAGCGTCAAAGTTTTGATGGGATTCACTTTCAATGGAGGGACAGAAATCTCTCAGGTTTCATTAAAAATATCTTTTGAATATGAATGAAAGTCTTGCAACTTTAGAACGACAAGAGAGTGATTAAATAAATTACCGTATTTTCATTTTTGGGTGAACTATACCTTGAAGTTTCAAGTTAAATCTGGCATAAACCCCTATTATTTGTACAATTTAAAAAAAAGATAACAGCGAATTGCTTTTAAAACCTGGGACAGAATTGTGTAAACTGTTTAATAATAAATAAATAAAAATCTAATATCATTTGCATCCAGTATTCTTAATCAGACTAGAATTGATCATTTAAAACATTAATACTAGCCAATACTGATAGTCATTGAAATTTTGTGCTATTCTGTGTTCACCTGGTTTATTGTGTTAAATATCACCATTAAATGTCTGAAACAGTCAGTGATAACAGTATAGCACTGTATTCCCAGGTGTTGGAAGCTCTGCAGTATGTGGACAGCACTGGGGCGGTTCAGCTGAAAGGACGTGTGGCGTGTCAGATCAGCAGTCATGAGCTGTTACTGACTGAACTCCTGTTTGAGAACACTCTGAGTCCTCTCGCACCTGAGGAGAGCGCCGCCCTGCTGTCCTGCCTCATCTTCACACAAAACACCCAGATAGACCCGCACATCACCAACACGCTACAGGAGGTAATGCAGTTCTCTGCTCACAGCCGCATTCCCACGGTCAAGGAAAAACCCGGAAATAGTTCACATTTTGATCCCAGGACTGGAAAATAAATGTACTAAATTTAAATCAAAAATATCATTGTAATACATTTAATAGCATATTATGCTATTTTAAAGGATTTGAAAAAATGCATACATTTTCTTATTCAGTCTCTCTAAACCCCGCCTTTCTGAGAGCCTACTCTGCTCTGATTGGTCAGATGGCCCAGTCTTTTGTGATTGGTCTACCACTTACAGCAAGTGTTGGAAACGAATGCCCATTATCATATATGAATTTCAGTTCTAGAGGCTTCCTTAGCACTTCTATACAGAGATACGAACAGTAATGACAGCGTCGTCAACGCAAACCAAAGTTTTGCAGGCCTCAACTACAACTACAGTGTTCAAAGGCGGGTCAAAGTAGACATTGTTCGCATGCAGCTAATGAAGACCATAGGCTGGCTGGCATTATGCTAATTTGTTGAAGACCTACTTAGGTTTGTGCAGGAAGAAAGACTGGAATTATTTACGACTTGTTTCTGGCAGTTCAGAATCATTTCTTTCTTTTAGGAGGCAAAACTCTTATTTATTGTCCACTTTGATCTTTTGAAACTTTGCAGACCTTTTACATTCACAAACAGCTGTATAACATTCTACATGAAATGTAATATCTGAAAAAGCATAATAGGGGCACTTGAAAGCCAATGTAACATTTAAAACTTGTTCAAGCCACAGATTAAAAGCTGAGGAAATTGTATGAATCACACAAGTAACCTAATTCATTATGCTCATCTAAAACGCTTCAAGCATTTTATTTGAGCCCACATCCATTAGAATATAACGCATCCGATACGCTTGTCATCATGTTTATGGATGGATGTAAATTTGTACAGCTCTGTGAGCTCAACACCCAAGAGATGTGCATAAGAATCTAATGGATGCGACCTGGCCTCTTTGCTTTATGCCTTTCGCAAAGGATGCAGTCGCAGATGAACATGCCGGTGTGTGTTGTCGAACGGCCCAGAAACATGGAATTGCTTTAAAGGGACAGTGAATAAGTCATGACACTAGACTGGAAAGCACACAAGAGTTTTATAGTTCACAGTGGCTTGTAAACCGCTGTGAAAATGCTCTTGCTGTTGAAACGCTGTGAGGTGAGGGCGTACAGGTAATGTAGCCACAGTTTGACTGCATGACTACATTGCCTGCCTTGCTCTAGTTGTGTAAGCACTTAGACATCAGATGGAGACAAGAGTGGAGCACAGGACAAAACAGACTGACGCAGTGCTATACTAAGAGATCTCACTATGAATAATATACAAAACTATACACATTTTAGCCCTTTCAATCAATTAATAGGGTTAATAATTGATGCGTCCTTGCTGAATGAAAGTGTTAATTCCTGAAAAAAATAATAATAATTCGTTCTGACCCCAAACTTTTGAATGGTAGTGTATGTAATAAAACATTATATAATATTTAATATAATGTATCTCATTATTCTCTTATTATCTTGCTTTTCTAGGGCATCAATCAAGTACTCTGTGTAGCACAACGTATTGGGGAGCTGCAGAGGGATTGTGGGATAGGTCAAACTGCTGAAGACTTTGTGGCCCAGTTCAAGTTTGGCCTGACTGAGGTTGTGTATTGCTGGGCAAGAGGCATGGTGAGCACTGACCTTAAAACAAATAAAGAAATGATATTTATTTACTCCCACACAAACAAACATGGCCTACATGTACACACACACACACACACACACATATATATATATACCTGTATATATATATTATTAAAAGTTTTTTTTTTTTTTTTTTACTCCGACACATACATTAACATACAGACATACTAATTAATTTAGCGTAATCTATCTTATAATAAAAATTTGTACAAACATGTAGATCTATGTAATGCAATGATATGAAAGTCTGATCAAAGATAAGCTATATTCATTCATATTTAGACAGAGACAATTTTATACCTCTTTTTGATGGTGTTTTTTTTTTGTTTGGTAGCCATTTGCTGAGATTGCCGCGCTGACAGATGTGCAGGAGGGGACGATCGTGCGCTGTATCCAGAGGTTGGACGAGGTCCTGAAGGAAGTGAGACAGGCTGCTCGCATTGTAGGCGACTCCGTCCTGGGCAGCAAGATGGAAAGAGCCTCACTGGCCATACGCAGAGACATTGTGTTCACTGCCTCACTCTACACACACTGAGAGACAGGAGGAGGCAGAATGTTTTTGTGTGTTGATGAGTGTGATGTAAAAGAGAGTGTACAGAATATGGACCTAAGAATCTGTACTTGAATTATTGAGTGCATGTTTACAATGAGTTGAGTATGCATGTATGAGTGAAGAAGTGATACACTCCTCACTCCTGACCAAAGTTGTAATCTCAATATGAAATGGAGGTTGACACCAGTTATGAACTGTAAGTGATTATACAGCAATAAAATTAGCTGTATCTGAAACACTGGTTTCATCCATATTGTCAGAAAAATAGAAATAGAAACTTTTGCTTTGTGATCATTTTAAAAATGACTGCTTTTATTTTTGCTATTCTGAGATTTGGTCTGATTTTTTTTTTCATTTTACTTTTGTCATGCAGGACTTTTCTTTATATGTTTTTGATGCTCTACATTTTGCTCCCTCTGCATCCACCTTTTATCATTGAATATTGTAAAAAAATAAATAAACAAAATTCATGATTAGTTTTAAGATGAATCAGGGATGTTACCACCATAGATATGGAAGATTTTTTACATTTATGGATTTATACACCAATATTCAGATAAGAGAATGATCAATGTGTTTTTTTTTTTTTCCAATGAATGATTCGTAAACTTTTACATTCGGTCCTCCAAATCCTCAATATTTGATAACTTTTTGAATTTCAAATTATCTCAAGAATTTTACATCAACTTCTGTATTCTTCTGCTTTCAATACATTAACTGTTTATGATAGAGCCATTATGCATATTTCACAAATAAATCTCAATTGTGACTGTAGCAATCAATATAGCTTAACGTTTCATTCCAAATAAAACAGTTTTTTGTGAGTCTAGTGCTAAATTTCACAAAACATAAAAGATTAGATTTTTATTATACAATGGTAAAACCATCATAAATTAATATGGGATCTCCTTTAAACAATGTGAGATTGTATTATTTTAAAGTCAATGGTAGCTAATGCCAAGATACCACAGATTTATTGTAACAAATAGTATTATGGTAGTTTGGCGGAAACCGTTACCATGGTAACAATATTATTCGAAAAGCGTTCTTTTTATTTTTTGTACATCTGTTTTAAATGCTCTTTATTAGTTTTAGTTTTCTTGAAGTTAATTATATGATGTGTGCGGCATGGATGGTGTAGTGTGGTTCTGCTGCTGTCTCTTTAAGACGCTCTGGTTAATACAGTGTAACTAGATGCGTTAGTTGAAACCTGTTTTTCTGCTGCTGCTGATGCTCTGGATGTTGCAGTGTGACCGTGGAAAAAAAAACAGCAACAGACATACAGAGGCTTTTACACCCAGATAAACCCAGCCTTTACACTGCATACATCAGTATTAGCTATCATCTGAAGATGCATTATAATTAGCCTGGAAAGACATCATCAGCATCGTCTGTTGTGATCTGACACAAAGACAGTAACGTTACTGGTTGGATTTGGGTTTTTATTACTGGAGGAACAAACTGAACATCGTCGAAACGGACAAATAAACACGATGTCGTCGGAAAAACACGGTAAAATGTCTATTTTATGTATTTGGTCACATCGCAGCTAACTAAATGAATTCATGCAGCTGGAATACTGATTTAAATCAAAGGCTATTTATAAAAATGAGTGCGAGACAATGCCATATTAAAGGGCTATTAAATGACCATTCATAAATAGTATGCATTCTTTTTCTGTTAATTCTTATTTAATCTATTATACCATATATGCATAGGCTATTCAGACTGTGTCAAATCCTAGTGAGGTGCCTACATAAGCATCAAAAGCGCGAAACGTTAATGTCTTTTGTCGCGTGCTGCAGTTTTGCCCATTATAATAATGTGCTGAGCGTTATTATAACATTCTGACATCAAATGTCGAATCAACCCTTACTTATACCTAGCGGATGATCCCCATAAATGCTGTCTGAGTAGGCAGCTCGCTATTTGAAACAGTCGTTGTGTCCGTTAGCTATTCGCTGGTGTATAATGTCGTGTTGAACATATAGGCCACATATAGCTACAAATATAGGCTCTCTTGAGTTTAATCAAATGAGAGAATAGGCACAAAGTAAGTGTTGTTAAAGGGTGTTGTATGAGGCTGTAGGGCCCTATTTCAGTCAGCAGGTCCCTTGGGTCCGTGATACACCGTGCTGTGAGATGGAGTGCCGTTATAAATTCACTTAAAACTGTAACGTGATTTTATGGTTTAGATATAAAAAAAAACCTTTGGATTATCAATAATCTTTCTTGCGATCAAAAATCTAATTTCAGGGTATTGAATCACTGTCTTAGCTAATAAAAGCTGTAGCCTACATCCGTCTCACCTCTTTGTCAACCCATAGACAAAGAATGAAATTATATTAATGATTCATATTAATTGTTTTGTATGCTTAATCTGTAGGATGTTGGACAGTAAGGAGGACACAGACAACAATATTTAAATATGCTCAGAAAATGATGCATTAAATATGCATCCTTGTGCATTTTTTTCTCTCTTCCAACTAATTAAATATGAATTGCAATGCCTGAAATCCCCCTATACCATCCTGAAGACCTGAACTATATGCTGCTGGCATTGTGGATTACATAATGATTTCGCGCATAGCAACACACACACTGGAAACTCTCTTGGGTGACACAAGCTGGTGTAAATCTTATTCAATCTTTACTGTAAAGGAATATTCCAGGTTGAATCCAATTTGAGGAATTGGAGAAAGTATAAATAGTTAAAGCATGCATCAGTTGACATCAGAAAGTAAAAATCGTATTCATTTTCTCTATATGGAAATTGATTTTCAAAGATAACTTATAAGACAGACCTGTTGTGAGCTCGGTGGTTGTTAACTGATGGTATACATTTTTATTGAAGTCATCAGTTTGCATTAATTCAACAAATTTTTTAAAGAATCATGTTTAATAGTGGAATTCCTGGCGAAATTATTGGCATTATTAATGGTTCTGCATAATCTTTACCAATCAAAGAGTCCTGGCGAACAAATTGTGCCAAACATGCTCAGTCTCGCCATGCTCTCAAAATAGGCTACCTAACTATTTATATATATGTATATTTTGCAATAAACTTAAATATATTGGTTTTTATAGAGATAATCATTGACTTTAAATGAATAATTCTATATTGCTCTGTCAGTTTTTTATATTCAGTTTTCAATTTTAATATGTAATTCACAATGCTTCATGGGATTGTAGTTTTTCCCTCATTAAAGCCTTTAAGTGCAGTACCTTTGTCTTTTAGTCCAATTTTTCATATACTTTTTTTGCTTCAAATCAAAGTTTGTAATGTTGAGATTCACCACGTAGCTGGTCGGTTTGGTTTGGATGATTTCATATTAAAATTTTAATTTTACTTTAGTCATTTAGCAGATTATTTAATCCAAAGAAACTATATGACTTAAATTCATGTCACACGTAGAATGCAATCTTACTGTCTGACACTCTTTATTTGTGTTGCATGACTGTCAATCTGTCATGGCTCAGGATTGGAGGAGGCAGCAGGGAGGCAGGCCATGTCTCAGCCGATGATGCAGATGGCTCCACCTCCCTACCTCCCCAACCAGGACCCCAACATGCCCCCACATCCTCCTCCACCTGGCTGTGGCCAACAGCCGAATTACCCCCCTCCCCCTCCCCCTCCTGGATCAGATGGGTACCTGCAGGAAACCCAGTTCCACTGCGGCACCCTCGGGCCCCAGGGAGCTCCAAACGGATACCCGGTGCAGACGCACGGACCAGTAGGCACCGTCCCTCATCCTCCCGTGGGCTATTTACATACAGGATACCCCCTACAACTGCAGCCCTGCACGGCCTACGTGCCCGTCTATCCCATAGGCACAGGGGTGAGTGAGGATTCATCTCATAAGGTATTATTTTGAGTCGGCATGAAATGAAAATTGCAATCTAAATGCAGGCATTGGAAGATTGTTGACCTCATAATCATAATGTTTAATCAAAATGTCATTACTCAATTTCTGGTGAAAAGACAGACTTCTTTCTGGTGACGTATGCCAATCATACTCTTCCAATCATTAAGTCCAGTTAAACCCTTGCAAGCTCACGTTCATCACCACTTTTGAGAGCAAAACCCACATCTTAAAATAGAGAACACCAAGTCCCCCTCCTGCATTTCTACTTTTTTTGATAATCCGTTACACTCTGGTCTGGTGTACATCACAATACAGAAGAAAAAGAATTTTACAGTAATATGGTAATTTATTGGAGTAATTTATTTATTTATGGTAAAAATTTTTTGCATTATTTTAATAGCCATAAGCTGGATCTTTATATATTTAATATTATGTGAAATGGGATTTGAATCTTTGCAGTAAAAATTCAATTCAAGACCAGCAGAGATAAGATGCAAGATATATCAGGACAATATCGTTTGTCTGCCAATATGTGTGAATTTTAAAAATGTAATATAGTGTATGTAAAATAATATAGTATTACCATAAAGGGATTTCACTAGATAACAGCAAATATATACTATTTTAAGTGTACTCTCTCTTTACTGTACATTGCTGTATGCATTTAGAACAAATGAACTTTGATTATGTTACTTATTTCAATCTTATTTTAGCTCCAAATAAATTATTTCAGCTTAGCCAATTTGCAAATTGGCCAAATAATTATATTGTAAATAAATTGTCATACTGTATATTGCGATTGTGTTTTGACCTGCAAAATGTTAATAATAAAAATGTGATAATAAAAAAATTAAGACAAGAAATATATTACTGTTGTAGTAATACAATTGTACTGTAAAAATAATAAAAAATATAATAATTATAATAATTTTACACTAAATGTTATTTTACACTACAATAGTAAAGTTATAATACTAATATTTATGTTTAGTTGATTAATCTTGTGAAATTCTAACAACTGTCCACAAAAATATTGGTAATTATGCAATTATGAAATAAATGTCAGCCTTTTGCACACTATTGATAATCACACTATGTGTGATTTTGCAGCCCTATTTCAGCTCATTTCAACACAGTTCTATTGTGATAGAGTAAAAATATTCAAGGTCCAAACATTTTTTATATTATTTCAATCCACCTGCCAGTGGATGAACCCTGCATGACCTACAAAGAGATCAGATCTTTTTCTGAATCAGAAAATATAGAAATTATGCACCTCAACTGTGCACCAGTTTCCGTAACCTGTCTGTTTCCTCTTCTCAGGCACAGCCTTACATGCCTAACGGTGCACCTCATCCAGGTGTTGCTCCCGGCCAGATGGCCATGCATATGCCAAATGGCATTGCTCTCATGGAGTCTCGTCGTCCTCCTCACGACTATCTGCCCATCGCTGTCCTCACCACTGTCTGCTGCTTCTGGCCCACAGGAATAATCGCCATCATCAAAGCTGTGCAGGTAAATGACCCCGGACAGAGCTCTGATGACAGTAAGGCAAGATATCATTTCTGTTTTGCATTGGATGTTCACACAAGCAAGATGCAACTAAACAGGGGTGTGTTTCCCATTCACATAACTCACTGCTTAACTAATAAAATGCATCGTTGGAGAAATTAACTAGCTAGTCGCGACTCTTTCCCAGAAACCGTAATAACGTGGCCACACCTCTGTCGTTTGAACCAAGCTGGTATAATAGGTAACATGTTATTACACTTTCATTACAACTACATGTCAACTACCAGTCATTAGAGTATTAGTAGACTGTCTGCTTAAAGGAGTCATGAACTGCATTGTTTTATTGTTTTATAATGTTTCCTGGGGTGCAACTTATAATGTTAGTATGTTTTTTACATCAAAAGTTGTCATAATTGAGAAATAAAAGGCATTTTCCTACCCTGATTTTAGCCCTCTGATTTGAACGCTCTGCTGTGAGACTTCAGTGTAAACGCCTACTGCTGTGATTGGCTAACATCTTTGCATATGAAATAGCTGGTATTACCTGTGGAACTCTATCGAAAACCTTTAGCACAAAAGTGTTGATTATTAGCATTATATTTAGATCTATGGCATTTAGATTGTGGCATGAAAGGTTGCAGTGATGAGCATTGTAGCCGATCACAGACACGTTGAGCACATGAATGCAGTGAACTCGATTTCTGCACTCTCACGAAAGCTTTCATCATAACTAACAGAGCAAACACAATGTAAATAAGAGATTTGTTGATTATAACCAAATACTATAGACAAAAGGGACTTTGTTATAACTTATAATGGGAGTTTTGGCGAGAGTCCAGAACTCAGTTCACTGTTTGATTGACAGTTCCAGCGATTGTAAAGGGAGCGTTCTTTGATTGCTTTCTATGTATCATTTAATAGTTTAAATAACAGATTATTTTCATCCTACTTAGAGAAACAATGTGAAGTTGACCATTTAGTCTCTGGTTTGATTTATTGACACATAGACAAAGACGATCTGACTGTACATGAATCATTACATATCAGAAATCACTGGTCACAGATCAGGCATTAGAATTAAAACAGTTACTTACATGTTGTGACAATACTGTCTAGTCCATATTGTAAAAGTCTGTTTGCAAAGCCTGTGCCGAAATTGCGACTGATTTACCAAATAATCCTGTTAAATGTACCGAATACAAATAGCCTAAATAATGCTCAACTGAGACAATAACATTGTTGAAAATAAATAACCCCATTCCTAGCATTAGGATCCTTTGTAAGGTAATGGAGTGATCCTGCATCTTTCTTCTCTCTTATCTCACTAACACACCAGTGGGCGGGGCCAAAGTTGCAATGATGAGGTATGCGTTGATTTTCTTCTGCAGAGGCGGTCTTTCACCTATTTATTAGATAGGCACATTTCACAACGAGTCGTACACTGGGCTTGGTTACAATAAAAGCAGTCCAAGCTGCCTTGGATTGACAAGGAAGGTTTTAGTTTACGTACTTACAGGATGTTCATATAGTATGATGACCTCTTATATGTCAAAAACTCAAAGAAAATTTGATTTCTTATTTCATGACCCCTTTAACATCTGCTAACACTTTATTTTGATGGTCCTTCAACAGACATTCTGCTGACTATATAAGTAACTTTGCAAATACATGTCAACTTATTCTACTAACCCTAATATCTATATACAAGTACTGAGTAATATTAATTAACTACATGTACTACTTATAGGGCTAGGGTTGCATGTAATTATGCCTAATTTATAGTTATTACTATAGTAAATACATGTAATGTGTTTCAAGGACACATTAAAATAAAATGTTACCTTTTTTTAGCATCAAACAATTCGAATTAATTTCAGACTTGGTACGAAGAGGTCTTTTATCTGTTTCATCTAGATATCAACTAAATACGTTTTTTTTGTTTTTTTTGTTTAGGTGCGTACTGCTGTTGCTCGGGGCGACATGGTTACGGCAGAGATTGCTTCACGCGAGGCACGTAACTTCTCCTTCATCAGTCTGGCGGTGGGAATCGCCTCCATCGTGCTGTGCACCATACTCACCGTTGTGGTCATCATCGCCTCTCAGCATCATGATGACGACTGGGAGCCCTAGAGACCGTAGTGCAGGGACGCACCCCCTCAACCTGCCCTACAGACCCCTGGCCAACATTCCAGTCGGTATTCTGCTTTTTCTCTCACACAGCACAGTTCTGACTTCTCAAGCCACCACATCCTAATCTGCAGTCAAAAATACGACATTACAGCCATTTGCCCATGTATTAGTTACAAGAGAGATCAGCAGTATGGTAAATCAGAACATGGGAAACACAAAACGTCTACCATGTTGTAAGCGTGCTCACACTCACATTAACCTACCTGAACACTTCCTGCTTCTCCTAAACAAAAGCCTGTGTTAGATCAGTAGTTTAAAAATATAGTGTACTGAAGACTTGAGTCAGGACAGATGTGTTATTGTTTGCTCTTAAAATTTGCCAAAAATATTACTTTTTAAAAGAAACACACAACAAGTATTACAAGAACATAATTTTGGTATTATTAATTGTGTTTTTTGACATTCAAAACATTCCGTATTTTATTTGTGCCATTTATCTGTTTAAAAAGAAAGATAATATATTACTTTGTAGGTTGAACTGACTAATTTAGTCACTGAAAATGTGAATAAATTGTGTTTTCTATAAACTAAGGGCCAGATTTACTAACGACTTGCATCAGTGCAAACCCTCTTTTGGCGTTAAAAAATCTACTGTCAGGATTTATTAAAGACACGCAGTGAAAAATTAGCGTTGAAAAGGCATGGGCAGGGTTCTTTTTGCGGCTTACCTAATTGTATATGAATTTGTAGTAGTTACCCTTTTAAGAAGATACATTTATGGGAGGAGAGTATTTAAATTAATCATGCAAGGTGATTTACTAAGGTTTGCGCTAGTTAATTTACTGGTATTTGCGCCATTATTTAACGGCCCCAAAAAAAAGCATGTCTTAAACCAGGTGCTAATTTGCGCTGCTCTTGGTAGATTGCGTTGGTCATTATGGAAATGATCCGGCTGCATCTATCTTCTTTCATTTGCATGTCGTCAGTAGATCACGCTAAGAACTTTCCACTCCCATCTGCGCTTTTCTGGAATTGCGATCTCATGCTAATTTGTCCTGTCTAGTAAATCTGGCTCTAAGTTTTGAAATTCAAATCCAAAAAGACTACTTGATTATTGGAAATAAGTTCCAATATAATAGAACTAGAATTTCAGATGTCATTTACCCAAAGGAACTTCTATGGTGTAGTTCAGAAGAGTGTATATCAGTATTGTTCACTCAGTGGTTTCTTTTCTTAAACCTAAGGCCAGTAATATACTCTACGCAGTACACAAACACAGATGCAAAGGCTTGGCTAACACATGGCAGCATGCGGTTCTGTTGTACATATTTAAAGCTAGTGATGCACCGAAACACCAAAACCTAAATTAAAGTTTTCATTTAGCTGAAAAACGGAATCCAGATAAAGTTTGGGCAATTAAACTTAGGTAATTGTTACTCATATTACATTTTGCTATTCTAGCATAATTTCTGCTCATGGTGAAATGTGCCTACACTGTTACCTGTTGTAGATTTTCCACATCGTGTGCACAATATAGATGCTGACACAGTCAAAACGCTTCATCTGAAAAGCTTTAAATGTTTCAGTCAATGATTTCAGCCCTCCAAAACTATTTTGGCCGTAACCAAAAATTATATTTATTGCCGTTTAGGTCAAATTTTTTGGTTGTTGAAAATTTCATCGCTATTTAAAGCTGCAATGTTACATTTTTGTGCTAATAGTGGCACAAAATGGAAATGCAGTCTGTTCATTCTCAGTCAATGATTTCAGCCCTCCAAAACTATTTTGGCCGTAACCAAAAATTCAGTTTATTCCTGTTTAGGCCACCATTTTATTGGTTGTTGCAATTTGCATAGCTATTTAAAGCTGCAAGGTAAAATCTTTGCTCTACTAGTGGCACAAAATGGAAATGCAGTCTGTTCATTTTAGAATCCCTAAATAGCAACATTGGCTTAACCAATAGTGTGACTTTGGGGCATGACTAACCGATTATCGAGACGAGAGTACCTGTTTTATTGCAGCTAATGGCACAGAATTGACACACTGCAACTTTGACAATAGTTTTACCGCATGTGGTGTTATTGTGGTAGCCCGCCATAAAAAAAATAACTAACTTTAATAAACCGCCTCAGCAGGACTTTCTTCAAACTGTTAAATTGACGAAGAAAAAGACAGTTTATGCTCATGTATAGCTCCTCTTGTGGCAACACGGAGAATGCAATATGTATCATTTTGAATTGCTGATATATTTTGCAGTGCAGCGACATGTGAAAATAGCTAAAAGCATTTGCGTTCATGTACTTGCGTAGCGTACGCCTCGGGCCTAAGTGTTCCCAAGTGTCTTGTTGCAAACCGTTCTTCAAGAAATCCAGTTCAGAGATGTTGAAAGAATGTATTATAGGGTGAAATTATTGCTTCATTACTTACTTTTGTAAACTGGCTCTTCATTTAGGGAAGACATGACATTTCTCTGTTGTGATCCAGTGTATTATTTATTGTTTAAACACTAAATTATTAATTTGTGTATTAAACTGATAATTCTGTATTTATTGAAATATGTAATCATAGGTCTAACTGTTGTGCTGAAATATTTAGTTATCTTTCCTAGATAACAGTCAATCATCATCATCACAGATGATTGCTCAGCTGGCATATTTTAAAGAAGCATGTGGTAATATGCACTTTTATGCTCAGTAAGCAAGTGGCTAGTTTGTCTCACTTCTTTGTAGATGAAAGTGTAACTTGCTTCAATTCTGACCTCATTGAAACTCCTCACATGCTGCTGTCAGTTAGCTGTAGTTTGTTAGATAAACACATTTAGCACAATGGTTTGGTTGAACAAAAAGAATCAAACAATCCTAGAGTGTTCCTACATATATTATACTGAAACATGGATGCAATGTTTTGGATTTGTAAGACTCTAATATGGGAATTTATCTCTTACTGCTTTCAAAATGCATCCATTCGTGCCATTCACTGACTGACTGTGTGATCTGTCAAACTCTTTATTTTCAAACAAGAAAAACCCCCAAAATGAAAATCCTGTCATCATTTACAACACACCCTCATGTTGTTCCAAAAACCTGTATGACTTTTTTTTGGAGCTTGATATCCCCAGTCCACATTTGCTGTAATAGAGGGGTGCAGGGATGACAGGCCAAACCCAGAAACGAGTTGCATTTTAGCACTTCCGGTTCCATCTTCCCGAAGTCAATGGATTTTTTGTTAAATGCTTGAAATAAGGTCTGTGGTGAACACAAGCTCAAGAGGTTTTCATCTTTTATTATATGATATAAAATGCATCAGTAAAACCCTCTTGTGATTTTTAAAGCTTTTACTTGTCTTGTAAAAGGCGGTTGCCAACAAGTGTCTAAATGGGACCACAGAGGTTGTCGGGGACATTAAACGTCATCAGCCGAACAGGTGAACTCATTTTACTCACTAGTCCACTTTCAAAGCCTCGTTGTATTTATAATCGCGCTCTTGCAGACTATTATAACTCAAACTTTCAGAGAAATGTTTTCATACAAAGACTGAAAGAGACTGGAAGCTTGGTGATGGTGACGTTGAAGTCATGCGACTGTGGTTTAGTTCTTTTGATTTCTGCAGATTGTATTTACACTTCAAACTTCATAAAAGTGGTGTTTATTTGTGAAGATTATCATGATGAACAGAACGTGTAAGAATCATAAACTTTTGTTAGTCAAAGGCCTTATTTTCTGCAATAATCCAAAAGCCAATGGGAAAATCCTATTGGGTTTTTGTCGAAGGAACCAGTGTAATGCTAACTTCCGGGTTGGCCTACAAAAAAACAAATGTCATCCCTGTAGCCGGGATCTGATCAATTTCTCCTGTTGTATTCCATGGGGGAAAAAAATCATAAAGGTTTTGAACAGGGTGAAAGTAAAAGTATTTTCGTTTTTTTGGATTGATTCAGTGTATGGTATTTTCATTTGTGCATAAAGAATTTCTACATTTGCAGGCTTGACAGTTGTGACGAGAGTAAAAATTGCTTATTGTCTCAGTGAAATATAAGAAAGAGAACAGCCAATTTTGATAAATGAATGTGTCCCATGATTAATTAGGAAAGACGGAAGGAAATCATATTTTGCATCCATTTTGAGCACTTTCTGCCCTCTTCTACCATGCCACTCAATTTTAAGATTATTATTTTTTTTTTTTTGCTTGTGTAATTTGAACTGCATCATATCTTTCTTTTCCTGCTCTCTTTAATCGATTTCTAATATCTTTCTGATCTATTTTTGAACAAATGCCTTGCAGCACTGCAAGTGTTTTGCTGAACTGTTTGTTGAATGACTTCAGATGTATCGTTTATACCTGTTAGAGGTGTGATTGCATATGGTCATATTTATATGGGCTATGTCTAAAAATATGGCCCTCATTTTCTAACTAAGAGAGAGCATAGTTTCAATAGAAATCCTGTCTGTTAATAAGACAAGCTTGTCCAAAACATTTTATTTTGGTGTTTTAAAGTTGTGCAAACACTGTACAGTTGATGTGAAACTAGCTCCTGTTTATAATTAGACCAGCAATATGCTTTTTCACAGTTGTGATATAAAGCTAATGCTTTATTGTTATAAACATGGCCACTGAAATCTGATTGCCAATAGTTACTGCACACCGTTTCTCTAAGCTTGTAAATTTGGCAGATGGTTTATTCAAAATAGCCTCAAGCTTAAATAGCCGCAACCTTGTATTTGTGTGCTTCTAGAGGTTTATTCTTCTGTGAATCTCACGAATCCTGTCAAAAACATGTCCTGGTCATATTTCTCCTCAAGTCAACAAAATGAAATATGATATTATAATACTCATAAATAGAATGAAGCTTATTTAGGACCAGTCTAATTTTTTTCATTATTTTAATGCCAGTTACACATTTCCCCCATCACTGTAAAAAAAATTAAAAACATTTAAAAAAAAAAAAATTCTTGCCGAGATGCAAATCTAATGAGAATCACCATTGAAAATAATGGGAATTCCTCAGAATTTTGGCAAAACTTAGCTGTATTGTCATTGAAAATAATGTTGCAATGCAAAAAAAAACTCAATATTCCCTGAATCATGCTTCATTTTCTTTATGCAAAACAAAAAGAAAAGGTTATTTTATTTTTAGTCCATTGAATATGGATATAGTCGTGTGAATTGTGACCCAGACATGTTTTTTTTATTTGTGTGTGAGATTTGCTCTTTAATGAGACCAATCATTGATTTGCAGTGTATGAATCCAGTGATTTGAATTAAAGAGGAATACCTGGTTGTGCAAGAATCGATTGTGTAGCGTTTTCTCTCCCTCTCTCTCTCGTGTTTGGCCTTTCTCTTTGTCTCAGAGGTGCTATTTATAGTTGCCCTGTTTTTTCTCTCCATCTCTGAATCTTTTTCCCTTGTGTCACTAGAGCTGCAGTATAACTCCACATCACACAACTGATAAACTGATAGGAGGGCGCCAGTGCCTCATAAAATGCTCTCATTTACATATTGTATCCATTATGTGGTGTGCAATAATTGCCCAGGGGCTGCAGCTCTTCTCAATCTGTAGGGGACGTCATTCTGTGGATCAAATTCAATATGATGCTCGGCCATCAAAGTGAGGGAGTGAAGATAGCTATCAGAAAGCATCAGCATGACTGTGCCTGGCTGCACAGGATAGAAAATATTATAGAATAATATAATAGAAATTAAAGGGCAAGAGAGGGATCAGAAAAGTGCTAAATGAAAACATATCCAACTCATATTTCCCCTCATTTAAGTTTTACTCATTATTTGTATGCAGCACTGACCGATATGGCAGTCGTCCTGGGTTTATACTGACACCTGGTGGTGTGGATGCACAATGTAAAATCAAAAGCTTTTCAGTTACCAATGCCAAATGTACTTTTTGCAGTCAGCCACGATTAGTTTATTCAGGATTAATTTATTCCATGAAATAGCAGGGGGGAAAAGGGAGTAGAATTCGGTTGGTCACGTGATCTCAAAATGGCAGCTCCCATGAGGTGACCCGCTCCATGTAAAAAACGAAACAAAAAACTAGCTCTTATTAGGCTACTGATATAACTTCTTTATATTATCATGTTACTTTATATGTTTTGGGAAATGTGGGAAAAATATTTTTGTTGAGGAAATAATTAAAGTTCTTTTTTATTTCTTTGTTGTTGTTGTCGTCATGTTTGGATCAAAAATGGACTTACCCAACCATTGGTTTAAATTTATAAATAAAATTTAAACCCAACGGTTGGGTTTTCCCATATTTGATCCAAACATGGGTTGAAACAACCCCGAATATTTTAGAATGTATGACCAAAATGAGTTTTTTATGTAAATTTTAATTTTGAGTTTTTACCATTATTCTCAAAGGTGATTCTCATTAGATATTCGAATGGATATAGATCCTAATACATTACATCTAATTCATTTTGTCTAAAATATTTTTTAATCATCATTATTAATGGTTCTAAAACAGTGTTGTTATTGTTAACTAAAACAGTTAAAAATCATTTTTCATTAATTGAAATAAAGCTGATAAGATAGATGACAAACTTAAACGAAATGAGCAATGTTACATTAGTAAATAACTGAAATAAATAAGTTGTTAAAGTACTAAAATTACTAAAAGTAAAACTGAAAAAAAAATACATTAAACCTAAATAGAAAAGTACATAACAAAATGACTAAAACTTAAACTAAAATTAAAACTGAAAATATAAAAACAAAAACTAATTCAAAGTATAAATAAATATTACAAAAGCATATCAATAATACTAAATAACACTGCCTAAAAATATAGGCTTCTTGATTTTTAAGTCCTTCTTTTAATTTTGGGGTGAAATATGACCTGGATTCATATCTTGACAGGTTTCACGAGATTCATCCAAAATGGAAAGAGGTGGGAGAGAGGAGAGATGAATCAAGTTAGAAGGAAGCAGGCCAGACTGTGTCGGTAGGATCACAGATGGTCGTTTAGCCTCCCAAAGAGACCCATCGTTTCAGTAATCGTTTAACACTGCAGGCCTGCCGTCTTCCACCACACAGTTTTGCCTCTTCTTCTCTGACCCTCGCGGCGTGTTTGTGTCACCCATACTGCGTCCGTGTACTCACCCACAAATCACCTCCACAGCTCCATCAAGGCTGATTAACAACCTCTGTTGGACAACTACATCTGATGTACACGTCCCTCACGGTGCAGTGCTGCTCTGTGCTCTGTTGGTTAGGATTGCATACCCATGTAGGACTTGTGCCAAGCTTTGAGCTGTGCAGTGTAGATTCACTGACTCCCTGGTTGATTCATGTTGACACCATTACTGTCATTTCCTATCTCTTCCACAGTGGCTCTCCTCTCTGCTCTCACTGTCCTCCCCTCACCAGAGACTTATGTAAGACCTGCACTTTACTCAGTGCCCTAACTAGGCATGACAAGTTTTCAGTGACAAGTCATTTCTCTGTCTACACTGAAAGAGAAAATGCTGCAAAATCACAGCATATTTCATGTTTAACATATTTCTATAAAACAGATTACGGCAAATCTCAGATAAAAATAAACATGAAATCAAAACTGACCCTATTTACTTAAATACATGTTCATTAGTGGAAAAAAACTAATTTTGTCTTTGTAATTTTTTATCAGAATGTAATAACTAAACTTTCCTATGTGACTGACATCATCAATTCTTCTTATTTCTAGCCCCACCCCTCCAACTACTTATAGAGGCACTTTTCACTATCCAATCAATTGATACAATGGTAACACTTTACAATAACATTATAGTTAGTGCATTAACAATGAACAATACATTTGTTACAATATTTAATATGTTTTAACGTTAGTTAAAAAAATAAAACTGTTCATTCATGTTAGCTCAGGCCCATTCAATTTGAATTATTTTAACATTGTATTAGTGAATGTTGAATTTAACATTAGCTGAGATTAAGTGTTTTTCCATTGTTGGTTTATGTTAAATAATGTAGTTAACTAATGTTCTGTGGAATACTTGATTCTGATTGGTCAAGCGAGCCATTTAGCGGTATGTTATCCCCTGGTAACTGAAGACGGTGCTTTACACTTGCTAGAACTTCCTTGTGGAAGTTTTGCGTTTGGTGAGCTAATAAAATATTAAAACTCAAATCAATATTTTGTGTACAGTTATTTAATTATGTCATCCGGTATCACAGACTCGCTCTCTCTTGTTTCATACAAACACAGCTATCGCCATTTTGCGACGATTGTTTTGTACACTGTAATGGATAATAAGATAATAAACATGTACGATTTTTAAACATTTTCATCTCAAATCAATATCTCTTATCCCCATAATTATTGATGTGGTAAAATACCGTGTAATAAGTGGTATGACTGTACTGAATCCCTTAAATGTTCATATAGTTTGCGCATAGCTTGCTAGCAACCGTCTTCTTCGCGGAAGCTTTGTGTTAAAAAGAGCTAATGAAATATTTCGAGTCATATGTCTAATTATTTACTTATGTGACAAGTAGCTGTGTAATAAGCGGGATAATGTGCATCCAGCCGGTTGTTATCGCAGAATAAACTCAGACAGGGTGATCAGGACCCCCCGCGTGAAATTTTTCCGAAATCCATGTTGATGAAAGTGGAGGAGAAAGCTTTTATCGCTTGTTCCTTTGCATCCGGTCGTGACAGTGATAATCAGAATCTTACTGTATAAAGAACCGCAAGTCAGTAATAAAAAATACACATAAAATACAAAACTATGTGGTACTACATTTTGTACCAGTGTGATGGCTTATCAGTTTGACTGGTTAATACAAAAACTTAACATGGAAGAGAAAGGAATAAATTCTTACTTCATCCTTTCACACCTGATGAGCATATGGAATCACATAGAGACCCACAATAAGTCAGGAAACAAATATATATTTCGATACACAGATGAAATCATGACAGTTTCAAGAGCAGCAAGAACAGTCTGTGGCTATATCATAATTGACAGCAAAATAATCATCCCACAGAAGATGACTAATACTTTTTAATGTGAGATTTGATTGTCATGTTCCATCTACTGCAGGACCTTTAACTCCACATACTCACACAAACACAGAGATGATGTGCAATGATTTTTCCCTGCAGCTGAAGGCCGCCGGGAAGGAGCAGGAAGCTTGTTTGAGACTAGCAGTCTGACATAAAGTGCACCGTAGGTCATCAGGAGCTGGTAAGCAATATCCTGAAGAAAACCATTACACATATTTTTTACTTTAATTGTTGTAGATTCAAAGTAATACTCAATGGTGATCCATCAGAGGAGGCAAGAGAAGCTTTTTCTAAATATAATACTATTCTAATTAATACACTTTTATAACAGAATAATAAAGTTGCATAGAATGAATCACGATGTATTTTTAATCATATCTTAGGTGAGTTTGAATCACTGCAGGAATGAGAGAGGAGTCTTATATGTATCCGATGATGCATAAATTGAGCAAACTGGTTATGCAAATGATGGAATATTTTCTTATAAATAACCAATAAAGATCAAATACATTATAAGAGGGAGGCTCTCAAACTGCAGGTGACCTGCATGATTTGTCCCATTCATTTTCCTATACTGAGTCTATGCTGGGTTGATGATTAGAAAGATTATTGTGCTTCCTTACATGGAAGCATATGATATATAATATATAGATATATGGGTAACACTTTACAATAAGGTTTCAACTTTAGTTAACATGAACTAACAATGAATTGCACTTCTACAGCATTTATTTATCTTAGTTAGTGTTCATTTCAGCATTTACTAATACATTATTAAAATCAAAAGTTGTATTTGTTAACATTAGTTAATGCACTGTGAACTAACATGAAATGAACAAACAATGAACAGCTGGATTTGTATGAACTAATATTATCAAAGATTAATAAATACCATAACAAATGTTCTGCATATGGTTAGTTAATGTTAGTTAATACATTAACTGATGTTAACAAATGAGACCTTATTGTAAAGTGTTACCGATATATAATTTTCTATTTTAAAAATAGTAAACATACTATAATCTTCTACTGTAAAAATGTGAGTTGAGCAGGTTTGATCAATTTCCATTTTCGGCCTAATTCCCTCTCAAACCGCCACTGGAAAGAATATAGTGACATTGACTGATTTATTATTCATATTAATTATACTTATTTTCACCTGATTTGAGAGAGTGGCATCAGGCATCAAGCTGAAGTGTTTTGTGAGTTTAGAGTCCTCCCTTTGACTGGTTGATGAACTTCTCTCTCGTCCCTCCACCAGCAGGGGGCGCTCTTCTTCTGGAACCTCCTCGTCCTGTAATCCATCCTCGGGATCCAGGGTCGCGACCTCAGTCACTAGAACTAGGTGGGACATTCTTTTCTTGAGTTTGTTCTGTAGGGTAAAATGGGAACTTTGTGAGATACACTTAGTGTCTATCTGAAATAAAAGATGTTTACAAATTGTGTATCTTATTTTGGGTAACATTTATTTTGTGTCTAAAATGTTTTAATAGTTTTTGTTCTATAATAACCCTGTTCTCTCATAATTCCCTTGTTCCTATCAGAGTTAGACTAAACAACCCATAAACTGTTGAAGTACAATAAACGTGGATGTTTAAGTCATTTCAACTGACTTCTTGTATCTTGTAATCTTGTATAACTTATAAAAAACAGTTGAAAATTGCTTAACTTATTTTGATGTGTTAAAGCAATGTAAAAACATTGTTTTTATTACTTATTGATCATATCATTTTTACAGTGTGAATATGTATCCTGCAGCATTTGAATTTAATCTTGACTCTACAATTGTTTGATCTACCATTATATTTGAATTACAAATTATTATTTTTTATTGATTATTACTTTCTGTAGGGCCAAGAAGCATCAACATAATAACAAATCAATAAACAAAAGCAAGCCAACCTGTACTTGATCCCTGACAAAACTCATGTCATCAAGTGCTTCCACCAGACAATTCAGACACGGGGACAAGTCCCAGTATACACAGAAGAGCTGGAGAAAGAAAGAAGGATCAAGCAAAACAGCAGTTAAACAAGTTTGTTCGTGACTTTAAACCTTATCAGTTCCATCACATAGACTACAGAAGGAAATAAACAAGATAAAGATGCAACCCAGGAAGGTATTCAGTTATCTGATTAAACAGTACAGCTTAAAGTCTCTTATACTCTCATACTTATAAACAGTTAACGATTAATAACCAATTTCTGAAAATCTTGCTTATAAATTCAAACATTGTAATAACAATGTAATATGCATTTACATAATTTTGGTCAAAACTTAATGGAAGTGTTCATTTGAAGTTCATTTTTCTTTCTTTTTTACTTCCAAACAAAAACTAGTGCGAGAAAATCAAGAGCAAAGGATGCTGGTAGTTGTGGAGTTGATTCTTAATATTGTATTTTAAAGGTTTAGTTCATTTAAAAATAAAAAATCCTGTCATCATTTATACACCCTCATGTCGTTCTAAACCTGTATGAATTTCATTGTTCTGTGGAACATAAAAGAAGATATGTCAAAGAATGCTGGTAACCAAAAGTATTTTGGTCACCATTGACTTCCAGTGTATGAGAAAAAAAAAAAAAACATTTTGCAAAAGAAAGAAAGACATACAGGAACAACATGCGGTGAGTAAATGATGAATTTTACTGATGAGTAAAATTGATGAACCCTTTAATGTCACCACAAAATCAAGACTGACCATTCTTGTTTTTTGTGAAATATTGCAGTATTTATTAATAGATTCATGCACATTATTTTTTTTAATTAATTTGCGCTTGTTATCTTTAATCAAAATAACTTCCCCTTCCACTTACAGCAAAAAACTCTTCTCTGATGATGTGTTTACTGGCATGAGGACGGGACAACCTGTCACTCACACGACATCACATCGATAGCAAACCAAGGATCCAATGATCCAATCAATTACCGATGGACATTTTATCTTTTTTCGAGAAGCCATTTCACACGGATATACTGTGTCACAATAAACAATAAGCAAGAAGGTCACAACTTCCGTTTAATGCTTTAAATTTCCCATGCTGCCCCAGAGCACAAAATGTGTACAAAGTTCATTGCACAATCAACACTGCTCCTGTTCTTAATATAATGCGTGTCTACTGTGTATACTGTATCTAGGCTCATGCTGTCTGCAAGTCTTGTCAGAATGATCATCAGAATTGTCTTTAAACTTTGACTTTTCGAGTTGGGTGACAATAAAAGTTTTATTGTGGAAGGTAAGAGGAACTGATTATCAATTACCTGCAGTTTTCCTCTGCATTTATGCACCCAGTCGGCCACTCCCAACAGCAGCCCGTTCCTGACCATGTGCTCATTAACCCCCACCAAACGCACATCTGTGTTCATGTTGATCTGCAACAGATACACAAACACCTGTTAATATGCATTAAAAAAAGAATACAGGTTTATTCTCAAAAATGACTGAATTAGACCTAACAAGAAAGAGTGATGTCATCAGACCCTGATCTATCATGTGACATCCCACCTCTTTGTTGCTGTAGTGGAAGATGAGGATGATGGCAGCGGTGAGGATTATGGACAACAGACTGACACACAGACAGAGTACCCAGATGTTCGCTGTGCTGCCTCCAAGGTACATGTGAAGGGTCGAGTACACAGCACACCACAGCACCAGATACAACAACTGCAACAGACACATAACAAGCAAAACAGTATTTCCTTTAAGTTTCCTAAATTCCTGCCCGGTAATTTCATCTCTTTACTGATTTGTAATTGTGGAAAACAGTGAAAGGTGATCAGGTAAATGACAAGCTTGTAAAGAGCATGATTTCTGGGGGGGTCGGTACAGTTAAAGAGACTTTAAGCTGTACTGTTTAATCAGATAAAATAAAAATGTTTAATTCTCGCTCAAATTGACCTTTGTACTTGCACATTGCTTTCTGTTTGTTTGCTAGTCGAGTTGCAAAGCAGATCGAGTTTGTTTGCAAAATGCTGGATTTGTTTGTTTAATTATGGCACAATATTAACTCCATAGAATAACCCCTATTTCAAAAAACGGTGGCGTGTTCCTTTAATTTTAAGAGATTCATTTGCAGATTCAAGAGTGTCTCTGATTCTTTTTGTTTGTTTGTTTTTCCAGATTACATCCAACATAGTGTTTCCACATCTGAGATGAAGGCAGTTAAAAGAACCAAGTGGAATATGAGAATAAGCTGTTCAAAAAACGCAACCTCTCTGAATAATGTGTGGGAAGATATATGCATGATTTGTAAATAAACACTTTAAATACATTGTCTTACTCTCAGCCTGTTATTTGAAGTAAAAAAAAAGAAAGTAAAATCACATTATTTCTTGCATTGCAGTTTGAGACATTCACTGTTATTTTGTACCTTAATTCATTATATTGCAGATGTGTGAAAATAAAACTTATTCTGGATATTCTGGTTGTATTTCGATGGTATTGTACACCATTTTATTAGTATTGCATTTTGGTAGTATTGTAATTGTACTTTAGTTGTATTATGTATTGCAGTACTACCGCAGTTATATTGCAGTATTATTGTAGTATTCTTCATTGCAGTAATACCGCAGTTATATTACAGTATTATTGTAGTACTACTTCATATCAGAAATACTGCAGTTATATTGCAGTATTATTGAAGTACTACTTCAGTTGTATTGCAGTAAAACTGCAGTTGTACTCCAGCTATACTGGAATATTGTGTCCAAAAACGGTATTTTTCTACATGTAACAAAAACTGCAGTATTACTTCTAAAAAAACTGAAAAATCTAAAAACAATGTTTAAGGGGGTAGCCAGGCAATAGACCAGTTACCAATTCTGAGTCGTCAAGACAGCCGTGCCGAGAATTCTAAGACGAAAACGGTTTGTAAACGTTCCATGCCGTGCCAGGCTCAAGTGTAAACACAACTGGAACCGTAAAAGCGGCTATTGATAGCCAATCAGAATCCAAATGACTTTGACAAAACTGCAGCATGCGAACAGTCATAAAAACAGAACAGTAACTGTTGTGGACGCTAATAGTTATCTCGTTATTGTTATCTTTATAGTTATTATTATTGGTGTGATAATACAATACCGCAATGATAATGCTTAACAATTCACGAAACATTTACAGTTTGCTATTTATTTAAATGTAGTTTATCTAATATATCTTAATTTCTTTAAGAAAAATATGATTTCTAATAACATTGTTTGGTAGCACTTTATTTTACAGTGTCATTGTTACACGTTACATGTAGTTACTGTTCTATAAATTATGCATGATTACATGCAACTAACCCTAAATCAAACCGAGTGGCACTTTATTTTATTGTTCCTCATGTATACATACTAGCTATATAGGCTACTTATTATAGTAATTGCAATAATTAGGTTATAACTAACCTTGGCTTGAACCTACCCCTAAATCTAACCCTTACCCCTGTAGTTACCTTTTATTACCCAGTAAGTACACTAAGTACCTGTACTGTAAAATAAAGTGCAACCTCAAACCCTAACCCTAGTAAGTACATGTAGTTAATTATTATTACTCAGTACTTAAATGCATAATTATACTGTAACACAGACACCTTGAAATAAAGTCTAACTCACTGTTTTTCTTTTGATTTTGGAGTGAAATATGAACCGGGCCTGTACTAAACAGGTTCTGTGAGTTTTAGCCATATTGACTTTGCTCGGTGGTGGAATGAGTGTGAACTACAGTGATTTATAAAGGGATTTCTTACTGGTGCCAGGATGAAATTAAAAAAATTGGAGTTGAAAAGCAGGTATCTTTTGACGGACGGATGGTCCAGCGCTAAATGAAGTGGACCTTCAAAATCTTCTGCTGGAATCTGGAATAGATTTAACATCAAAATACAACATGGAAATAAGTACATTCATTTAGAAATGCGTATGAATTTTTTTTTTTTTTTGCATGCTGGAAATTTACTAGCCTGAAAGCCATTGGTTTCCAAAAGACTCCTGCAGTGTGAAAAGTCAAACGTGGGAGTCAACCAAGAGGAAGTGGACACAGATGCCACACACTGACCTGACAGAAAGACATCCAGTGAGGTCAATTAAACAGTTTAAATCTGAAATCCAGTCTTTAATACTCCAGTGTCTCTTTTTGTCAGGGACAATTTGCACTGGATTTAAGAATTGAAAAAAAAAAGTTTTGTAGCCTATTTAAAGGAGAAAACATATTTCTAATTCCTGTGGTCTTACAGAAGCATCTACAGTATGACATGTTATGAGTCATTAGAGCATCACAAGCATTAGTTTCACTTTATTTTGATTGGTCCTTCAACACATTCTGTTGACTATAAGTAAAGTTGCACCTACATGTCTACTAACTCTCATTAGAGCGTTAGTAGAGTATTAGTAGACTGGTAGGGTTAGACAAGTAGTTGCAAAGTTACTTATAGTCAGTATAGAATGTTCAAAAGGGACCATAAAAATAAAGTGTTACCCAAGCATCTCACCATCGTGTCCTTCAGGGCAATAAACCACATGGTAAAAATCACACTGCAGTCACACTGTTTGATGATTTCAGTTAGCTGTTTTTTTATTAATACTGAAAGAGGACAGGCAGAGAGAGAAACAGGGCAATATGTACCATTCCTCCATGTGGATGTTCTTCTTCGCTCTTCTGCCATGGCTGACTGTCCTGTGGGGGATTCAACATCACTTCTTTCCTCTACATTACACTGCCGCTCCCTCTCCTCCATGGTGACGGTCACTGTCAGAACCTGCTGGAAAACACGTGCACCAAAATATTAACACTTTCTCACAGCAACCGAATCTAAGTTGCAAACACTCTTAAAAATAAAGATTCCATAAGGGGGTTTTCAGCGATGCTACAAAAGAACCTGCACTTTTGGTTCCTCAAAGAACCTTTCAGTGAACAGTTCTTAAAATAACTTAGTGTGAACAACATTTTAATAATATGAAGAATTTTTTTCCATAAATAACTTTTTGTGGAATGGAAAGGTTTCATGGATGTTAAAGTTTCTTCATGGAACCATCAATTTTAGAATGTATAAAAGTAAAATTTGACTAACTATTTCAAATGAGCGCTTAAGGAACTCAAAAGTTGCACTCAAAAGTGGAGGCAGATGATTGTGAGTTTAGGGAAGTAACTTTTTTACCTTAACCGAACAGCTTTGGAGTCATTGTAATGTTTATATTACTGATTTCATGTTGAATGGTGGTCGTCTCGCACCCCCCTGGTGCCTGTGAGCCGCAAAACCACCCTTGCAACTTTGGGCCGGCGAGCCGCCGGCCTCAGTATTAGGAAGTATCGTGTGATATCAGGTTTCGCGAGGTCACGAATTGCTTTACGGCAAAAAACAGATCTGATAAAATTCTGATAAAATGAGCATCAAACTGAAATAACCCGGCGCCGTATACATGTGGTGTTCGAGGCGCACATACAATACAGACTGCCAACAATTAAACAGGGCGCGCGCAGCTCTTAAAGTCCCCGTGAACCGGAAGTTGCAAACGACTTTTCTCCAGTGTTTTGACGTATTTCCGAGAGAAACGGAATACTAAATGAGGCAAAATGGTGGGCGTGGCTTTTTTCCCAACTAGCACCTGATTGGATCTAGAAAAGTAGGTGTTTTCATTCAGCCTGTCTACTGTCAGTTGGAGGGGCGTGATTATGGATGTTAAGAAGACGCCCAAACCGTGAAACCTACGTCATCAGGCAAGGTCCTCCAACGCAGAGGGGAGGGGACATTTCAGATTTTGATTAAAGATTACGAAGCCAAAAATTTTTTTTGTGTGGATTGACTTGCATGGATGAATTGTTCACCACAAAACGATCAATTTAGGCAAACAAAGTAAGTATGGTCAATTTTGAATTCATGGGGACTTTAAAGGGGCCATACCTTATTTCCACTCGTTACAGCGTCCATCCTACTGAACAGGTACCGGTGTACAGGGGGAGGGGATCCGGTCGTGAGTGCGAGCCATCTCTGCGTGAGTGCTATTCACGACAGTACAAGTACTCCACAGAGACTCTAGGGGTCGCTGTTTGACAAAAACGGAATTCCTACTTAGTGCTGCTTTAAAGTCCCACTCCGATCATATTTTGAGCTATTTTTAAACATTCCCAGTGGTCTTTAAATTATGATTATGCCATTTTTAGCCAAAATCACAAAACCTGTGCCGTTTTCTGGGACTTCGCTTCAGCAGAGCGGCAGTAGCTCTTTAGCAATTCGCCTCTGCGTTGTGGGCGGAGCCGTTGGCACGAAAATGACCCTCCCCCTGCCCGTTGCTGAGAGCTCTGTCTCTCCCGCTAGCTTACACCCCCAATACCGGTGGGGCAACAGTATTATATACACGTTAATTATTATTATCCGAAGTTAATCAAAGTTATCACCGATCACCGATCATTATTTCACTCCAAGACGTCGCGTGTGGAGACGCCCAGTGGAGTTACTACGTCACAACTCCAGTCTATTTTAGCCGGCTACTGATTCACAGCCATTTGAATGTAGAAATACTCAGAAATACAACTTTGAGCTTATTTTTCTCAAGATATGTCCCTCTAACATCAGAAAAATGCCACAAGAACATGTTAAAGGGGTCATATAATGGTACATGCACTTTTACAAGTTGATTGTACTGAAATGTGTGTTGGCAGTGCCTGTACACAACCATCATATAATGATAAAAATCCATCCAGTGTTTTTGTTTTAATCTCCTTATATGTTTTCCCCTGCCTCAAATTGAGCCGTTCGTTTTTGTGACGTCAATAAAACGGACGCCCCTCCCGCGATTGTTGATTGACTGGAGTGTTTCAACACAGACCCGCCCTCGCTCGTCCTGTCAATCATAGTCTGCGCGGCGCGGACCGGCATTGTTGATATGCTGGAGCACTGTCTATGAGCAGAATGGCGTCTAAGCGATTGTGGTGTTCTGTTCTTGGGTGCAATAACGAACACAGCAGTCATTTTAATGTTCCTAAATCCGAACCGCTGAAGACGCAGCGGCTGTGTTTGTTTTCGAAGGGAATATTCCCCACGAGCAACGTCAATGCTCTCATGTTTGCCGAATCATTTCTCAGTGGACTGCTTTATAAACGAGGATCAGTGTAAAGCTGGTTTTGCTGAGAAGCTGCACCTGAATAAAGGATCGGAACCTATTCGTCTTCCTGCTGAACCTTCAGAAGAACTAAAGTGAGTGTAACATTTTATTAATCTTTATATTAATATTTATATTAATCTTTGCAAATCGCCAGCTGCACGCTTCACGATGAATGCGTCGGTTTACACTCAGGGTACATTACAGCATGTTTTCTATGTACAACGTTCTCAATATAATTCATAATCCCACGTTTATAATGAACAACGCGTTATGGATATTGTGTTAATGTGTTACAAACGGTGTATGCGCAGAACAGAGAGGCGGGGTGAGCAAAGCTCATTATCATTTAAAGTCATATGCACTGAAACGGCGTGCTGAAAACAGAGCTGTTTTTGACCAGGTAAAATAAGTGTTTTCTTACAATACTAATGAGAATGTTTAATTAAAGTATATTACAAACTTTTAATTTAGACCCTAAAGAATCATATTAGCTTGTACAAAAATGGCATTATATGACCCCTTTAACTCCTAGAAAAACATTATTTTCATCGGAGTGGGTCTTTAAGTGGACTAAATGATTGGAGAAGACCTGCTTATGTCATCAGAGAGAAGTCTGTCATTTTCACTGTAAGGTCCAGCTATGACATTTTGATGAAACAATTGCAGTCGAATTGAACTTACACTTGAATTGCTCACAATAAGATCTTAAACCTGAGTTTACTGTAGAAAACAGATAAGGTGAATTTTTATGCGGTGCCGACTTTGTTTCGTGGCCTCGATATCTTTGGGTTTTTATCACAGTAATTAACTCTTAGTATCTGGAGTAATAATAGTGATGCTTGCCTCCACAAGCACCACAAATTAATAATGTTAGTAATGAAGGTCAAGATAATGTGAAATGTAACTAAGAAAAGCTACATTATGTTTACTGTTATGTAAATGTATTCAGTAGTTTCATAATTCTAAATAGTTGATGTCATTCAAATGAGATCTTGCACTCAGAAAGGAGATTCAAAAGGAGTGTTCAAACTTCATAAAAAGCCAAAAAAATGACAAAGAGCATGATGACAAACCTTTAGTCAGGGCAGCTTGTTTCAGTCGATGCTTTTAGCACAGTGCACTGCCTGTTTAAGAACAGGAAACTCCAATCTTGCCGTCAACTTCTGTTTTTAGAGTTTCGTATACAAGAAAGTAAGGAAGATGTTAGGGTTTCTCAACGTTAAAGAAAACGGATAGCATTTCTTAACCAGTTTCATAAAATTCTGCATGTCCTTTTAAGTTATTGTAAGTGATGGCAAGAAGTGTCTTTATGCATGTACACAATATGCATCAATGTGCATTAACCTTTGCATACATTACAGAGATACTGCTTCAGAGAGCTGTCAATGTTTTACCATTGTGACTTAGGGAACACAAATCAAGATGGTTTTACAGCAATTTCAACAAACCTGTAAACACACAACAGCGTTCACAGCTGACTCCACTGTAGCTGACTCCTACAAGCTGAAGAAAATGCAAAGACAAATAGATATTATACAGAATGAGATTACCCTGAAAATGATCCCTCCGTCTCATTCTCACTCACCCTTGCTCCTTATCTAATACAGCAAACACGTTTTACTGCTGAAGAACAGTGTGCATCTGACAGCAAGTCCATATCTTCATTGTGTCTGCCTCTATTTCTTCTCAGTCATGCCTGCTGTTGCCACAACCTTTGTTCTTTTTTCTTATTAGGCTCCTCCCACTGTTTTTAACTCATTTATTTAGCTCTTCATATAAATTTGTTCTTCTTCCTAATATTTCTATCAGGCTCCTCTTGTAGTCTTTTAACCGCTCTCTTTCTCTTTCACTCTCTGTGAGTGTGTCTTCCTCTTTATGTGAATGCAAAACTGATTTTAAACCCTCCCCCTTGTGCTCTTCCTCTATCTCTCTATTTTCTGTCATTTACTTTTCTCTCAGCTTGTGACTCAGCTCAGTCTGAACACATGACTGCAGGAATGTACACACAATTTCACAGGCCGATGCTGAAATGTGTGTGCTTGTGCTTGAATAAGAGTGAGCCCAGGAAATAAAGACACATGCCATAATGATGTTGTGGTTTTCACATGTATTTACTGCTGTCAAAACTGGTGCTGGTCATTGAGTTTGTAGAAAACAAACAAAACCGGTTTTGAGTCAAAGTCCCATTGGCAATGTTCTCTAGCAGTGGTTTTATATGGTTTCATACGCCTGGTTCAGAACTGTGCTAAATAAGCACATTATCATATTTTTGTAATAACTGTTTAAGTGAACACTATTTTTTACTTTTGTGACAACTTACCCCATGTGTAAAAATACCATACTATACCATTAGGGGGCTATTGCAATGAAGTTATGTATTTATTTATTAATTCATTTATTTATTTCAGCCAGTACTTTAAGGTCAGAAAATAAACTTCCCTGGGAAATATTCAATGGAGTAAAATGTGTGACAACTTTCCCCAGATCACCATTCCAGTTCATACCTTAATAAAATTGGGGGGAAATCCCTAAAATTAGTCAAAAATGTAAAGAAATTCCAATTAATACAAAATTGATCTCAAACATCTTAGGAAACATGTAAATCTAAGTAATGGCTGTACATGAAAATACATTTTTCCAGCACACTAATGCCATCAACAGGCTTAGTTGAAAATTGCATCTAAATTTGCACAGCAAATCAGGTGTACTAATGTACATGAGTTTACATCTATGTGTGTAACATTATAATGGTTATTAAATAATTATTCTATAATATATTAAACGTGATTCAAATTTGTAGCACAACAAACAATGTACAAGGTGATAAATAGAAAATAAAAATAAATAGGTTATAATATAATATTCCTATTAGAAATCCTTTATAATTAAATCAAATTTTTGTTTAATAATATGTAGTAATATTGTAAGTAATATTCTGGGAGACATTATAAAATGTAATTTTATTTAAATTATTTAAAAGCAATGTGTTCTTTAAACAATCCCAAGGACCTCTGATATCTTACACATAAATTAGTAGAATCAACTGTTTTTGTCATGCTGTTAACACAGATCAAGGTATCGGCTACTTTTTATTCATCATCTAATGCCATTTATTCTATAACGCAAATCATAATTGTACAGACAGCCAAACAACATCCTACCCCAAGTTTCATCCTGTAATGATCAACGGAAGTGGTCTCTCTGCTGCTGCAGTATGCTACATATAAATCATAGGTTTTCAGCTCCAAATGAACCAAACACATGTATAGCATTGAATGATCAAATGTAATCAAATAGAATATGCTCATGGTCCTATTTTTCCTTATGTAAATAGGTCTGGCATGTGATTCTGACGTCTCGCAGTGGAAGGAGTGTTGCCAAATCAGCGGCCGTGGGCTGAAGCGATTTTGATTGGTTTTATTATGCAGACCTGGCAACCCTGAGATCAGTCACATGACTGTATGGTTGAGGATGTGAGTACTGAGTAGTCCGTTGTTGTCATGTTTCGATACTTCAGGATTCACAAGCGTTATTAAAATAAATAAATAGCATAATCAAGAAATTATCTCTTCATGAGCTATCTGCTCTTGTCGCTGCCTTAATCGTTTCAATGGATTTTATTCGACAATTTGGGATTGTTCTTGGGATAGCAGTGCTTTCCGGTGCGCTTGCGGACAAGTCTCAGGTAAATACAGTACATGACATGACTGTCACATGATTGTGTCCTGTTCTGTACACTCTGTTCATTTGTTCGACTATTACATTATGCAGACTGAAGTATAATTTAAGATTTATGTTGCAGTGGTGCATGACTGTAAGCACTGTGAATGTCACTAAGAAAAAAATGTGTGTTTTCAATTGCACTGTCCTGTTGTGCTAGGTAAGAGAACTCATGAAACATAGTTATATTGACATTTTTCATACAGATCTAGTAAATCTTTCCTTTATTTTTGTATCTTAATCCCAGTCGAAATCTATGTAAAAAATATTTTACATCCCAAACAGACAAACAGTCAGCCACATATATACATCTACTCATTTTACCAAATGAACCTAGTTTATTTGTTGCATACACATCTTTACAGAGATACTGTGAACGAACTAGTAAAGTAGTTCATTTTTAGGGGCTTTATTTATTTTCTAATTATTTATTATTGTTAATCTTCTAGAAATAATAGTTACTGAAAAGGTCACGTGAAAAAAGTTTAAAGATCAGTTTTTATCTGATTTCTTCATCCCTTTGCTTTATTTGTGTAATTCTACATGCTTCCCACAGATTGACCCACTGATATATGAGGAGCAGTTGCTATGGGTCGGCGGTGGAGCCGGTCAGGTCAACACTTACAGGATCCCTCTGCTAACCTTCACATTACGTGGTAGTCTGCTGGTGTTCACTGAGGCCAGGAAAATGTCTTCCAGTGACGTCGGGGCGAAGTTCATCGCTTTGAGACGCTCCACAGACAGAGGTGGATCATCCACTTTCACAGGCTCACTCCTGAAATGCTTTATAAATTGAGTGATAAATGGCTATTGCTTTAGATGGAATTGAATTCCAATCTCTTTCTTGTATTTCTCAGGTGCCACCTGGTCTCCCACCTCATTCATTGTGGACGATGGTTCTCTAGCAGATGGGCTGAGTCTTGGTTCTGTGGTTGTGGATGAGGAGACTGGTGCTGTGATACTCATCTATGCTCTGTGTTTTCACCGTTACCATTGCAACCCCTCCAGCACCATGATGGTGCAGAGCCTGGATGACGGGTTCACCTGGAGCGCCCCACGAAACCTGTCCATTGAGCTGGGGGTGAAGAGCTTTGCTCCAGGGCCTGGCTTTGGAATACAGGTGTGGTTAGCGCTGTCTGCTTTCTGTTCCTCCTTCAAACGAAACATGACTTTAAGACTTCCTGTTGTTTATGATGCGGTTATGACTTCTCAGGTTATATAAAACTACATTTTATTGTGTATGTGGATTCATTGGTTTGTAAAGGAAAACTAATAATCTCACGTGGCCTTTTTTCCTGTTTTTTTCTCCCCAAGAGCAGTTTATATGCTTTTAGTTCATCACATGCCTGTGTTCACAGAAACGTTATCCACCCAATGTGGGCCGTCTGGTGGTGTGTGGCCACGGTTCCATTGCTGGTGATGGGGTCTTCTGTATCCTGAGTGATGATCATGGTAAATCCTGGAGATATGGAGCTGCTCTGAAGAGCATCCCTTACAATCAGCCTAAACAAGAACTGGACTTCAACCCAGATGAGTGTCAGGTAATATTACACTACTTTATCTCAATACACTGTATAAATATATATCACTGAAGTGTTACTATATGATAATTAGAGGATTTAATTGAATCCGACCATTTGAATGTTGTTGAGTCATTTCTTGGCTAGCATGTTAAGAAATGGAGAATGTCAGACTTTCTGCTTTTAAATGACTCTTTTTGAGCCATTGAAGCCCTAAAAGTCAGTGGTTCTTAAGCTTTTTGACTCCAAGACCTCCCATGTTCCACAAAAATATTTTTTCAACAAAACTTTTCCAGTTGTTTGTGATTTACTGGATAATGATTTTAGCATAAGGATTTAAAAAAATATATGTTGTACTTATAATTTCTACCCCATTAAATATTTAGAGCTTGGCATAACTAGAAAAAATTATATTCATTATGTTGAGGGAGGTAAATTAAAGAAATATCTTGATTTTTAGTTGATTTAGCCTATTATAATGCTCATTTTTGTCTTGTTTTAAATATTTTTAAGTCATCTTAAGGCCCCTTGGAAGTTTCCTAAGGCCCCCTGGTTCAGAACCGCTGCTATTAAAAGTGAGACTGACTACTAATATTGGGCCAGTCCAAATACCTACACTTGCGTTCTTGGCCACTTAAGAGCACATGCACAAAACAGGAAGTAAGTGCCCAAGACTGTCTCAGGCATTAAAATGCCAAAGCTCAGTGCCCTTAACGCACACTAAACCCACACTTTCTTGAATATCGCTTCGGGCCAGTATTTGAGGCCAATTGTATCCCATCATGTTCAGGAACTCACGTGCCCCGAAATCGCGATATGACGAGGAAAACATTCCACTGTAAGTTAAATTAATTAGATATTACATATAATTGGGTAGTTAAACTGATGAATGGGGTTTTTTTTGTACAGCATTTCAACTGCTTTTTATCATTTAATTAGCACCACTATTAGCCTACTACTGTACATTGTGTCATCTGTTACAACTACTGAACATTTAGAAACTACATTAGACTACACTACATCTAGAAGTTTATTTTAAAATGCAAATTATTGAAATGAAAAAAAATAAAAAATACAAAAAAACACCCTAATGTACTGATAAAAAAAATAAAAAAAACTATTTAAATAAAATGTAATCATATGTGATGTGTCAAGCAGGGACTTCGAGGAGTGTCATTTTACTGTTTTTCACCAAAAAAACATCCACATAGCTACAATAAACTATATAACCTGTAAGTTGATGAAAACGTAATGCGATGCACTCATTGTTTTAGATGAGACGTTATATAATGATGAACAGAATGCATACATCCAACATTCGCTGGTCAAAAAACCTTGTAACTCCACTCGAGCTTGATTTTGGTCAAATGTTATTAATATAATTACACTTGCAAGTGTCGGACCATATATAAAGCCACAATATCAACCTTGACAACACCATGTTTAATTGTTTAAAAAAAAAAAAGTTGTTTTTTTTCCATTTCCTGAAAAGTAGTGGATTTAGACGTACAAGGTTACTGCCCGACAGCGACGATATAATGCAATGTTAAACCATTTACAGTTTTTCACTGTATATGGTATTGCAGCTTATAGTTAACCAATTAACAGGTTTTTACTGTACTGTACTCTATTCTTTTTTTCTGTAAAACTTACACACATTTTTTACAGTGTAGGCTTGATATTAAACAGCTGTACTACTTGACCTTTCGTTTGACTTGACACATTCCCCTCCCTTACGTCTGCCTTAACAGCCAGTGGAACTAGAGGACGGAAGCATAGTCATCAATGTACGCAACCAGAACAACTACCACTGCCGCTGTCGAATAATAGTGCGGAGTTTGGACGGAGGAGAGTCTCTACCTGTGGAGGAGCTGGTATTTGACAAAACGCTGATTGACCCTGTCGTTGCAGCCGGTGCCCTGCAGAAACAAGGAGTGATGTACTTCACCAACCCTTCCAACTCTCAGCACAGTGAGGAAGAGCAGTTCACAAAGTCTTACTTAGAAATATCATAGTTAAATCTTTATGGAACCGTAATTTCTGTTTGTTTGTTTTTTTGCACAGGAGTCAATCTAACTCTTCGCTGGTCTTTCACTGATGGGAAGTCATGGGAAAAGGAGGCAGTCCAGATCTGGGCGGGGCCAAGCGGTTATTCGACTATGACGTCATTCAAGGGGGATTCTCCAGAAGACAACAAATACATCTTCGTTGTTTATGAAAAGGGCCATAAAGATTACTATGAGACCATCTCTTTTGCCAAAATTCATCTATATGGAGGAAAATAGTTTACAGGTGAAGAAAGAAAAGGGATATTTAAGACTTTTAAAAAGGACTTTTTTGAGAAAATCAAGATATCAGCCTAATGCAAAATCATTTTTACATTTCTCTACATCACATTTGGGATTATTCTGTCAGATTCACTGCTTTGATTTAAATTCCACTCCAGAAAGAATCAAGACATCCTGCTTCATTTTATTGATGATACATCATCAATACAATGATGTATTCTTCTTTTAAAGATTTGTTTTAAATGGGGTTTACAATAATGTGACTGGAGTGAATCTTCATGAAGCTACAACAATCTTAAAATGGTTGTTTTCTACTGTTCAACACTGATTGATTTGCAAGTCTTAAAATAATGTTTTAAAGGTACACTGTGTAACTTTTTGTTCAAAATTCATATGAGCAAGTACATCGTGAATCCAAATTCCAAACTGTGTTTTTGTCTTATCATGTATCCCTGCAGTACTCCTACAATAAGGGTTTAACGTCTGAGCTTTTTAGACCAGGCGACACGACATCAGACAAGTAGCCCAGTACCTGCTTGACTCATCATACACATAAACAGAGAGAAGTAGCTCCGGCTACAATGTTGTTCAACAAGATGCGTGCAGTTTTGTTTATTAACCTGCTAGAGTGCCAAAAGTTACATAGTGTACCTTTAAATACAGAAATGTGATTTAATTACAATGTGTTGTTTCTCCAGTCCCTGGTTTTCCTTAAATTGATAAGGGTTTGAGACAGATATAGAAACCTCTAAGCAAGCAGTATTTTTTCTCCACATTGTACAGCTGTGAAGTCAGAAAACCCATTTTATATCTAACTATGTAATTGATTTTATTTCGGTTATATGGTTTTGTTTACCTAGTCTGGCCCTTTTGTGGCCCCAGATAATGTATTTTTAAATGAAAGCCATTTATTTAGGTAACATCCTAATGTAAGCAAATATTACATTTTGAAAGTCACCCAAAAGGCTTTTGCTGTTTTACATTTGATATTAACACATTTGACTTTTCACTTGATTTGCTGGATTGCACAGGGACATCTTTCATTGTTCAATAAATTTTTCTATTTTGATACAGTAACTCATTGTTTAATTGTAATTCTCATCATATAAAACACATAATAATACAGCTTTGTCTGCCATTATGTTTTAAGATAGCAACATTTCCACCTTGAAATTATTCAGATGATCGCTAAAATGTTCTCAATCTCAACACAAATGTATCATTTAATTATATGGTACCTTGCTCCCTCCACCTGTCCTCAGCTCCTAGAGGGGTGTGTGTGTGTGTGTGTGTGTGTGTGTGTGTGTGTGTGTGTGTGTGTGTGTGTGTTTGGAAACAAAAATGAAGATCTGAAGGTGAACGCATACCTTGACGCTAGGGGTCAAACAACTAAAAATCAAGTCAGGAATCTCTGTGTGATTCTGGAGTCAGACCTTATGAGACCTTATTCAGTAGTCATGTCAAAGCAATAAGCAAATCCGCATACTATTATCTCAAAAATATTGCAAGAATTAGATGTTTTTCTTCCAGACAAGACTTAGAAAATCTTGTTCATGCTTTCATTACCAGCAGGGTGGACTATTGTAATGGTCTCCTCACTGACCTTCCCGAAAAGACCATAAGACAGTTGCAGCTCATACAGAACGCTGCTGCCAGGATTCTGAGCAGAACCAGAAAATATGAACATATCACACTAGTCCTCAGTTCTCTACATTGGCTCCCAGTTACATTTAGGATTGATTTTAAAGTATTATTATTGGTATATAAATCACTCAATGGCCTAGGACCTCAATACATTGCAGATATGCTCACTAAATATAAACCTAACAGATCACTCAGATCATCAGGATCACATCAGCTAGAAATACCAAGGGTTCACACTACGCATGGTGAGTCCGCTTTTAGCTACTGTGCGAGCCACAGCTGGAACCAGTTTCCAGAGGAGATCAGATGTGCTCCTACAGTAGTCACATTCAAATCCAGACTCAAAACACATCTGTTTAGCTGTGCATTTACTGAATGAGTACTGTGCCACTGTTACGTCCGACTGATTAGGCCTACCCTGTATTTTATTTTGCATTCCTTCTTTTTATTCTAAACAGAACTCAAATGGCACTGAGAATTGGGTAAGAGAGATGAAACCATGATGATGGCCTGGGTCTGGTGGAGTGCGTTTGACGTGATTAAACTCGAGGTTCTGTGGGGTGCGGACTGGATTGATTCCATTCCTAGAGCTTCCGAACTAATTGGTTTAGGGGTGCGACTGATGAGGCAGTGAACCCGAGGTTACCCCGTGACTCGTGAGTCAGTCCTAGAGCTCATGTCCGATTTTAGGGGGAAATCGGAGACGTCCAATAGATTTCTTAGGTGCGCCGAAAGAACACCACAGACACAGTGTAATCACCATGGGAAAATCTCAGAGTAAAACTGGGTGTTGTGGAAAATATGATACACCGGTGTTTAAGTTAATCTATGTATCATCATTTTACTCTTTTAATTCATTTTATAACTGTTTTAATTTTCCTTGCTTTTATTTTGTGATTATTTTAATTCCTTTCTGTTTCCTTTCTTTGAAATTCCTAGTGTATAAAAAATGTGCTATAAATAAACTTGCCTTGCCGTGTGTGTGTGTGTGTGTGTGTGTGTGTGTGTGTGTGTTACACAAGAAAAAGAGAAAAATACACAGGTATTTAATACCATTCAAAAGTTTCAAATCTGTACGATTTCTCTTACTCACCAACGCCACATTTATTAAAAATAGCCTACAGTAAAATTTATTTTGACTTAAAAGGCAGCATATTTTCTGTCACAGGCATGATGGCATGGATAAATAATAATAATTTCCCTAATTTTATGCTATTAGTAGCTAATACCAGAAAAAGAAAAGGTCCAATGTTTACTTGTGTAGGCCTATCTGCGAAATAAGGTTATAAATGGTTAAATTTGCCAATATTTTCCATATTTTGACATTAAGTAGGCCTGTCTATCTGGTGTCCAAGCTAAGTTAGTCAAGTGATGGCTGCGTCATGATTTTAAATGTCATGTCACTCAGCAAAGTGAACCGGTCTGTTAAGCCGGTTCTCATGTCTTTTAATTCATCGGGCGGTCTGACAGACTCGTAGTATGCTACGTACGCGCGCTTGTAATTTAGGCTATAACCCTGAGCCTGAAGGTAAAATATTATTATAGAATTACAATAGTGCACATTGACAACAGTTGCCGTCATGCATCGGACTCTTTTGCGGATTTTGCTTCTGACGGTAACGTTACTGTGTTCATTTGCGCGAAATGAAAAGGTAAGGTAAACGATTTTGTTTATCATGATAATGACGATTATTAATGACAAAACATCACGCGTCGCGAACAAACATTTCAATAATTAAACCAAAATACAACACATGTAGATTAATTTGGCAATTGTGACAGTTTTGTAACAAAGGGAAGTTTAATTGTGATCTATGTTATGGAAAACTAAATCTGTGTTAAAAGTCCACGTAGTCCGAGTTGCGAGTTATAAACTCGGGATTGCGAGAAAGAAATGTGAGATAAAAAGTAAGTAGGCCTAGTGTATGTATGTAGCCTATTTATTTATTGTATATATTTATTTAACCCTGTTGGGAACGAGCTTCCACAAATATTTGTTTTATCTAGCAGTGATTTTGTGTATTGTGTAGTTGACCACTTTGTTCAAAATTGTCTTAAATGAGGGAAATATTTGTGAATTCTGATGTTCAATGATCTGAATATTTTCCTGAGCAAAAATGGTAGAAAGGTTCTATATCTTAGTCAAACGTCATTGCCTTCACAGAACCTGTCTTTCAACAGTAAGCTTCACTGAGAAATGTTCACTGGAGTAAAAAGCGCCACAACTAGCCTCACCTTTTTCCTTTTGAGTTTTTTTCTTTTTACATGAACAGATCAATCCTGCTGTCGCTGATGAGCAGCTGCTCTGGGTCGGTGGTCAAACTGGAGAAGTTCACACCTACAGGATTCCCCTGCTCACCTTCACTTCTCAGGGGAGTCTGCTGGCTTTTGCAGAGGCTCGGAAGATGTCCTCCAAAGACATCGGAGCCAAGTTCATAGCTTTAAGACGGTCCACAGACAGAGGTGTGTCACATTGAGTTCACAGTAGGATCCAGTTTAGTAACTCACTTGATGATCTGAACCGAAAGACATGTAAGATTTTGGTTTTCATTCTCCTTTTCTTCTCAAACTATCACTTTCTACTGACACTTTCTCAGGTGCCACCTGGTCTCCAACCTCATTCATAGTGGACGATGGTTCTCTAGCAGATGGGCTGAACTTAGGTTCGGTAGTTGTGGATGAGGAAACTGGTGCTGTAATACTCATCTACTCGTTGTGCTTCCACCGTCACCATTGCAACCCCTCCAGCACCATGATGGTGCAGAGCCTGGATGACGGGTTCACCTGGAGCGCCCCACGAAACCTCAACCCTCAACTGGGGCTCCAGAGTTTTGCTCCTGGACCTGGCTTCGGTATACAGGTGTTGACTTAGATGTACACTCATCTCTGGGTTCTTCACTTACACTTCCCATAGTCTCACATTTTAGCCATATTTTGACTACCGGCATCATATTTTGGCTGGCCTTTTAAATTGTGGTCACATTAATCATTGTTCGAGGAAACAGTCATTTCAATAGGAATTTACACGCTTTGGAATTTCATGTAAGTGCGAAAAATTTCCCCTCACAGATTTCGCATCAGGTTTAAGATGGTCATTCAAATTCATCATGTTGACCAACAGAAAGCTGCTTGGTTTGAAAGTGACCTCTGTGTGAGCTGTGTTTTGTGCATCTCTACACTATTGACAATAGACAATGGACCATTTTTGTCTGCAGAATTTTGCTGAAACTTCGCTAATGTGACCTTTAAGGCCAATTCACACTTCACCGACAGACACTGACATTGGACACATGTTTAGTCGATGAAAACAAGCCTTGACCAACGTCAGCAGCTGATCGGACAAACCAAATGAAGTGTCTGTTGCCATTGTTTGGCGTCTGTCAGTGCAGTGTGAATTGGCCTTTAGTCAGATAACTTCTCACTGCGTCCTAAATCGAATACTTCCCTAGTATATAGTATGAGAAAAACAGTACGCCAACAAGAGTAATTTGTCTGAATACATAGAATAAAAAAAAACTGTAGGCGAAAAGTACCCAGGTGACCGACTACTTCTATCGAGATTCTAAAGTGTGCTTTCTTTAATGCACACTTTAATATCTTTAATATCTCATGAGGCCACAGGAGGAGATTTGTGAATGGCAGTGAAGCAACATAACTGACGCCGTTAAGTCCCATGACAGTGACAACAGGGCGGATACTGTATAGAATATAATTTTTTAATGGTTGCAAAGAAAGTTTCAAACTACAGTGTGCGATTTCGGACGCAGCAACTTCAGTGGTGATGTATACCAGTACAAAAAGTACCAAAAATATAAAGCGATATGATACCAACACACTCAAAATAGTTTAAACAAAAATGTATATTTAAATAAAAAAATATTAATTTAAAATGCATAACTTTGCTAGATATAAAATGAGTTAATTGATTCCAGCACATGTTTCCGCTTTGCCATTTACCAAGAAGTGTGGTTTAAAACTCGTGAATTTAGTTATTTCATTAAGTCTTAAAAGTTTTACTTGAAATTATTTTTTATTTTTTTATTTAATACTTTACATTTATTCTAAATTCATAATATGTACACCATGTAAAAATACTCAATTAATTTTAATGGCAACTTGTTCGAAAATCTTGAAATCAGACTAATACTTTTTTTGAGTGTTGGTATCTACAACAATGTGTCAGTGTTATTTTAGTACTATTCATATAATATATAATTTATGATTTTTAAATAGCTTTTTATTATTTTATTATAATTTTATTATGTGCTTTTTGTCATTTTTATTTATATAATATTTATTTTTTGCTGTAATTTTTTTTATTTCAGTTTAAGTGCTGCTATTCAATGCAGCCTGGGAGTAGAGGCAGTGTGAGTGATGCGTGAAAGTTAATATTTAAGTGAAGAGGACATCTCTGATTACATGAACAGATGCTCAGTTGCATATATTTGACATATATAATTTATATAATCAATAGTTTGTTGTTAGTTTGTTGTTAATCCCTGCTTGATTAAAGCTGGCCCTTATCTGCCAACAAATGTCATCATGCATATATTTATATCAATTAGTATTATTATTATCTATGTCTCCATTACATGTTGTGCAAATCCATCATGCAAAATCAGTGGTCTGTTTGTATCAAACTATCAATTTAGCATCAACACCAAGATACTGAACCACACCTAGTCTACATGACAAAAAGCATCCTATTTTGTTTTGTTTATTTAGTTTTTTCTTTCTGCTTAATAGTGAGTTTATTAAAAATAACTGATACCAAATGAACAGACTATGGAAAATACTCATTCAAATCTGAATTTGACATTTCTTCCAGTCATAGAGATTCATTAAATGATTATTTAAGATCTCTTACCATGTTTTGTTAATGGTGCCAACAGAAACATCATCCACCTGCTATTGGCCGTCTGGTGGTGTGTGGCCACGGCAGCATCGCTGGAGACGGAGTGTTTTGTATCCTGAGTGATGATCATGGAAACACATGGAGATACGGAGCTGAACTGAAGAGTATTCCATACAACCAGCCCAAGAAAAACCTTGACTTTGACCCAGATGAGTGTCAGGTATGAAGAACTTGTAAACTATGTACTTACAAACTACATACAAACTTCTGTGAATCAGAAGAATTTAGAAAATCTTCTAAGAACTTCTGTCTTGTGTTTCATCAAAGCCAGTGGAGCTGGATGACGGCAGCATCGTGATCAATGTGCGTAACAATAAAAACTATCACTGCCGTTGTCGTATGGTTGCCCGCAGTCTGGATGGAGGAGAGTCTCTGCCGGTAGAGGAGCTGGTGTTTGATCACACACTGGAAGATCCTGCTGTTGCAGCTGGAGCTTTAGAGAAGGAAGGAGTGCTCTACTTCACCAACCCAGCCAACTCTAAAAGCAGTGAGCATGATGATATCAGAAATTAAAGGAATAGTTCATACAAAAAATATCCTGATTATTTTCCCACTCCAGAGCAATCCAAGATGTATATGTCTTTCTTTCCTCAGCCGTAAAGAAATTAAGGATTTTTAAATTCTAGGATTTTTCTCCATCTATATAGCAAGTGAATATTGTTCAATGTAGACCATTTGTAGACCAAAATTGGACCATCCATGACAAGACTTGGTAGAATTAGCAGAAATGGATCATCTTTTTGTTCATTTGTCAATCAGGCAGAGCTTTTGGCTGATATGATGATCTCATAATTGCTGAATATCAGCCAATTAGTCTCCCTGTCCCCAATATATATCACTACATACTTACACATACATTGATTCTATAATATTTCTTTCTATCGTTTTGATGTCTGTGGTTTTGTGTATGCCATAAGAGAGAAGCATATATGATAGTGTATTTATGCTTGTAAATATGCCTATAAGCAACTGTGATTGTTGTTTTCTCTAGGAGTGAACCTCACTCTTCGCTGGTCTCTGAATCACGGTAAATCATGGGTGACAGATACTCTGAAGATCTGGGCCGGGCCAAGTGGATACTCCTGTATGACATCACTTAAAGGCAAGGAAACTGAGGATCAGAAATACATCTATGTCATCTTTGAGAAAGGCCAGAAAGACTATTTTGAGTCCATCTCCTTTGTGAAAATTGACTTGTACAGTGTCAGTGACCAATGAAGAAAGGCATTGATGGGCTAATTTTTTTTTCTTAACTAAAAAAATGCTGATTTTTAATAAAACTAAAATCCCTGTCATTTGTCTTCCCTTGCCTCTACTCACCTGTCATATCCTGACTGTTTTTTATCTGTCTTATAGATTTATTGTATGCCAGATATAGAGCCACACAAGCTTTTCTAGGTTGCAGAACCGGATTTTTGCTTTTACTGATTTATGACATTGTTGGATTATCTCTTTTGTGCCTATTATGTTGTTGTGATGAAAAACATAAAGCGAAGGAACACATGAGATGTATAGCCTATATTTTAAGTTTAATTGGCCTTTATTTCTTACCTTACAGGGAAGATCCCACAACTTTCACTAACATGTGTTATGTCAATTTTAGAACAAAATGTTTTTTAAAATAGCGTTTTTGGAACGTTCTTATAACATTATATACGTTCTCGTATAATGCTGAGAGAAAACTGTCTTGATGGGTTTTTTTTTTTTACTTGATGAACATTCTCATAATACTGAGAGAAAACGTTCTTAGAACAACATTCTTGGAACTTCTTTATGACATTTGCTGAATGTCTTTGGAATGCTTGCATAAAACATTGTGAGAACAATTTTAATGAAACGTCCTTACAGTGTTTTTCACAGTGCACATTGTTTTAAAGCAGCTAAAATCATGATGTGCTAAAATCATGTTATCATGTTAAACATGCAACTTCTGCCACCAGGTGCCACTATCAGTAAGCATTTGCATAACATGAATGTTACACAAGTGGTGCTCACTGCAGAGACAAATGATGTCTAGCTCCCCCTCTCTGGACGTCTTGGGTGGAGCTTGACCTAGTCCAGCTCCACCTCTGTGGATCTAATGGGGGGAGAGATAGAGTTATAGGACCTTCTAGCTCCACCCATTACAGCCAAATTACATCTAGAGGGGCAGCTAGACATCCAGAGAGAGGGAGCTGGACTTTACGCTCCACTATCAGTGGATAAGCCAGAGGATAAATCAGATCGTGATAAGCCTAGCATGTGACAGGTTGTCCATGTTACAACGATTTTGCACATCTCAATAAGAAAAAATAAAAGCATTTGTCTTCACATGAAGACAAATGCCATACTAATACATCATAATAGAGCTACAATAAATCTCACAATTAAATAAATATATACCTCATGAAACATATAGCCTATACCTACCAGAACTAACAGCCGTCAAACATGACGGTCACCGTGATTTTGCCAAGTAAAAGACATGGTCCTCCTGGATCAACATTCCTGTCCCAAAATGAAGTCCTTACACAATCCCTACCCCTAAACCTAACCCTACCCATAACTTTTCCCTAAAATCAGAGGGTAATGAAAGGTGAATTAGCACTGATGTTTAAGTACTTAACCCTGGTTCTAAGCCTAAACTTGACATAAACTGTAAGCTTGTCCCTCAAATCTGATTGGTTGATTGGAAAGTTGATCCAGGATCAACAAAGATGTTGATCCAGGAACATGTGGTACTTGGTGAAATCACGTTCACCCAAACGGGACATTGAATGCCATATTAATAAGGTAGGCCTACATTAAAATAAATAGAGGGATTTACTGTAGGCTATTAGAAGAATGACTAATATTATGATTGTTAAAGATACAGATCTGTCACCTTGTGAGCATTTTAGGTTAATTTACATGATTATCTGGCACCTGCTGAGGTTGGTATCACATGCTGTTAGCAAGCAAACAATTTTTTTCTCATGCTTTGCCTCTAGAGATTTTTTTTTACCGTTAAACAGTTTACAGTACACGTGTACTGAATTCTGAAAAAAACATAATAATAATTCATGGGTGCTTTGGTGTGCATACATTTATGAATTATATGGACTCCTTATATCAATTATTTGGTGTTCTTTTGGATACTCCAAGTGTCCTTTTTTTGGAAAGTTTTGTGAGAATCACCGTTCAATGATAGTTTGCTTTTCTGGATATAGCAAACGATGACAAAATAAATGCATTAAACAAGATAAATGATGTATGCTTAATTACACGATAATGCGATTAATCTCACAAAAGGGTGTGATTAATCGTGATTAAAAATTGTAATCTATTGACAGCCCTAATTCAAGTAGAAAATAGTCATTTCAATTGTAATAGGATTTCACAATATTACTGTTTTAACTGTTTTCAAATAAATGTAGCCATGGTGGGCATAATAGACTTCTTTCAAAACATTTTAATTATTCCAAACTTGACTGCAGTATATAGCCTATATATTCCCTTAAGGTTTTCTTTTTAGTGGAATTTAGCACTTAGCAATAGCACTTAATTACTGTCATTTAAAAGTAATGTTGAAAGAAGTGACTAAAAAATGCAAAATTTCATAGCAGAGTTTATTTTGTACAATGTACAAATTGTACAATGCAAACATTGTACAATGCACATCTGGAAAATATGATGACAGCCACAAATCAATTTAAACTGCAGATGCTCAGAGACACAGAGCAGTTACATAATCTACCATTGATCTTATGTCATGACATTATCTTGTGATATGGACTTATAAATTAGTTAAATAAACTATAAATTGTATGAGATAGCTAAGGTATGGACCATAGTGTCAGAATGTGATCTGTAAACAAAATTTTCTCACACTTCTTTTCGAATAAATTAATTGCAAAGACTGGTTGGTAAGTTTTCTTGTTATTCATCAGTGCTGAAAGAACTGCTGCTTGAGTATGACCCACCTGGCATTTTTGATGTCTTTGGTGGATTAGTGTTGGTTTTTCTGAAATCAATGAAGCATGCACTGGATCTCAATGTCAAATCAAAGGTGTGTTTTGTTGTGATTAGGACATAAGCACTGGCTTAAATGGCTTTTTGTTCAAATATTTAAATGAATTACCAAATGCATAGCAATGTTTCATACCATTTGTTTGAGTCACACAACAAACAAGTAAACAATTTGCTTTTATTAGTGTGTTTAGACACCATTTACATTATGCATCATCACCTGTATTTATTACAATTCAAGCACCGTTATACTCAAGATTACACATTTAAGATCATTTGCATTTTTACAATATCATTCAAAGGTTTGGGCCCAGTAAAACTTTTTGGAAAGAAATTAATACTTTTATTCAGCTAGACTGCATTAAACTGATTGAAAGTGGCAGTAAAGACATATACAATGCAATAATTCTATTTTCAATAAATGCTGTTTTTTCTTTTAATATATTTTTAAAAGTACCATGGTGATAGGCTACTATAGTTTAATATTTACCATGTTACTGAACAGTTACCATAGTCATAAACAATAGCAATGGTAATCTAAATTACCCGAATACCATGGTACTACCACGGTACTCTTTCAAAAGCATGATAATTTTTAATCTAACTGTTTACACCTCTATATGAACAGCAAGGTTTTGCTTCCAGCGTGTAGAGCGAAGTGAATCATATAATAAATATAATTGTATTGACTAAGAAGATATCAAGTTTCACCTGTTCGTGCAAGCTTTATCCTCACAGCCATTCATAGCGCACCTCTATCATTGAGAGAGGCGCTTACATAAATGTAAATTGTAGTTTAACATATATGATTTGATTGGCCAATAGGCCTGTTCGGAACGTATTATGTTAATTTAACCCCGCCCACTATGCGCGCATCCGCCCCTCTCTGCGCTACCATCCTCAGAAGCCGTTGACGGCTCTAATAGTGACGGATCGACCCCCCGCAATATTATTTTATTTTCCTTTTTCATTTATTTTGTGGAAAAAAGAAAAAGGAGTACAAGTAAGATTCACTGCACACATCCGTCCTCAGCAATCCTCATCAGATCTCTTCAACTCATAATCCTGTTTTGAGCTTTTGTAAGAGCTTGTGCTAACGTTAGCTAGTACACGATTATTGCTAATAACTCTACGATACTACCTCGAGACAAGTCGGAACAAGACCAGGTTAGTAGCTGTGTCTAATGACCAATCGAGTGCATTAAAGAGGTTTTATTATAGAGGTGTTTGTGGTCGTAGTGGTGTGGTCCAGCTGTCCTGCTTTTCCTCGGTCGGTGTCGGCTAACGTTAGCATGCAAGCTTGTGTGTGTCACACATCCTGTTGAAGATTTACCATATATCGTTTTTAAAGTTATGTGGGTGTGAAGTTTTCATTTAGACTGTTTAAGTAAGTGTTATTTTAACGTTGAGTTGGATTAGTAACGTTACGCCTAGGTTGAAGAAATGTAACGTTAACGTTATAAGACGTGCATTGACTGAAACTGCATGTCAGAAAAGTGCATTGTTTTGGTTTAGAAACAAGGATCCGGTTGACTCGTTTGGTTAGAAATATATTAAGTCGCACTTTAAAACCCAAGAACTCGAATTCCAGAAGAAGCCTGTGTTGTTAAATCGTCACAAATCCCGATGCTAATGTGCTTGTAGCTCTGGCCTCACTTCGCCGCCGCCATTTTGTTTTGTTCTCGCTATTAAATCCTTTAGTCAAACCCGCAGCATCAATTATACGGATAGTTTATTTCGCTATTTGTGTTTGTCGCCTATTCCGATTTATCTAATCCATGCCTAGATTAATGCACTTGTCAGATGTGATATGTAATCGTGAAGTTATGTATATTATGAAATGTATATGTCTGCCCCCTCCTCCCAACACGAAACATGGAGGCCGCGGTTACAAGCAGCGAGTTAACAAGTCAAAACAGACCATTCATCGGGTTTATAATACACCGCTTTTTATATCAGATGCCGGAGCTTTTGTATAGTTAGATGGACAACATTAGTGTTTTTGTGGAGAGCTGTTCTGTGCCCTCACGACCAGTTGGCAAAGCGTGTAAAATAATCTACGCAGCTCCTGTTCGCCAGCGTTGCTTCATGTTGCGTAGAGATTATTTTACAGGCTTTGCCAAATGGCCATCACTGCTATCCCTAATCTGCATCTGATGTGAAGTACACTGCTCTGGCTTTAATGTTTTAAACAGAGAAGCAGGACTGTGCTTTTTACTAAATCATTGGATTGTGCTCTTTAAAATTCATGTTGGTGGGGATTTGTTTTTGGACAGCCTTTAAAATGCTGTTTTAGTTGTCCTTTGCAAATATTACTAGTCATGTTCTTACTATTGTAAAATCATACAAAATACATATGGGCTTACACAAACATTATAAGAATAATTTATAATGGTGATATTGAGAGTGGTGGCTAATACTAAATATTCCAGTAACTTTTATTTTGGCCAAACCAGTGGTTATGGTATTTTTTTGTAAGCGATGTTAATGTACCTTATATGATTATATTGTGGGCTTTTATTCATTATATATTATGTTGAATGTCACACTGTAGAAGAAACCCTGTAAATGGGCCAGAACTTTAAGTCTAAACTAGTATACTTCGGTATTATGTGTATGTTAGAGCAGGGGTTTTCAATCTTCCAAAGGCTATGGACCCCCGAATATATTCATCTTCATGCGAGGGACACCATCCTAAAATTAAAAAATGCAGCTATATATTTATGTGTATAAAGACCTAATTTATAATGTGAAGGAAAAAAAAATATTGTAACCTGTCAGTAAAATTAGGCTATGTTGCGTTTTTTTAATTATCCGTACTGCACTATTGTACGTATTATTTAAATCAAAATGTATTTATTTAAATTTATATTTTATAATGTTATTTATTTTAATTATGTATTTTTATTTAAGTTAAAAATATTTATTTTAATCAAATCTATTTGTTTAATTAGTTTAATCTTTTTAAATATTAGTTTCTTTATATTTTTTACACTTCTTTTCTCTAAACTTTTCCACGGACCCCATATAACTCCCATGGGGTCCTCAGTCCCCAGTTTGTGCTATGGTATGTGAACAGTGCATGTGACTTAAATTAATTTCATCATTAGTATAGTATGCACGTACTGTACCCACTCAGTCTGATTTTTCCTACTGCGTGCAGGCCTACTCATTGCTTATTTACAGTAATTAGTTTATCTACAAAGTGGCTCAATTGTTGTTTCACAGGCAAAAAATAAATGGAAGAGATGGAACAATGGCAAAACACCGGAGACCACAACAACAAGACGCTTGCGTTAACAAGTGCTTGTGTGAGGTGTTTAAAAGAATAGTTGACCCAAAAAAGAAAGTTATCCCATAATTTACTCACCCTCAACGATCCTAGGTGTATATGACTTTCTTCTTTCAGCCAAACACAATCGAAGTTATATAAAATAATATCCTGGCTCTTACCAACTTTGTAATGGCATTATTGCTCTTTCTAAATGATATTCACTCTCCCGGGTATCTGATAGATCACAACACTGGAGTAGAGAGGACCATGAATTGGCATCACGCGCGCAGTGACTGGAATTTAAAACTGTGAAGAAATAAAGCTAATGAACTTATAAAGATATAAAGGGATGCACTAGGAGCTGTGTGCACAATATCTCTTCTCTTGACTCTTTGGGACCTGCACTTTTCAAACTTTTCAAAGCAACTGTCACAGCTTTAAACATGTCCTTCTGGGATGCGCATAAGCGATGTGTGCTGCTCTGTGTGGGAGCCTTTCATATTATGATAGTTTTGCACACCGAAAGATTATTTTTAATAACCTTGTTATTGTCTTGTTCTGTCATATCTATAATATCTTGCTGCCCCAATTAAAAAGCTGTGCAATACATTTGAAATAAATTGCTTTCAATTGAATAGAACACAGTTTTTCAGAAATGTATTTTATAAGAGTACAAAATATACATTTGTTTTTCATATTTAGCATTTACACTTGCTTTCACTTTCCCCCCCACTAAATGTTTTTTTTCTTCCAGATTTGATAAACTTAAGTTTATTACATTTTTACTCATTTGTTGTTTTTCTCTATTGAATTTAGCAGGGATGTCGTTGTCACTAGAGATTAATGGATAGGAGGCTAAGCCTCTTTTAGGAGAGTCTGATCATGATTCCCCTGGATTTAAAAAATACACATATATTTACATACCACGATATTGCAAAATCTCTAACGATAGACATTTTATACCGTGGAAACGATATTTATCATCATACCGCCCAGCCCTATGGAGGCAATTTCAGTTTATACTTGAGGCTATTTATGTGGTTTTGACATAAACATTAAGTGTTTGACACATTAAGAATCTTGTTATGAATATAGAGAAGAAAAACATCTTTATTTAGATTTATCTGCTTTAGCTGCAGTTCACGACTTGTTTTTTTTTTTTAAATCATTTTGAGATTTAATGAATGTAGTTGAGTGGATGTCACTCATGATGTTGCTATGGATGAAACCTCTAACAAGACAGAAACAGTAACAGCATTTATAATGCATCACCATGGCAACCAGTCGCAACTGCCTTCCCCCAACATTTGAAATGTGTTTAAGTCATTAATGGCTTTTATTGATAAATCGGACTAGGCAAGCAGTTGTCTTGAGTCTTTCGTGAAAGACACAGTTTAAATGAGAAAGTTAGTTTTGTTTTCTGTTAGAAGTGAATACTGTTAGAACGTCTACATGTTGCTTTTCTGATTGACGTGTGCAAATGTCCATCTTGTCTAGTGTAAACATGGGTCATATTTTCTGTTGATATTTGATCATTTGGGATACCCCAATATCTTGGTTGATTTAAATGAGTTGAGCATAAGACCTAGGGTGACTTCTGTAAACATAATGTAGCCTTGTCTTGTAGGCTGTATAGTGATCTACAAAATGCTGCAAATTACGAGTAAATGTCCGAACTAGCACCTATTGGGGGGCGGCAATTGCTTGAATGGTGGGTTCATTATTATTCTAAATGAAAAACACAACAACTAGAAAAAAACCGCTGAGGTAACACCGAATACCGCAGCAAGCCTAATTGACTGACAAACATGTAATATTAGTAATTGCACTTATTAATGCAAAACAGTAATTTTATGATTAAATTAACTTTATGATTAAAAATCCCCCAGCGCTACCAAATCAGGTGCTGGCGCCACCATCGGTAGAACTTAGTGGCACTGGTGCTACTGCTCTCAAATGTTAGTCTGGAGCCCTGCCTGGTCTAAAGGGGTTTTAATACTAGCCCGTAATACAAAGATTTCTGTCATGCCTGCACTTGGCTGTTCAGTTCGGGGTTAAAATTTTGATCCTTAAAACACAGTAACGTTTCAAAGGAAACACCCTTTACCTCAGCATTATGTTCTCCCTTTTCACTCTCTCTTTCACTCTTTCTCTTTCAGTCTCAGGACTCACCATACTCAATGAGCGTACAGCGCAATGTCAGAGCGCTCTGGGCAAACGGCAAAGGGGAAGGATGGCAAAACCAAGTATGCGTCTCTCAACCTGTTTGATACCTACAAAGGAAAGAGCCTTGAAGCACAGAAGCCTGTTGGTGAGTTTGCACTGAGTAAAAGCTTTTAAGATTTTTTGTCACAAACTTTTTGTTGTCTAAAGTAATTTATCCTTATCTGTTTGTATATGGGAGTAGGGATGCTAACGATAAATCGACAATAATTTAATTGATAAAACTTATAGATCGTCGATTTAGCAAGGTCATGTGCAACGCAAAACATGTAAAGGAGACACAAGGAAAAAAAAAAAGCAACCACGCCGGAGTTATGTTTGGGACCATTTTACGTTAGAAAATAGTTACTCCTTCATGACTACACGTTTACTTGTGTATTCACAGCCTTGTTTTTATGTGCAAATGTATTATGTTTATTTTTGTGTAGGCCTATATCTGATTGATCTCATATAGGATTGGTGAAAGGGTTAGTTCACACAAAAATTAAAATTCTGTCATTAATTACTCACCCTCATGTCGTTCCAAACCCGTAAGACCTTCGTTCATCTTCAGAACACAAATTAAGATATTTTTGATGAAATCTGAGAGCTTTCTTTCCCTCCATTGACAGCAATGTCATTGCAACTTTCAAGGCCCAGAAAGGTGGTAAAGACATAGTAAAAATAGTCCATGTAACTACAGTGGTTCAACCTTAATATTATGATGCGACGATTGGTCGACGCTGGTCATGTGTGTGATGACCCAGGAGCTAGCCAATAATGAGCCGACATTCTGACGTATAACCAGAAGCACTGCACTGTTTACACTACATCAACAGCATAGGCGAATGACATGGAAGAGAAGAGATTGTGACTAAAGTCGTTATTTTAGGTTTTTTTGCGCACAAGAAGTATTCATAACATTAAGGTTGAACTACTGTATTAGTCACATGGACTATTTTAACTGTCTTTTTACCACCTTTCTGGGCCTTGAAAGTTGCAATGACGTTGCTGTCAATGGAGGGGCAGAAAGCTCTCAGATTTCATCAAAAATATCTTAATTTGTGTTCCGAAGATGAACGAAGGTCTTACGGGTTTGGAACGACATGAGGGTGAGTAATTAATGACAGAATTAAAATTTTGGGGTTAACTAACCCTTTAAGAATTAACGTGGTATATAGCGTGCCGGTGATCATCTTCAGCTTCAGCACATGCAGCTCAAATTTTTATATTTTAATAAATCGTTGTGAATTCATTAGGTTAATTTGCCCTGGAGCATGTCCACAACAGGAGTTGCACATTCTGACCAGCACGCATCTGAGGCGGGATTGGTGACCGTTATATTAGTCGTTATATTTGATTATTAAATAAGCAATTTAATTAAATGATCAAATCACATCGACTCATTTTACAATCCTACTAGCCCTTTATTTAGACTAAAAACCCTTTGCATGTATTTGGTGAGGAACATGGTGTTTTGAGCTGCATTCGCAGACCCTGTCCTGCTGTTGGCTATATGGCACTGCAGTAGACACATATTGCAGTATTAAGAGTAACTAACGATTAATTGTTTGTTAATTTAACCCTTTTGTGACCTTATGGACATTTTGACATAATTTTGTGTGTATCTGACTAAGCGCAGTAAGCCACTCATTTTGGTATTTGCGACTCACAAGCTGTTTGAGACCGAGAAGCGGCTTGTGCCTTTATGTAGACCAGTGGTGGTGCGCTTTTAGTGTGAGCGCAAAACCGGCGAGTAAAATTATGCATAATACAAGCACTATTTAACTGGAGCAAAGGAGACGAGTGAGTGAGAGGAGGCGGGTGTGTGTCATTTTACCATTGGAGAGAAGACAGTGAAAACGCGCAGCTGATGTTATTGCCTGTGCCGCTGGCAACAAAACACACTGGCTGGAAATCGGAAAGACGTGAGACTGAACTGCAGGTTACCGGTCCGGACCGATCATATGGAAAATCGTCCAATTCTGGTCCCTGGCCGGTCAATTGGTGCATTTCTAGTCTTTCTATATCTGTAGTCTTTGGTTTAACTGGCTTTAACTGTCAACATTAGATAAAAATGGACCCGCACAGACCTTGCGTTTCTGTGTGTATATGATATGTAGGGCTGTGAAGGTGAACTTGACAACCGCACCACCGCGGTTGTTAAGCGTCACCGCGGTGGCTGAGTAGCACCGGCGGTGGTCCGCCAAAACACTTTTTCAAAGCCGAAAGCTTTATTTACAAAATAAATAATAGGTTAGCAATTAAATGTTACATCACAGCCATGGAAACGTTTGGATTCATGACGAATGAGAGAGTTTTGCGTGAGCCCATAAATTTAAGCTTTGTCGGCTTTGTATTCTGTTTTGCGATCTGGTCACTCAATTATCAGCGAATTTAACAATATTCCATTAGTTATTCCACTGGACATGGAATCTCGTTTCTTTTCCCAAATGTTCACTCACGTCTCACCCATTTTTGCAGGGGATTATAAACGTTTCTTCCTTTGGTTCGCTTTTAAGTAGGCCTATTATATTCGCATTCTTTACTATTTTTAGTTTCGCTTTCTCTGGCAGCCCAAAATCAAACATAACTTAAATGTCTTGCCCTTGTGGAACATAAAATTCACTCTTCAGATCTTTTACAAGTAGAAAACCTGAAGATATTAGAAAAGAGATGGTCTCTTTCCTGGTCATCCCACATCCCTGATGTGAGAGTGGTAGGCTTTATCACGCGTCTTTGTGTGGAAATATAAAACAAATGTTTTTTAAATATTTCACTTTATTATAATTATTTAAGTTCATATTATTTACTGATATTTATTTCAATGCTTTACAGGCTTTAGTGTGATGTTTCATTGACGGAAGTGCTCAAATAAACACGCAGATTCGTTACGAAATGGATGCTGGAGCCTTGTTTATTATTATTATTTTATTTCAAAATGTATTTAATTGAGGTGTGTGTATATATGTATATATATATCGCCCCCCAACCGCGCCACTGCCGGTGGTTAGAGGTCGACCGATAGTGGATTTTACCGATACCGATATCTAGGTTTGACCGTACATGCCGATAACCGATAATTCAACCGATATTTTTTTAAATGGATACTGGATTAAAAACAAACATCATACTCACAATAAAACAGTGCTGAACTGAAATGTGCTCAATTAAATAAATAAATATGAATATATTAAAACTTTATACAGAAAATAATTTACACATTAAAATATTGCAGGTTTCGTTAGCTATAACCTAGAAACATACGTACATTTCATAGGTAACACTTTGCAAGTCCCATTTGTAAACAAGGATGTATGAACTAGCTTTCATGAACTATATGCATAATGCAATATACCTTTTTACTGCATGTATTAATATGAGCAATACAATTGTACCTTTATCATGTTAGTTCATTCATAGTACATTAACTAAGGTAATAAAAGATAAAATAAGAATTAAAACTCCATTTCAAATGCATTAGTAAATGTTGAAATTAACAAACTACCGTAACAATGAATAATTCTTCTACAACTTGTATTAACCTTATTTAATGCTAAAAATGGAATGTTATTGTAAAGTGTTACCATTTCATATGATTCCAAAGAGTTGTGCTTAAAGATGGCCATTAAAATGTAATAAAGACCTGTAGTATGTATACGTAATATAGCCTATAGTCTCTCACTTTATTTGCTTCTATATTTTAGAACACTTGATAATTATCTAATCAAAATAACAAGATCTATTGTATAGTGCTGCCGCGATTAGTCGACTTAGTCGACGTAATCGACCATGCAAATTAGTCGACGGCAATTTTTTTAGTCGACGTGTCGTTTTACTATTGACCGCTATTTATTTTTGGTCTCCCGTCACAAACGGCTCACTGTAATTCACCTCCACACACCAGTCTGTGCGCCGTGCGCGCCCTGCTGGTTTATCTGCTATCATTTTCCTTCACGTTCCCGCCCACCTTCACTGCTTTGATATGAAAAATTGCGGAGGCAGGTGACGGAGCTTTCACAGTGGGCTCGTTTGCTGCGGTCCGAGTCCGAGCGCGAGCGCGATTGTTCCCGGCGCCCTCCGCAGCGTTGGTCTGGTTTCACACTCAATTCTATCGAACCCTGTTGAGTTTGCGTGCATCTTATGCCATCGCAAACGTGCACGGCGCATGATAGAAAACAGAACGCGGGTCAATATATTGTGTTTTTCAAACGGACTCTTTTGTGGAGACAGTGGATTTCCAAATGTGTTGCCCTGATTGCACGCGCAATGCGCGAATGCACTGCAGACTCAACTCTCGCGTATCCAAGGTAAATCATCAACACTATCATCCCTTACATGTGTTTTATTTAACTAAATGCATCATAATCAGCTAAAACGCATGGGCAGGTTACTTAACTTCCTGAACAAGCGCTCCCGAGTCCGTGTTGCTTTCACATTCACGCGAACCGCGGCACGGGCCCGCCATGCACGCAAGTGTAAACGCGAGCTACATTACTGCGTGCCTGCCTGCTTTCAGCGCGACTCATAGTGGGCTAGACTCTTTCAATTCAATTCCAATTTATTTGTATAGCGCTTTTCACAGAAAATGCATTGGATCTACTTTACTATTCAGAGTGATGTTATCAGTTATGCTTTTCAGAAATGTACATAAATTAATCATTATTAGCTTACTGTACATTTTTTAAGGCAGAACAAAGAGCTAATTTAAGTAATACATACATGTTTGTTATTAGAGGATTAGATTAGGACTCTGACTAATATGGCATAGCCTAATGGAAATGCAGATACTTAATGCTTAGATTGTTAATACATAATGTTTTTGAACAGGTGACATTTTATGTTTTGGCCCTTCAGTTGAGTTCAAAATAAAATGGAGACAACGAAATAAACACTTGATTTTTTTTTTAATTAGTCGTTTAGATTAGTCGACTAATCGAAAAATTAGTCGAACGATTAGTCGTTAGAAAATTAGTCGTTAGTGGCAGCACTACTATTGTAGTGATTAAAAAGATCTTAAATCGAACGCGTTTCTGATTAGTTTACGTTTCTGTCGGCTGCATGAACATATCAATGTCGAGAAAGCAATCACGTCACTAGTTTTAAATATGCAACTTCGTCGGCTAATGAATGCATAAAAGTGACCAGCCGGATAAAAATAATGCAAATAGATGGTAACAATTGCGCCATAAAACATTTGGGTCAGGTCTGCGTGTGTTTTTGTCACATTGCATTAACGGTTGACTGAGGTAATGTCACAGTCCTCACAGCCTCGACGGCAAACTACTGTTCTTTCTCTGCTGATGCAGCATCTAGTCAACAAATGAATTAATTTGTAATGATATGGCAATGTGTAGCTACTTTAGTGTTATGTATTCAGACCGTTTCGCTGTCGGTGTTTTAAATGTCAGCGCTCTCGCTGCGTGTTCTCTCGGTGCTGCGCGCTGCCTCACGTGTTAACGTAAACAACTCAGCCAGTGATAGTTTGTTATTTGTGCTCTAGAGGCCGCTCTCACTCTGTATAATGCCAGCAGTCTCTTCTGTTCTGAGCGCTCTCGTGCTGTGTAATGACCGCGCGCACTTCTCAGCCGCTCCAGCAACGGACGCAACCCGGAAAAACTATCGGTGTGGATTTTTGCCCATAACGATAGTTCCACCAAACAACTATCGGTGCCGATTAATCGGCAAAACCGATGAATCGGTCGACCTCTACCGGTGGTTGGTCCATTACCACCGCGGTGGTAAAAAAACTGCCACCGTCACAGGCCTAATGATATGACGATACATTTTTATCAAAAAGAAATGGTGAAATGACTCCCAGAGCAGCTCTGGAGATGAAGCTCACGTGGAGTGTCCTTGTATTCTGAAAACACCATAAACGTCACGTGTTTGAGTATGTGTGGTAGAAACTGTGTCGTTTATTCACACATTTTAATGACTGGATTCTGTAGGACAATTCTTGTGTTAGCAGGAGGTAGCTGACTGATGGAGGTCATCTGTATTTGCCACGGCAGTACAATACAGCTGTTGCATATTAAGAAAATATAGTCCTTTACAGTGTGCAATTTAAGATCATAATCTGCCTGGCCTTTCTGAAACAAAGCGGCCTCGTGTTCATTGATTTCTAAGTTTCTTAAATCCCACTCTGCATCACCCTAGCATTATTGAAACATTTTTCTGTTATCAGCATTAGAGCTGGGTTTCGATTCAAATTTCAAGAATCGATTCGATTCCGATTCTCAAGATCTTGAATCGATTATCATTATTCGATCCGATCCGATCTGATCCGATTTTCGAGATTTAGATAAGTGTTTTTGTTTTTTCCAGCAGTTACCTGAATTACAGGACTGTAGTTATGCAACATATTGATACTATTAGGCTATTATAGACATTTAACTGCTTGTTTTGAACTTCATGCATGTGTATTGAATGTTAAACAAGTTCATAATGATAACAAACAAGACTGTTTATCGTGGTGATGTGTAGCCTACAGAGGCTTCGCACAGACAGTGAATGAGAGAGATCGGCAGAGCGCGTGCGATTACCTGCGTCTGTCTTTGAAGTCATATGTATTCGTGAAAAAGGTTGCCGTGTCAAAGGAAAGCGAAATATTTGTCGTATCATCCTTTTAACGTTCACGTCACGGGTATTTACCATAAATGCGCGTCAGCAGCAGCGCTGGTCAGCATTCCACAGTGCGAGGAAGCCGCGGGGAAATAAAATCAGCGAGTCACGCATTGAATCAATGCCATATTGGTCTCTAATAAGTGAAGCATCAGCTTCAGCGTTACCCATGCGACGCATTGCTGCTCAGCTGAGCCTTGAAAAGTGGAACTCAAAGTTAAAAATAATGAACACCTTGTTTCATTACATCTCTTTTAATGAATCAGCTTTTTTGAACGTGTTCGTTGAATGAACGAATGACTCACTCAAAGCTCGTTGTTGTAACTGTGTGCGTGCTGAGTGAAAGCCTTTTAATGCGCATACAGGGATCTCCCAGTCGCGGCAAGTTAAAGTTCACAGGGAAAATGTAAGCCTATTATTAAATCGATCCTCTGAGTTACGGATCGATCTTTAGAAATTAATATGAAAATCGATTCAGAATTGGTGAATCGATTTTGTCAACACAGCCCTAATCAGCATTGTCCAGGGTAGCTTACTGAACTGTTGAGGTTTGACCTGAGACAGAGTTCTTCTTGTAATCTTCGTTTTCCCTGCTTATGTTTTATTCAGTAGCCAAACTACTAACTAAGCAGCTGTCCCTGTTTTTACAAATAAATTTCTCCCTGCGGTTCAGGCTGCTTTGCTCCAGGAAACAAATAGGGTATTGAGAGCTGGGACAGATACGTTTTTCATTATCTGCAACGACTGCTCTGTGCATTGTTCAACCTATTTTGCATGGGCCAAGTCTGTCTTGAGAGTTTTAAGGTGGGATTTTTTTTTGACCAACTCAATTACGAGTCAACCACTTGAAACAAATCCTTGTAAGATAGTTTTGCTCCTTTCACTGGCCAGTCAAGCATTCCTAAGCCATAACGGATGGAGTTTGATGTTCTCGCACATGCAGCAGTCTCTTCCGCTCAGTCAGGCTGTGTCCCTTAAGATGGTGTTGGGTTTCTGTGCTTGTTTATTTACCTCCTCCTGTTCCACTTCTACTTTCAGTTGCCCCTCGTCATGGCTTACAGTCTCTTGGTAAAGTTGCCTCTGCACGGCGCATGCCCCCCCCTGCCAGCTTGCCTAGTTTGAAGGCAGAGAACAAAGGTAACGACCCCAACGTCTCGCTCGTTCCCAAAGACGGCACAGGATGGGCAAGCAAGCAGGAACAAGCAGACCCAAAGAGGTGAGGGATGTTCACGTCTGAAGGAGCTACTTTGCTTCATGATGTTGTTTGTGTAATTCAATGCAGAATAACAATAAAACCCCTACCAGCTCCATCGCCATCAAAATAACTCTGCACTTTGAAAAAGTGCTCAACAATGCGACAATTAACTGACAATGTGTTAAAATGGTACTTTTTTTCACTATGGACCACCCAGATTGTTAAATCAGTTTTTTGTACAGAGTAATCACATCACGTCAGGTTTTGATAGGACTGTTTAAAACATAATTATCTTCAGTGACCTTTCACCCTCTGCTGTTTGTTAATACAGTCTGATTGGGTACATGTCCATGCCTGCCATCTAATGCCTGTTGTTTTGGTTCTGATCTTTTCTGTAGTACCGATGTATTGTCAGCAGCGCAGCCGGAGTCGCAGCCGCCTGTGGCCTCACAGACGTCTGTGCCGAGCGTGCCGAAAACACCTCCAGCTCAAGAGGTGCCATCACACAAGCATGAATAATCTTCAATATTATGCATGTTATTCAACATCTAAACTTTTTTAGTTAATTAGGTCTGTACTAGGGATGTGCACGAATATTCGAATTTTCGAATATTCGATCTGTAATTATTATTCGAAAAATAAAATACTATTCGAATTTTATCGAATTTATGAAGCCGTAGCCAGCCTAAATGCTTTGCTGGCCGTAAATGCAGTGAATCCCTGATAAATCCCAAGCACTAACTCGCAGTTATAATTAAATCCTCTGGGTGGCGCTGTGGTGCGTGTTTAACAAGTTGTTTGTATTTGATCACATAATGTCGTCGTCGTCTGCCTCGCGAAGTTTGGAATTAGACTACTAGTTGAAAATTATGTTACTAAATGATCTTACAGAAGGGAACTACTTTTGATCAAATGAATTAATTAATCTGAGTTATAATATCATCAACACAATGAGAAATCACATGAAATCCAAACAGCAGGCGACTGAGGAAAGACAGCTGTCCATCACTACGACTGCAGGTAAGCGCAGCTGTAGCGCGCGTGATCCGAGAGATGATAACTTATCTAATAGCAAAATTATTTTTTTTAGACATACTTCCCTTAAGTTTCATTGAGAGAGACAGGTTTAAGAACAGAAAACGCAAAGTGCTGTTAGAAACTTATAACACCGTGACCGTTTGTGTCTCTGAATCGTCTGTCAGTGCAGCGCGTTTTCTCACTCGAGCATAAATTGCTGGCGGCGCCCCTGCATGTGGACATTATTGTTTTTCTCAACATAAATGTGAAACAATATACACGATAATCATGCTGACTCGAGTATGTGTGTACGTTCTGTTCGATATCTGGCGCAGTCTGCTACTCTGCTTTATTAGGCGTTTTTTTTCCGCTCGCGCTGCTTGAGCTTAAATTCTTTTGTTATTTATATTTTGTTTACACATAGGCCAACTGTTTAATGTTTTCAACTAAAAGAGAACTTTAACATATATTGTAAGCTTGTTGTGTATTGCCTAATCGTAAGCTTGTTAAGAAATGGTGACAAAAACTTTTTGAAAAATGTACTTAAAAAATAACGTCTTTTTCGTTAAATGTCATTTAAATAGGCTAAACGAATATTCGAATATTCGATTTCTATGAGCCCGAATATTCGAATGCATTATTTTTGAAAAATGCCCATCCCTAGTCTGTACCTTACAGCTGTACATGTTGTTGTTTGATAAGTCATTCCACATCTTTAAAGCAATACTCTTTTTGGCATAAATGTTTTTGTGTTTGTTACTCTGGGACATTGTTTGGTTCTTGACTCTTTTGCATGTCTCTTAGGCCCCGACTCAAGCTCTAGCCGTAGGACCAAGGTCCTGGGCACCGGCCAGTGTTACACATGGAGTACAAGGAGATGGTAAGATACAGTGCCAGGGACATGCTTGTAGATAACAACATGGAGTACATAGAGTACAGTATTTGAACCTCTACTAAAAATTATGAGCTTAATTGCCTATATTGAAACTTTTAAAATATTGCTTTAATTATTTTTTTTTGAAAGTCTTTTTTTAAATAAACAGTATATTACAAAAACAATGAGGTCATGAGGTTAACAATGAGGAAATTTAAATTAGGGTGATGTCAAAATTGAAATCTAACATTGGTTGAATTACACTAATTACATCTAATAACTAAAAAAAAACATGATATTGACACTAGCTGTGTTTCCATCCAAAGTTGCAAATTTAACTTGTGCGCAAAATTGGAATATATATCGCATAAAACATTTGCAAATAAAGCACCATTTCCATCCAGTTAGCCGAAGAGAACAAAATCGTCTCTTCCTGATAAACTGTTGCTAAATATCACTTAGGAGAAGACACTGTATATTAGCAGTAGGAAAAGCTACTGTATTTAATAAATTACTTGCGCCTCAGAAGGCAGATGAAGTTATCTTGCTTTCGGAGGCGGATGTCTGCTGTTTGGGAACACAGTCATGCAAGAAAGTTCTGGGAGGTAATTATACTGAACCACTTTGATGACAGACTTTGCTCAGGCATTTCAGAACAGCTAATCTGCTGCTTTGTCCAGATATGTTGTCCCATCTCAGTCACATGTAGGCATGGTACAGTATCAAATTTTTATGTTGCGATAATTGCTGAAGTTTTTATCACGGTACATGTTATTATCACAATATTGAAATAAGTTGCAAAAAAAGTGTTGTCATAGTGTAACAGGTTTAATAACTTTTTCTTATAACAAAAAGAACTCTATAATTTGTATGTATTGCGTTATTGTATTTAAATGTTCAAAGTAAACAAATGTTTCAAACAGATTAAAGTGCAAAAGATTTATAAAGAACAAAAGGTAACACTTTATAATAAGGTCTCATTATTTAACGTTATTTAGATTAAGAATGAGCTATAGCTACATTTGTTACAGAAGGTATTTTTCTCTGTTAATGTTATAAAATAGTTTGAAAATAAATAGCCTATTAAGTCTTAAAGGTACAATATGTAGGAATTTTGTAATAAAATATCCAAAAATCACTTGCACAGTGTGATATGTTTCCTGCAGTTGTGTACTTACAATATCCCAAAAGTCTCCAAAGATTTTTTATTTCAGAGAAATTTCAATTTTAAATAAGTGGCCGTCCCGGAAAAAAATGTCGCTTGTCAATGACGCAATATCCGCGCTTTCCTCGGTTTCCGTAACCATGGCGACAGACGTGGACAACTGCATAGTGCGTAACGTTTAGCTGCACGCTGTTGTTGCTTGGCGTTTTCGAGATGCCGAGAGCTCCACGTCCGCGACTAACTTGGAGGAGCAACACCGCTCTTGCATATACTTTATTAGACAGGTGAGCAAATGTACATAAAACAAAAGGATGTATCTGTGTTTCCTTGCAACACATGCAACTTTCAATAATATCACTTATAAACAATGCGAGATGCATAGGCTTATATGACGTGACAGATCAATCATTATGCATATGTTGATTCACCTCAAAAACTATCAAGTGATCGTTTTGCTGATGAAAATTCAGTTATATTGCGCTTTGTACTTTGGTAATGCTTTTTATCACTTGTGTTTTGACCGAGATTATGGCAGTGCAATTAAATACAATCGGATATGTGTTGTTAAACAATATTTAGCCATTACTTGCAAATGTTCGTTCAAATTTACTTTGAGTACGATTGGTTTGAACACGTAAAACAACACGGCATTAACGATAAACACGTAAAACTGCGCAGCATTAACCCAACAAATCATTTGACAAATAGCTGTAACTAGGGGTGGAACGGTACACAGAAGTCACGGTTCGGTTCATACCTCGGTTCAGACATCACGGTTCGGTACGATTTCGGTACAATGGAGGGAAAAGCAAAACAAAAATGCAGAAGGCATTGTATTTTTTAAATAAGTTTTATTATATAAAGGCATAGAACCAGTTTATTTGTAGTGCACTGACAATAGTTTTATATAATTAGTTTATTAATTAAATTAATGAAAAGACCTTGCGATATGTTTGGTAATTGTACCTGAATTAATTTAAAATTAATTTGCTATATTTCAGATCAATATATTTGTTTTCCTTAATTTTAATTAACATTATTAATTAACAATGTAACATTATTCTCATCTGAATTATAAATAATTGATTTCTGTTAAAATAATACTACCATTAAAAACACATTCGATTTTCTTTTTTAATCGATGTAGAATGTGTAAGGTTAGTGCTCCGAGGACAGGAAATGAAAACCAATGCAATATGATGAATGTCCAAAAGATGGGACCCACAGACTGTTTTGAAATGGAGTCGGATAAATATGTTTTTCTTTTAAAACAGTGTGTGTGTGTGTGTGTGTGTGATTTTGGTTGAGTGACAGTTGTAGGTTACAGTTTGACAAGAGTTTACAGTGTGCACAATGTTGTGTTTTATTGCGAGTGTACACAAATATAAGTAAACACTTTGCAGGTTTAATGATCTGTATGAACAAAATTACGGAGTATGTTTTTTTTTATGTTTCCACTGTTCGGTCGCGCGCCTCTCTCTCTCTCTCTCTCTCTCTCTCTCTCTCTTTTTCTCTCTCTCTCTCTCTCTCTCTCTCTCTCTCTCTCTCTCTCTCTCTCTCTCTTTTTTCTCTCTCTCTCTCTCTCTCTCTCTCTCTCTCTCTCTCTCTCTCTCTCTCTCTCTCTCTCTCTCTCTCTCTCTCTCTCTCTGTCTCACACACACACACACAGTTCGATCTCGCCTCTCTCTCTCTCGCGCACACACACACACACACACACACACACACACACACACACACACACACACACACACACACACACACACAGACACAGTCCAGCATTGCAATCTTGACATCGCAGCCTTCATTATGCGGTCACACCAAACACGAATAGAGCGTCAAATTCGCGTCTAGTTCGACGCTAGTCCAAATCGAATAGGACGCGCGTATAAAGCCAACGTTTGAAGTGAACGCGCGTTCAGAGCTAAGCCGATGGTACAGATTATGTGTCCCTAAAGAACCCGCGTATCTAACGGTAGTTCCGCATTACATTAATTAATTTGCACGCGAGTTTTATTTGTTTTTACCCCGTGTATTCTCCGTGTAAATTCGTGCACCGAACCGTGACGCCCGTACCGTTTCGGTTCGATACGAATACATGTACCGTTCCACCCCTAGCTGTAACAGGATAATATAGCATAACATTTCGCGTTCCTTGCAGTTAATTCATTATGGTGACATAAAATATTGCGATCAGACGTACAGGTAATACAAAAACAAATAAAGTACCTCATCCGTGATCATGATCCATTAATTCCATAACATCTCTGGATGGTGAAAACGACATCTCCCATCGTTCAACTCTCCCTCATAGCGTCACCAAGCTTGTTTACATCAGAGTGCACACAGGCCTCTTTGACGCAACATACAGCGGTGTTGTGGATTTTAATCGGTTGATGGGGAAAGTTTTCTTAATGCATTCTAAAAATTTTAATAATTCGTAATAAATAATTATTCTCGGTATTTTGAAGTGCCCTCAATAACAATATTGTGCGTATTCATTATCGTGTTTTATCGTATTACCGTATATCGGCACGTCTAGTCATGTCTTTTTTGATGCGCTTCGAGGAATTGATTCGGTAAATGTGTTTCCATCGTAGTTTTTCAGATAAAGTTTTTATGCATTTTTAGAATTCATGTGCATTTTGCCGTTTTCAATTTCCATCCAGCGTTTTTTTTTTATGCGATACCTCAAAATGCGCATACAAATAGGTCGATGGCAACAGCTGCTGCCATTTACTTACTCTTACATTTTCAATGAGACATTCTTTCTTCTTTGGAACATAAACAAGCATTTAAAAAAAAATTATATTAAAATTATTAATTAACAATTAAAAAATCGGGACTAACGTCTTCAAGTATCAAAGGGATGCAGAATTAATATAAAAGTAAAACATGTACAAGTCGAATGTACTACTTTTATAATACTTCAGTGACTCTTTTGCGTCTTACCCTTGAAGCTATACATAAATTGTGTGTGGAACAGATTAAAAAAATTTAGTATGTAAATAACAGCAGGATTTACTTATTGGATAAACCATTTCTTTAAAGAAAATAATTTACATAATATAAATGAATGTGAGGAATATTAAGAAATATAAAGTTATAATTGTTGAAGTCCAAAATGTCAGTTTGTTATTTTTGAAACATTGCTCTTCACAGGTGGAAAGGGATCAAACCAACAGTCGCCATTCTCTCGCGAGGAATTTCCCACCCTGCAGGCGGCTGGAGACCAGGACAAAGCTGGCAAAGAACAGGCCACTGCAGATCAGTGGTATGGGCCAGGACCAAGCCTCCGCCCCCAGAGTAAGCATGAGTGCCCTGTTCTCCTTTCTGTAACTGTTGTGGTGATTTGTCTTGGAGCGTGTGGTATTATATCTGTTAAATTCTAATGCTTCTGATTCTTGTTGGTTCACACATTCAGCGGACTCTAAATAAACTATTTTTTGTTCTAGACGTAACAAGTTGGCGGGATGGTGGGGGCCGGGCATTGGCACCCACCCTGGCTGGGGAGGCAGTTGCGGAGGGCGGTGCTGGGGGAAATATGGTGATGGAGGGTGCTGCTGGGGCCCCTCCCATCCCACAGCAGAATGCATCCTCTCATGGGCTGCCTAGAGCTCCCTCAACCAGCAACCCCGCACTTCCCCTCCCCCAGCCACCTATTGGCCCGCAATTCCAGGCTTACAGAGGGATCATACCTCCCTTCGTAAGTGTGAACATTTTCATCTTGGCTCATCTCTAGAGAATGACAAAATGTCTAAAATGTTTTATTCATTTGTTCAGTGCATTCATAGCTTTTCTGTTCTCTCTGCATCTTTATCTCTAGATGTATCCACCATACTTGCCCTTTCCACCCCCCTATGGCCCACAGGGACCTTACAGGTACCCACCCCCAAACGAGGCCCCTAGGTAAGATGATTTGCGAGTAGATTATTTCTAACTGAGTAGAAATACTACTAATATTCATTTCCACTGTTATCTAGTTGACTTCCTTAACCCTCTTCTGACTTCTTTCCAGGTTTTCTCGTTCCCAGGGTGGAGTAGGGCCAGATGGGCGGCCACCTGGAGGCCCCCGGGGTGAAGTGGTAAAACGCCCATCCATCCTCAAACAGGATGACCTGAAGGAGCTGGATGAGCTGGACCATGATGGAGATGAGGGCTGGGCTGGTAAGAGCAAAGCTTTCAGTTCATCTGACATATTAAGAGTGTAGAAAATTCTTTTGATTTATGTTATATATTGCATAATTGGGTAACTTTATGAAATAGGTAACTTGCATACAAGGAGACAGTGTTTCTTGTGATGGTTTAATAAATGACAGTTGCAGAATATTTGGAAAAAAAATTTTTTAAAAAGTTAAACACGGAAATTTATTTGTCTTTTTCAGTATTGATTTGGAGGTACAGCATATAACTACAGTGTCACAACCTTTTCTTGATGATTTTCTTTGTTCTCAGGAGCCCAGGAGGAAATTGACTATTCTGCAAAGTTGAAGTTCAGCGATGATGAAGGAGAGGATGATGGGGAAGAAGAACGGACTGAACACAAAAATGGAACCCGGTAAACATTTCCGAAATGTTTTCTTATTGGTTGATTACTTTAACTGTTCTTTTTGCTCACTGAAGTCCTTTTTGGATACTTTATATTCTGCTGCAACAGGGAGTCAAGGGAGCAGCAGAGATCCCAAGATGGACCTGCACCAGTTTCACGTTCCCGGGCATCCGACAGTGGAGGGGATTCGCGCCGCACCCCTCCTTCCAGTGCTGAAGATGGCTCCGCATCCCCCTCCAGTAAGCCAGGCTGGGCTGAGGAGAGTGGAAGCAGCTGGAACAGCCAAGCAAATGCAGGATCTTATCAGGTATGAAACCCATCTCCCCATCCAGGTGCAAGCCTTCAGTGGTACCACTAGAGCTGGGCGATTTTTCCCCCCCCCTAAAAAAAATCAGATTTTTTTTTTATTTATAAAAAACTCGATTTTTTTTTTTTTTTTTTAAATCAAGTAGAATTTCTATAACTCTGTGTGTGGAACTGATAATCACTCTTTTGTGTGTTAAACACAATCTACCTAATACAGACAACTTCATTATAAAGAAAAACAACAAATCCAAAAAATATATGATCATAATCTGACAAAAAATGCTATTATAAACTAGATTAGTGGATAATTCAGCAGTCAAATTTAGTCTAGAAAAATCACAAGTGCACAATAATTGTATAAAATCTGAACATTTAGTGAAAAAAACATTTAGTGAGGAACAAATAAGAGCACTAAATCTGGTAAAATGTTACACATTGCTCTTTGTATTGTTGTAAAATACATTCATGAAAAACAAGATAACAAAAAACAAAAAGATCAATTATTATATAGCCTAGTCTACTATAAAATTGAGACATGTTTTAAATGTATAGCACAGCTGTTTAATGAGGCAGCAACATATGATAGATAGGACGGAACAAGAAAGGCTATTAATAATCTTTCATTGCGCAAAAGTATTATGATATGAAAGGCTCCAATACAGTGCGGCACAAAGCGCTTATGTGCATCCCGAGCGCAGAATGATGCGCTTGAAGCAACACGGAGTCACAGCGCGTCGAGCCCGCATTGAAACGTTCAAAGCACAAAGGAAATACATATTGATGCGTAGTGTATTATACAGTATCTATCTATACAATCGTTTATTGAGCCTTTTCTTTTAACAGTTTTAAATTTCAGTTTCTGTGCGCGTGAAGAACAATTATAGTGCTCTGACTCAACTCTAGTGTTGTGATCTAACAGACACCCGGTAGAAAATTACATGATTTAGTCACAGCAATAAGGTCCAGCAATATAAAGTTGTTTTATGCGAAACCATAGACCTTTATCTACAGATCAAGTATAATAATAATAACATTGAATCATCCTAGAGAGCGTTTCATCGCGTTGACTACGTCGTACCCGAACTGCGCCCCAGGGAGCGTGCTACGGAAACACTGAAGGAAGATTTGGCGAATGCAAAATGTATGTACGCTATACTGAAGAGGGGGAGAAAAAAAATCTAAAAAATCGATTTTTTGAAAATATGAATCGATTTAACCTACCAACTCGATTTTTAAATCAAATCGATTTTTTTCCCAGCCCTAGGTACCACTGGCATTTGCCAAATAATGTGCAGTCACTGTGAGGACAGGAACATGCTTGTGGTGTTTCCTGGATGACTCACTGATTGATACGTGTACCCCTATGCAGAGGCGTAGGTCTGGACTAGGTGGTCCAAGGGAGGAGCCCTCCCTCCCACCAGGTCCAATTCTTGGACAAGGGCCCTACTCCTCCTACCACCAGGTACATGGGGAAGGAGTCCAAGAAATAGGACGGACGTGACATCAAGCTCTAACAAAAGCATGTTGGTGTTAATGACGATGGTGGTTAAATTGGTGAACTTTAATTACTAACCCACTTTCTGTCAACAGGACCGGCCTTCTAACCAGTCGCCAATCTCCGGCCCCATCCTAGCCCCCCAGAAGCCCAACGGTGCCCAGGCACAGCAGCAGGTGGGGGCGATGCCTGGTGGGCCGACCCCTCCTCCCTCCAACGCCCTGCACCCCCAGCAACAGGGTGAGGATGAGGATGAGACATGGCGGCAACGAAGGAAGCAGTCGTCAACTGAGATCTCTGCTGCAGTAGAGCGTGCCCGTCGTCGGCGTGAAGAGGAGGAACGGAGAATGCAGGAGGAGCGCCGTGCTGCCTGTGCTGAGAAGCTCAAAAGACTTGATGAAAAACAGCAGCAGCAACAGACAATGAAACCCAGCAGCCCCAGTGACGCTCCAGCCAACAGCCCTAGTCCTTCCTTGTCTGCGCCTGCCTCGTCTCCTAATGCCAGTCAGCCATCGTCACCCTGTGTGGACACTGAAGAACCTCCTCTGTCATCCGTTCAGGGAAGCGGTACAACATTGGGACTGAATATTAATAACAGACAGAGGGCTGGCAGCAACAGCAGCCATGACTCCAACACTGGTTAGTTTTCATTAAATAGTACATTTCCTCATCTTTTCTTGATGAATGTTTGTTGTAGAAAATGAGCAAACCATTTCAGTATGTGTTTCCTCTTCTTTCAGAGTCCCAGCAGCCTCAAGCCACCCAGCATCCACAATCCCTGGATGTCCCAGTGCCTGGAGATGCCAAGGAGGAACCTGCGGTGGGCGGGCCACACATCCGTGGCCCTAGAGGTGGAGATGACTCTGTGAAGTTGGTTGAAAGTGTTGGTGGAACAGGACGGCAGGGAAGTGGTCCACCTGGGCAGGGCTTTTCCAAGTATCAAAAATCTCTTCCTCCTCGTTTTCAGAGGCAACAACAGGTTTGTTTTGTCCTGCATGTTTTGTCTTTAAATATGGAAAAAGTCATATCCATTATATACAATGTTTATAATCGCAATGACTCACAGTTTCAGTGAATGTATTATACTAGGGATGTCAATTTACACAAATTTCCATGATCGATCGTCTTGTAAATTAACGATCAATTAATTGATTAATCGTTATTTAGCCTTAATACTGCATTATGTGTCTACTGCAGTGCCATATAGCCAACAGCGGGACAGGGTCTGCGAATGCTGCTCAAAACACCATGTTCCTCACCAAACGCATGCAAAGGGTTTTTAGTCTAAATAAAGGGCTAGTAGGATTGTAAAATGAGTCGATGTGATTTGATCATGTAATTAAATTACTTAGTTGTATTAGTCGTTATATTTGATTATTAAATGTCACCAATGCTGCCTCAGATGCGTGCTGGTCAGAATGTGTAACATGCTCCTGTTGTGGACATGCTCCACGGCAAATTATTAAAATAGTGTTATCATGTTATGTAACATGACAGTCCCAATCATAGTTATTATTAGTCGTGCATTGATGTTTGAGCTGAGCGTGCTGAAGCGCTGAATGAAACTGAAGAGCTTTGCTAGCGGGTTATTGAACTCAATGAAAACGCGTCCTAAATGAGATTAATCAGATACATACAAAATAATAAACATAATACTACAAATTATATCTGCACAAAATTGCTATTCAGAATGTGTGACTCGTGTTGGAAACAAGGCAACTAAACTCAAATAATTCACAACGTTTTATTACAATATTGTTCTTTTTTTATAATGTTATGTAATATGACAATCCCAATCATAGTTATTATTAGTCGTGCATTGCTGTTTAAACTGCAAGCACTAAAGCTGAAACCGACCACCGACGCGTTTTACTACCGTGTTAATTCTTAACCAAATGCATCCTATATGAGATCAATCAGATATAGGCCTACACAAAATAAACATAATATTACACTTACATTTGCACAAAACAACAAGGGTGCAAAGACTGTGAACTGTGAAGTACTTAATTGCAGAGTTAGACCGTTAAACAGTTTTTCACCATTGCTGTGTTCATGATTTTTTGGGCGGGGCTAAAACAGGGCTCTGACGCCCTGGAGCCACTGAGGTTGGCCCCTCCCCTAACAATATAACTAGAGCACATTCGCATCAGTTCGCCATTCAATCGCGAGGTACTATTAGATACTACAGCCTACAGTTTGCTAGCTAGCTATACCTTCATCACGGAAATGCATATTAACTGGATGCCATCACTTACAAAACAGATCGGTGTCCTTATTTAAATTTCCCAAAAACTATCATATCAAGAAGAGGTGGATTAATTTTTGTGAAGAGCCACCTTGATGGAGAGCTGAGGATCACTACTAACAACCGCCTCTGTAGTGATAATTTTAGACAGGATAGTTTTATAAACTTTCATCGGAGACAACTGGGATTCACTGATAATCCGCTGTTACTAGTGAATGGGGCCGAACTGACTCTCTCCCGCCTCTGCCTTCATCCTCCCTTTGGCTGGATGGCTAATAACACATTTTTCTGTGGTGTGACAAACTCAGAACACATACTTAAATTTGACTTTACAGGGACTTTAAAGTAAAATGGTCCAAAACATAACTCCGTCGCTTAATTTTTCCTTGTGTCTGCTTTGTGTTTCGCGGTTGGGCAGCACGCATGCGCATGACATTGCTTAATCGACGATCGATAAGTTTTGATTAAATTATTATCAACAATTAATCGATCGTCAATTAATCATTAGCATCCTTATATTATACACGTGCCAGAATCTGCTTGACCTGTTTTAATCCCCATCAGACTGAGTCCGCTTTTCCATAGTTCATAGTACCGGAGTATAAAAATCTCAGCTTTTAGTGTATTAAAGATAAAATATCTTTAACACAATAAAAGCTGAGTTTCTTTATACTCAGGGACTAAGGTTAAAGTCTAACAAACATTAAAAAACGTTCAATAAAAAACATGGCTTATATCATTTGTGGGCAGGAGCAACTTCTCAAACAGCAGCAGCAGTGGCAGCAGCAGCAGCAACATAACCAGGTTGCCCAAAATCAGCTTCAGTCCCAATCTCAGAATCAGCAGGGCCCCTCTCCAGGTACCACACCACAGTCTGGGCCTAAACAGCCAACCCTTTACCCCCCTGGCTCAATGGGGCGCCCTCCACCTCTGACTATGAATTTTGATCCCCGCTGGATGATGATGCCATACATGGACCCCCGAATGATGCAGGGACGTCCCCCACCCATGGACTACTACCCTCCCAGCATGCATCCTTCTGGTTAGTAAAAAAAAACAGATAAACTGAATATTAGACAGATGTCTTGTTGTCCAGGGATGATAAGGGCTTTTGTGTTTCAGGGTTGATAAGTCGAGAACGTTCTGATTCAGGTGGCTCTGGGTCAGATCCGTTTGATAGACAGCAGCATAGCGGAGCCCCTCATCCTCATCGTGGCACACCACCCATGGATCCCAAACTGGCTTGGGGACCGGAAGTTTTTCCTGGGGGTACTGAGGGTCGAGGTCTAACCTCCCCTTTACGGCAGAAAGCTGTCGAGGAAGAGGAGGCTGGCAAAGGTCAAAGGTAACAAGACGCCATTTCAAACATTTTTATATTAAAATACAAAGTAATTGCTTTAAACTAAACGGCTTGAGTTAAAATTCTTTATTCCTGAATTTTAATGCTGAATATATTTGTAAACTGTTCATTTATAGCATATTGTTAGACTTTTCTTTACTTTTTTATAAGCATGACATGTTTTTCTTTTCTAAATGTTTCTAGAAGTGACACTCCTCCAGTGCGTATGCGAGAAGGAGGAACGGCTTCCATTCAGGCGCCTGGTGTGGCTCCCAGCTCTCCATCGGGCTCATCCAACCAAACCCCACCACCTCTGGGGATTCAAGTTGGGGGCCAGGGTGCTAGCCACCATACCCATCATCAGCCCTTTATGGGTGGGCGAGGAGGTTACAGTAGCTACCCTGACAGTGGATCCAGAATGGGCCCCCTCCTGCAGCAAAGGGCCAACAGTGGAGGGACACTGCATGGTTTTGGCCATCAGGAGAGTAGTCAACAGAGCCAAATCTGGGGGACTCCTCATCCCCATTATGACCGTAATGGCCGTTCTGATCACTCTGCCTTGGAGGCCAATTCACATCTACAACACCATGGTCCTCCCACTCATCCTCCTCATTTCACTCTTCATCCTCATAAGCAAGAGAATGGCAGGGAGCGAGAAAAAGTGGGGGAGCCAAAAAAGAGTGACCCTTCACCTCCACTACATCAGCCGTCCCTCTCCTCTTCCTGTTCATCGTCATCATCATCATCTTCCTCAGCTAGAGAAGATGGCAGTGGAAAACAGTCCCTACATAATCAAGTCACTCCACAGCATGAGCATGATACTGGATCTGCTCATGCTCCAGGAAGGAAACAAGAGAAGATGGGAAATGCACATAATCAGCCCCAACAGCATTCTGTGCAGCACCATCATCCTAAACCCAACCCTCGCATTCGGGAGCACAAAACTGAGACACACTGGGGCCCGAGGCCTGGTAGCAGTAGCGTGAGTGGGGGCTCAACCCATAACAGGAAGGCTGGCTCTGGAATGAGTGGAAATACTGAAGAACCCGCAAATCAGGGGACTGAGAACAAATGCTTTACTCAATCAGATGGCATCACAGTCAAGCGGGCAGGTCCTATTAAGAGACCAGTGCTTAAAGAGATGAAAAGAGAGGGTGGTGAAGGAGGAGGAGAAAAGACCACTGGAGGCTCTGGTAAAGATAAAGAACAAGATGCTAGCCAGACAACAACCAAACAAGAACCAGCATCTGGGGCTCAAGCCTCCTCAGCACCCAGTGGGAAAGATGATGCAGTCTCATCAAATAAATCCAGAACTGGTGGAAAGGAGCGAGGTAACACTGGGGGTACAGGTAAAGGATCTAAAAACGGAGAAAGCTCCATTCAGAATTCTGGCTATTCAGCTCCTCAATCCAGGAGGGAACGAGAGCTTTCTTCTGAAAGAGGAAGCACAACTTACCATGCATCCTCATCCAGAGGTAGCCGATCCAACCGTGGCCGAGGAGAGTTCTTTGGCCGAGGCCGAGGCTACAGGGGCACTTACACTGGCAGTGCAGGTGGAGGTAGCCGTGGGAAAGCAGGTGGCAGAAGCAGCAAGGACTATAGGTCAGCAACCAACAGTGGCTATCACCATGCACCTTCTAATCAAGAATACAAGCGGGAGGCATCATCTGGCAGTGGTAGGCACGGACATGGGGGCTCTCAGACAAATCCGGGACGTGCTAGGAACCGAAGTGAGACTCGAAGTGAAGGCTCTGAATATGAAGAGGTGCCAAAGAGGAGGAGACAACGGGGATCTGAAACAGGCAGCGAGAGTGCTGGTAGTGACCTTGCTCACTCTGACAAGGAAGACCGCAAGCTGAACATCAAGACTGGCACACGAGGAGAGAACTCTACAACAGGCCCTTCTTCAGCTCCAATCAGAAACTCCCAGACTAGAGTGTTCACTCCAAGGGGAGTGCCATCAAGACGTGGTAGAGGTGGAGGTGGTGCTGGAGGGGGTCTCCATAGAAGTGGAGGCACTGCTGGAGTGTCTGGTGGACATAGATCTGGACCTGCCTCTGCTTCTCATGGCTGGTCTACAAAATCTGCAACTGTGCGAAAGCAGCATACATCCTCACAGCCATCCCCTCCTAAAGATTCAGGCCGTGGAATGAATGGTGACAAGAAGAAAGCTGCAGACCTGAATCAATCTCAGAGTCAAAGTGCAAATCCCTCCGCACCTAATCCCTCTGTGCCTACAGCTATCCAACAAGGGTCCACTGAGAATGGAAGTGTTGGAGCCCCTCTGCCCTCAAGTAATGTCCCTTCAAATTCCACTGGTGCTCCTAACCAGACTCTTCCTCAGTCTACCCCAGATGGACGAAGTTTCCCTAACAGGGGATTTGAGCGGCCCCCTCGTCGTAGGCGCAACGGACGATCCCAGCATCAGCAGGACAAGCCTCCCAGATTCCGCAGACTTAAGCAAGAGCGAGAGAATGCAGCCCGTATAAATGGAAGCAGTGGAATTGAAGTCATAGCTGGACAACAGCAGCACGCTGCTTCACCGTTGCAGAATTCCCTGCAAGAAACCAACAGCACTCCCAATGCCTCTGCCCCAGCTGTTGCAAATGCAAACCACAGTGTGTCTGCAACTTCTAACAATAATAATAATAGCAGCAACCTTGGGGGTGGAAATCAAAATTTCAATAGTCACCACCACCACCACCATCACTACCAGGGGAACTCCCAGTCACACCCTCAGCACCATCACAACCATAACCCAGCTGGGGGCGCCAAATCTCCCGACGTCTCTAACCAGAACTCTGACCAGGCAAATGAGGAATGGGAAACCGCCTCAGAAAGCAGTGATTTCACAGAGTTTCGAGAAAGAGAGGGTGGAGGAGGAGGTAAATCTTATTCTTCGCATCATCACCATCACCACCATCACCACCCATCAGGGAGAGGTGGTGGAGGCAACAGCGGTGGTGGCGAGAGAGAGATGACGGCTAAAGAATTGGCCACCAGCAAGAGAAGCTTTTCCAGTCAGCGCCCTGGAATGGAGAGGCAGAACAGAAGGGTGAATACCGGTGGTGGTGGTGGTGGAGGAAGAGGCCCCAGGGGTCCCCCCGGTGCTGGTGGGGCAATGGGTGGAGCTGGTGCTGGCGGGGGCAATCGTGGTGAGAGGCGTGGAAACTGGCCCTCTCCTAAGAACAGGAAGTGATGTTTTGTTTTTTTTTGGAAATGTTTAAAATGCATCCCTCTATCTTTGGCCACTCTTTTCTGTAAAACCTCTACCCCCTTAACATAACACTTTATTATTGTAAAAGATTAGTTACCCAGACCATGTACACATTATAGATCTTTTGGTTTATAGCTTTTTGTCCCTTAATTGGAAATTCACACTCTGGTGTCCTTTCACACTCCCACAGATCCTAAACTACTCTTGAGATTTTACATACTACACCCCATTTTAATGGAAGTATTTCCTGACTGAAAATGCATTCAACCACATGACCCATTTATGTTTGCATATACAAGCACAATATTACATCAACCTGACAAAAATGTGCTTAGTTAATGTATGCTGGGCACGTTTCATATATTTATGTAAGAACTGTGGCTTGAAGTATATATGAAAGCTAAGGTTGATATTATGTACTTGTGTATTCACATCACATGTTGGATTTTGGAAGTTGCTCTTTTAATGAGAACAAATGTATCATAGATTTGTTTTTCCCCTCATTGTGTTTTGAATTTCTCCCTATGTTCATTTTCCATTTCAACCTCTCTTTAAAGGTGAGGATATATCTTTTTTTCTTCTGCAAAGCAGGTCATTAAAATGTATTTTTAAATAGAATCCCCTTCATTTTTGGTTCAATCTTGCATACTAATGTGCTTGCCCCACTAAGTATTACACCACAGCTCACTTTTTTTTTCTTTTTTTTTTTTGGGAATATCACTCATGCCCACTTTTTCAGAACAGCATGGTGTATTATTTTTTTTTCCTTATGTTAAATTCACAGGCCTTCTCTGCTCATTGCTTTGGGTTTTCAAATAGTTTCATTAGTGGTTTTGGCCTCGGCATGGAATTGTAGACTATTAGTGCACATTATACATGTTTATATCGTTGGACAGTGATCTTAAATGAAGGTCCTTCAAAAGTTCCTCTTCATGATCACATTGTTTTAAGGCCGTTTCTGTTGTGAGCAAACCAAATGACTCTTAGCCTAAGTGTCAGATCCTCATTAAATATTAGATTTTTTTTTGATTTTTTTTTTTTTGAGAACATGCGTTACAGATTTTCTTGTGTCTTGCACTTATGTTAAGCCAGTAAACTCCTAAAATCTCCTTTAGATTAAAGATAGTTTTTTTTTGTTTTGTTTTTCTCCAAATGATTAGCTGTATATTGGGCATCTTATTTGACTAGGTGTCATACTGCAGTTCCAGGTTATTGAACATGAAAAGTATTGTGCTATTGTTATATTCACTTACCAGTTCTTGGGCGTGTAGATAATCGCTCTTTGACCACCCTCTGCATTGTAAATTCCCTCATTTTTTTTTATTTTTTTAAACAAAAGAAACTTACACAAGCTCTTCCTCCTGTGTGTATTTCCAAAGTCCCTCAAAACATGTATCAGAACATGAGCAAATGTCTTGCTCACATCCTCGGACTGATCTTCTATATACAAGTCATCTCATTGAGACACAAGTCAATGCCAAGGAGTCTGTGGCCCTTTTTTGAGTAGTGTTACAAAAAAATTTAAATAAGACATTGGTTCAATGTGCAATATGCCTGACGTCAAACAAAACCTACCCATCCAGGGAGCCTGAGCCCAGGTTAACAAGAAACCACAAATGCTTGACGTCTAAATGAAACGGATCAAAGCATTGTTCCCTCCTCATTTTGACCAGCATCTGTATCCTAATGGTGTAAGTTGGGGTTTGTTTGTTTTCTGGGAATGCCTTGGTCTAATGAATAGCTTTGAAATATGTAGGGCTTTTGAATGAAATGTTTGTGTGAGTAGGGCATTTAAAAAGTATGTGTGAATTTATATCTGATCTCTACATGTAATGTGCTTTTTTGAGGATAGAACACTTTGTGAAAGGCGAACATAAGTCCCAATTGCCCACTTTTTCTGACACTATTAGGATGTTTATTTTATCTAGGATATTTTCATTATATACATTGTGTGTATATGTTAATCCAAATGAAGTGCAGTGAAAAAAAAGTTAAATCAATATATATATATATTTTCCATTCTACTTAGGAAAATAACTAAAATGGGTTTATTTGACTTTACTTGCAGACATTCTACCAAGCATGGTTTTGTCCTCCGATACAGCTTGGTCAGTCTATTCGTTGGAAGCCATTCTCTTATAGGCTTTCAGTGCTGTTTATCATCCCTCTTAAACTTAATACATTGATGTGGTCACATTATATGTACCAATATTTGAATAGAAATGTGTATTCCTTGAAATACTCAGAGATTGTATTATACTTCTAACTATACCAAGGTACCTGAAGTTGTTACTGCTGTCCTAGCATCTATGGCTTATTATTGGAACCTTGATATACACACATGTATGTATATTGGTATGCATCTGAGTTTGTCTGCCCCAACTTACATTCCCACAAACAGTTGTTGCCATTTTTAAGTTCAAGGGAGCAATGTACAAGCAGAGAAGTGTCTTATTATAATAAAAAGTATACAGAGAAAAAGTTAAATAAAAATCTTTTGTTTAAATGGAAGATCTGTGGTTTGACTTCATTTCACCAACATAGTGTCATTAAGAGTTTTTAAAAGGGGAATAAAAGTAATTTTTTCTTTCTTTTTGCTTGCCATGTCCATTGTCATTTCATTGATTTACTATATATGTGTATATATATATTATGTGTGTGTGTGTGTGTATATATATATACACCTAAATTAAAATGAACACATTTTTGTTGAGAACAACTATTACTATAAAGTAAATAGATTGAATAAATGTTTTGCTGCATTCCAGGAGGGAAAAGATAGCCATACATTGTAGAATTAAGAATATCTTTGCATATCTTATCATAAATTATAAATGCCAGTTTTGTAATATTAATCGATGACTTCAATATTTGAGTATAGTAATATATAACATGAATACTTGGTTTATTCTAATCCAGATAATGGCAAAAGCACTGAATGTGGAAAAACTCAGATTATGAAGACTACAATTCCTACTGGAGCAGAATTGAGAGAGCGGAAGTGACCCGCCTCATGATCACGTGCCGTAGAGCAGAACAGAAGCCTCCAATCAGCGTGCAGTCGTATCGCTGCGGCTAACATCGACCCCGGGAGATCCTTGAGGTAACACGAATAAGCGCTTTAATCAATGTAATGGACAAAAATATGTAGTAGTTTCGATATTTGTTTGGTTTTCAGTTATTTTTGCGAATTCGTTGCTAGTTTTACGTGTTAGGACAATATCCGTTTGACAAATTTTTAGGGGCAGTCGGTAAATTTGCTGCGGCCTAGTTTTAGTGTTAGCTAGCACTAGCAGCGGCATGCTAAACTCATCTTGCGTTAGCTGAATTCACAAACTACAAAATGGACATTTGACCAGATACAAACGCGTCATTTTAACGCACCACTGTTTTTAGACTGTGGATTAAAAAAAAAAGTCCATATGTATTTTATTGACTCGGCGATAACACTGAAAACCTAAGCAGCAGACTATGTTAGCGTGCATCAGGCCAGTCCAGTCCAGTCAATTGTTTACGTGAAAACAGTCAATTTGTTATAAACATGTACTTGCATTAAACATGTTAACGCAGCATTATAACTCATTTTTATTGTATGTCATCATTAAAAAAGGACCCTTTTTAGCCAGTAATAGTCTTTGTATCTGTTATTTTATTCGCTTAATGTTGCTCTCATCTCGTCCACAGTTTCCCAACATGAGTAGCTCAGAGGAAGTGTCGTGGATTTCTTGGTTTTGTGGTCTACGGGGAAACGAGTTCTTCTGTGAGGTTTGTATTCGTTTCTGATCGTCTCTTATTTAGTATTATAGCTATTAAAAGACATACCAGGGAACGTTAATATTGATTAGAAATGAGCTACAGGGTTGGAATCTTATCAGACACGAGCACCGCCCTCTTGAGATGACAATAGAAGTTGTAATAATGTCTGTAGAAATAAAATAATTTAAAGTACAAGCTTTCCCAGACCCAACCTCAAATTAAAAAGGCATCTTTATAAATGCCCGATTTATAATATTCGATTTATGCATTATTATATTTTATTCCTACTCACTGTAGTAATGTTTGTTTATTTAATTTTAATCTAATGTATTTAGATTAATCTGTTTTGATTTAATCTATTTAATATTTTAATATTATCATAATTTAATGAATTTATCTATTTATTTTAATCTTTTAATTTATTATAGTTTTTCTCTAGACTTTCCACAGACCCCCTGTCACTAGGGGTTTTCGCACTGGATAAAACTCCTGTTTCGTTGTTCCTGTGCCTATTAGCGGAAGTACTCGTTTTTTGGTGTGTTTGCACCGCAGGAACTGGGAATGATTATAGTTCTAGGACACCTTTTGGGGGGACTAAATTATCTTCTAGTTCAGACTAGGTTCTAACCCCTCACAATAGGAACTATTGTAAGTGTACGTTGATTGGCCGAACGCATGTCATACGAAACACCGGACCCTCCAATTTTCAAAAAAGCCATGTAAACACAGTTTACATACTTACTCTACAAACTAACTCCATGATTCACGAACGTGGAAAACAGCGATAGATGGACCGATGCTGAAGTCCAGGCACTTCTCAACCTTTATGCTAAGGAGGAAATCCAATTCGACTTTGAAAAGGACCAAGCTAAACATGATTGTGTATTTCTGTTCAGCTAGCGACATTGGGCATCAACCACACAGCAAACGCTATAATACTTTTTGTGTACCATTTATTTTCCTTGTTTAACAGTTCTATCCAACAAAGTATTAGATAGGACTGTTAAACAAATGGTAAACTAATGGCGCTTTTCCACTACACAGTACCAGCTCGCCTCGGCTCGACTCGCCTTTGTTTGGTTTTCCACTGTGTAAAAGTTGTACCTGTACCTGCTTTCGGGTGCTTTTTTTCGTACCACCTCAGGCGAGGTTCTAAGCGAGCTGAGGCGATACTAAAATGTGACGTGAAAACAATGCCGACTGCTGATTGGTCAGAGAGAATCGTCACTATTCACTGCGTCATCATTGCACGCGCCAGATGGAGTATCCAGAATAACCCTGGCATTTTTAAATAGTTTGGCTAGAGATAGTTACTAAACTTACTACTATTATTATGGCAACTCGGAAGAATATGCCGTGGTCAAACGAGGAGGTGCAGACATACCTTTGTTTGGTTGCCGAAGAGAGGATCCAGCGAGAGCTTGATGGGGCAACGAGGAACGAAAGGCGTCGCTATGACGACCGGGTACTATTTGTGGCGGTACTTTCTGCAATGGAAAACGGAGCGAAAAGCAAGCCGAGGCGAGCTGGTACTGGTAATGGAAAAGCGCCATAATGAAGATGGAGAGTGGGAGCACTGTGTGCTCAGGCTCTGGCGTTCTAAGCTCTGTGAAAATAAAAGCCCTGCTGCTGGATGTAAGTGTAGTTCCTACTGCTCGTGCGAACGCAACCAGGGAAATGGCCCCAGGGGAAAATTTAGTTCTCGGAGGACCGCCCTGGTGGCTAGTTCCTAGAACTACCCGGTGCGAAAGCCACTACTCCTTTGTGGCCCCCTGGAGGTCCCTAAACCCCTGACATAGAAAACCCTTTTTTAACTGTCTCTGAATCACTCATAAAATTAAGGTAGATGTCAATCAACCTGTGTTGATGTAATCTGTCATTTTCGAGAACAATAGATGAACCTGCTTTTATCTTCATATTTGTTGGTATAATGTACATCTCTCTTTACTCCTTTACTCCATACAGGTAGATGAGGACTACATTCAGGACAAGTTTAATCTTACGGGACTCAATGAGCAAGTCCCCCATTACAGACAAGCCCTTGACATGATCCTGGATCTGGAACCTGGTCAGTGATTTATTTTTTGACACAAACCAACTTTGGGCTCGTAATTTATAAATTTGATCTTCCAGTGAGATGTCAGCCTTCCCTCTGGTGACGTATGCCGGACTTCTCCATTTAGTCCAATTAAACACTGCAGATAATTGTGGAAAAAAAGGGGTGGGGGCATTTACACATTAAAATCTTCATCCATCTAATAAACAACTGTTGGATTGAAGTCACTGCCCTACATTTTTGTTACTTTTTCTGTGATTGTACGTCACAATACGGAAGAATGGATCTGTTGCGGCTTCCTTTACATTGCAACTTTGATTTTTTGTGCAACCATCTGCTGTACTTTATGCTATACATACAACCAACCAGGCACATTAAAAATGTAGTTTTATACAACATCTTTTAACCCAAGTCCATGAATCTTGGACAATTACTTGTTTTAATGCACACATATAGTAATAGTCATAATTGTCTGCCTAAAGCAAAAATGTTTTTGTTTTTTTTTAAATTCCTAACTTAGTTTGTTCTGCTTGATTTGAATATGATCCAGATAAGTTATGAATACGTTTGAAATGCTTTTGTACCCTCTAAATCATACTAGAGATGACCTGCATTTCCCCATCTATTTTAGTCACCATGAAATCAAAATGGGCCATTTTTTTTATTTATTATAGATGATTTATCTGTGTTATCGTTAATTAAAATGCACAAATAATGTGTTCTCATAATCTTTAATCAAGTACAGTAATGACAATAATTCCTCCAGCAATCTGTCATTCACATAAAACCATTGCAGCAGTTATTTAGTTTGATGAGCTGTTTCACTTGGAATTACATCACAAGAAGAAAAAATTATCAAGATTTTTGTCATGCCATCTTGAAACATTGTGATTTCCTAGCCCTTATATGGAGGTGTTATTGTGTGTGTCAGATGAGGAGCTGGAGGATAACCCCAACCAGAGTGACCTGATTGAGCAGGCTGCTGAGATGCTCTATGGACTGATCCATGCGCGCTATATCCTCACTAACCGCGGCATTGCCCAGATGGTACGTAGTGTTATCATTTCATTAGAGGAAGACACAATTCATTTTTTCGACTTCATATGTTGATGTGCTTGTTTTCTCTTGCAGCTGGAGAAGTATCAGCAGGGAGATTTTGGCTATTGTCCTCGCGTTTACTGTGAGAATCAGCCGATGCTGCCTATTGGTGGGTTCTGACCCCATTTACTTGGGATTATTGTGATTTTATTTTTTTGTCGTTGCTCTCATCAGTATTAGCTGATTTCACTTGAAAGGTACACCAGCCCAGTTTTCATGCTTTGGAAGAATGTACATGGGACCATTTGACTCGCAGATACACCATACAATAAGCAGACATGGCAACACTGCAAAAAAAAAAAGCTTATATTTCCTTTGTTCAACCAATTAAAAAAGCAGGGAGTGTAATTATAAATAAAGAAAAACCCTCAATATTGCATATTTAGATATAATTGGTGGATAAAATGTAACTTAAAATGACAATAAATATTAATAGTATCGCTTAACCAGACAACGGTATTTATAAAAAGAGAGAGAGAGATCAGGTCGATATTGGCCATTCAACATAAGAAACTTGTAATTACTATCGGCTGAAAATAATCTTTATTGGTGCTTCCTTATTAAAAAGTAATGCATTTCTTTGCTTCTGAAATGTGACCTATCTTCAATCTGAATTCCTTTTAGAAAAAATCTGGTTTTGCCATACATGTTTTTTTGATTTCATGTCATCTTGACTTTTTTTAAAGTTGGCTAAATATTGTTGTGTTAGAGCAGGTCTGTGTGCACCCCAGCGATCACATGATGTACTCCACAGTGTGTGAATCTAGCGTCTGTGTCTCTCTCTATCCAGGGCTCTCTGACATACCTGGTGAGGCCATGGTAAAGCTCTACTGCCCTAAGTGTATGGATGTGTATACGCCAAAGTCGTCCAGGCACCATCACACCGACGGAGCCTATTTTGGCACTGGCTTCCCCCACATGCTGTTTATGGTGCATCCCGAGTACCGGCCAAAGAGGCCTGCCAACCAGTTTGTGCCCAGGTTTGTCCTACCTTTATATGGCAGTCACTTGCTGCTTTGCCTAAATGGATTTTCTGATATCGCAAAAAATGGTTAATTTTCATTACGGTTTCTCAGTACTGTCATTCTCCTCTGGCAGGCTCTATGGTTTCAAGATTCACCCAATGGCTTACCAGCTACAGCTGCAGGCAGCCTCCAGCTTCAAGAGTCCCGTCAAAGCGATCCGCTAAGAACCTGAGCAGGGCGGGATGGGGTGGGATGGGGGTGTGTTGTGTGTCCGTCAACATGGCTTCACTCTTCTCCTACAATTTTAGATTCGACTAAGACTAACATTCAAATATGGAGAGAGTGAGACTATGAAACACTCTGGGGAGAAATGAAAACCTTGCCTCTGAAATACTGTACAGAAAATGGGGGTTTCCTTGTAAAACAATTTCAGTTCTTAACTTCCACATAGAAAATAAAGTTATAATTAAAGATAGATTCCTGTAGGATGGCTCTGCTCACTCTCTGGTCCTGTTTGTTTTAGTTCACTAGAGTAATGTTCACTTACAAGGCCGTCATGAATTGATAGCTCATCAGTTCATTGTGTAATGTATGGTAGACGTTGAATATAAATATGGTTGATCGATCATCAAAACTGCAGTTAAATGATCGTTCAAGCCCCTCCTCTGTTCGACCAGATATTTGGCTTACTTTAAAATGGCTGTTGCATGAAAAAGGCAGTATATTTTGGGATTCGTTTGAGTAATATTGCTGGGATTGTTTATGACTGTTCTTTGTTGACAGGCTGCAAGCTTTCAGTGCATGTATTAGTAAAGACCAGCAATGGGAAGAGACAAACGCAAACAGGAAACGGTCTCTGTCTTAATTAGACAAGTGTTTTTTTTTTTTTTTACAATCAGCCCTGCACTTCTCTTCAGAACGACGCCAACCTGTTAAGTTCCTCCAGTGTCAAGATGACTTCAGAGAGTTTTTACTAGATTTACCACAGAACCACACTTAGGATGTTTTTATTTTATTTGGTATGGGCCCAGGTTTTTCTTGTTTAAAGTATTTCTTCTGGTAAGAGTAAAATATATAAATCAGTTTTGAAAGCATTGGATGTATTTTTTTTTGTGAGTGATATTTTTTTTTTTGATCCTGTTGAATGTTTTTTTTCTTTCTTTACAGCTGTTGAGGAACCAGGGTTCAGAATTCACAATAAATGTCTTTTCCTATAAGCTGTGTGAGAGTCCTATATGTTGTGTACTCTCATACATTTCTAAAATTGTATGGCTTCCATGGAGGGCAAAAAGGTGTACAAGATCCTGTGGTACATATTCCCAGGTTCTTTTATGATTTATTTTGGAACTTGATAGCCTTGGTGCTTATTCACTTTCATTATATTGACCATAGTGTCCTGTTGGCGTTATTGCATCAGATTATATGCCCCTTTACTCACAGCTGAATGGACCAGTTTTGGGTGGCAATCTCTAACCCAGAATAAAACTGGTTCTGGAACAGGTTAGCAGTGTTTTGTAAATTACCGTGACTATGAAACCAGCTTCATGCAACAGTCTCAGATTAACACATTTTGGTTTCAAACATGAAAGAAACAGCTGACCAAAGTCATTTTCCTTTTAATAAACACTTGGATTTCTTTTGTTCCGCATTTCCTGTTCATCAAGGAGTACCAAGCTTGCTGAACAGAAAACATTCTAACCTTAAGGCATACATATAGTAGAAAAAAATACTAACGTGACAGGACAACATTTACTTTGTAAATACACACCCAAACTACATAAATAGTTAACAAATAATCATTAAACCAATTTTTCAACACATCTCAATTCTCAACAGAATTTAGAATAGCAATTTGTCATTTGAACGAAATGAGACTGCGTCTTAATAGAGACTTTAGTCCTAGATTAAGAAACCCTGCATGGGTTAAATTCCATATAATCGGCTCAGTTTGAAATTCCATATGATTTGCTCAGGGCCACTCTGGAAATTATGACTATAAACATAATAATGCTCCATATGCTGATACTCCACAAACTGAGGTTTAAACCAATTACCATTCCATCTATTGCATGAAATCGGACTAGTTTGAAATGATGAATATAGGTCTTTTTGTAAATGTATGTTAAAACAACAGCAATAATTAATGCAGATGGACCAGTAGATGCACAGATGGAACTAAGCGTCAAAACAACAACGAACAAAGCAGTGAAGCTCATGCAACAAAGACCTAACAACAAAAACAGGACTCTAGTATAATTAGCAATCCGCTCTATTTTCTATCACACATAGACAATATAAATTAAAGAGAATTTTTTTTTTATTTGAATGTTGCCAATTAATTTGATTTGATATGCATGGCTGATCCATAGCAGAATTCGACGGAATTCTCCACTTTTTATGAACAAAAATTCACAACATACAACAATTTTCCCTTTAATGTTTACAGCTCTTCCTTGACTCCGTTTAGGACAAGAGGTTTGGACGCCTCGCGCTTCAGGAAGCTGATGAAATCCTTTACTTCACGGGCTCCCTGAAAGGTGACAAACCAAAATACAAAGAATTATTGTTCATAATGGCAAATATATGAACATTATAGATAGCCATATTGTACACCATAAGATGGTTGAAATAAACACTACCTCGTATCGTTTTGGCTCATTCTTCCGTCCAGCAGCGGCAAAATATATTGCAGGAAATCTGCAAAAGAACAACAAAAAATTAACAATGGATACTAAAATGAATATAAAAGATTTGAGGATGAGTGATAAGATGTGAATACATGCCCTTGCACGTCATAGCCCTGTGGGACATCATTGGCAGTTGCATCCATCTTGGCGATTACAATATTGGGATCACTGTACAGCTAAGAGTCATACAAGACCATAGGAACCAGAAAAACAGGATCAGAAGAAATTCAGAAAGAGATAGAAGTAATTTACTGTGATAAAGTCTGTAAAGCTCACCTGTTCTCCAAGCTCTGTAAATTTGGGCTCCAGTTTTTTACAATGGCCACACCATGGAGCATAAAACTCAATAAGCACGTCTTTCTCTTGGTCATTCACAATCTCTTCAAACGTATCCGCCACAACCACCTGCCCGCAAACATCAACTCCAGTTAATGCCTGAAGTGATACTGTAAATGAAGACTTTTCATTACACACATCTCACTAACCTTGACCGGACTGTTGTTTTTGGCAGGCACAGGCTCTGATTTGACATAGCGCTTTAGTCGCCCAGCAAAATAGTCTTCCAGAAAACTCTCTAAAGACTTGCCATCTCGTCTGAGGAGGGTCCATATTTACAGTTAAAACCAGACATAATTAAATCACACTGACCTAGAAGGCCTATAACAAACCAAAATGCAGTAGGAGTGTTTGCACAATGTTAGCTGTGGTAGAGCTAAATGAAGAATATTATTATTTTTCAACAATATTATGATAACAGTCTTATTAATATGTTAATATATTAATAAGTATGATAATGGTATATGCTCACAAAGGCTGCATTTATTTGATCAAAGATACAGTGAAAACAGTAATATTACAATGAAAGTTTTCTATTTGAATATATTTTAACATGTAATTTATTCCTGTGATGGCAAAGCTGAATTTTCAGCATCATTACTCCAGTCTTCAGTCACATGATCCTTGCTGATTTTGCTGTTCAAGAAACATTTCTTATTATTATCATCAATGTAGAAAACATCTACTATTTTTAGGGAAACCATCATTCTTTGATAAGTAGAAAGTTCAAAAGAACAGCATGTATTTACTATTTAAAATAGGATTTAAAAAGAAATTATTATTTTACTGCCACTTTTAATCAATTTAATGCATCCTAACTCAATGAAAGCATTAAACTCAAACTTTTGAACAATAGTGTAATAACTTTTGAGATTAAATGTTTAACACTGATTTGTTTCTCTTATGTGAACACATTAACTCTTCCCCCACCAGAATTTTCCGTCAATCCAATTCACTGTTATCCAGTAGGAGGCGCTATTACACACCTTCTGAAAGAATCTCTGGATCAAATCACAGGCGGAGAAAAAGCAGAAACAAGCGATAGAAGCATTGCTTATACACGTTGTAGTCTTTGACAAAACACTATTTTCTCAGCTTAAAAAAAATACAATACAATTTAAAAGCAGAGGCTCTGTACTTTCTTTTGATCAAAACTGTCGGTGCTGGCTGACAACTTTTTTCTAAAAACGTTACAGGGAAAAGAGTTAAAAGTTAGTGCACTGCATTTTTAAAAGAAGAGCATTTGAGGAAAAAAATGATTAATTGCAATGTATTCTTTTATTTTAAGAATTACATCTTTTACTTAATAACAAAGTTATAATAATATGCAAGAAATATAATATAATACTCTTTAAAAAAAGTTTTTAGAAAACAACTGATGACATATCGGAGTGATTAGATTACTCCGATATGTTGCTTCGGTTTCTCGGTTGAAAATGAAATATGATGTTTTGGGTGTTGATGCTTGTAATGGCATGACCTAATTACTCAACTAATGCAAATTCCTTTGAAGAACAAAAAAAAAGGTTCTAAACCCTTAAAACAGGATCATAATGAAGTGTTTGTACTCACGTAAACTCCTCCCGCATGGTGTATTTGTTTCCTGTTCGTGTCCTGATGGTGACAAACGGCAGCTCAGCTCCATCTGACGGACCCAGACCAAACTCATCTTCAAGCTCCTCCATAAAGTCATTACGGTTCGCCACAGAATACAACAGGCCCTGAGAACTGAACTTAGACGCCACCTTTAGCACTCTAAATGTAGTTGGGACAGAGAAGGACAGATAAGTACAGCCTCAAATTCAGAAAAGTTGGGACATTTTGTCAAATTCTCAAAAGTACAAAGAAATTATTTTCACAGTTTTCAATGACCAACTTAAAGACACTGTACCTGATATATTTTTATTCTATTTGGGCAAAATGCTTCTAAAAATATATTATTTGGGGTTTAAACCAATCATCTGTGAAAAAAACAGGCTTTATGATGCCATCTACTGTTTATTATAGAGGATTGTAATAGATGAGAAGCTCGTTCCAGGGACGGAAAGTCTTGGCCAATAACATGCTCAGGAAAAAGGGGGTTGCGCATTATTGAACTTAGGGACAAAAATTGAATGTTTTGAATGAAAATTGAAAATTGAACATGAATCCATTTTCCAAACCGCGTTTTTGTCTTATCCTGAATCACTACGGTCCACCTATAATAAGTGTTTATATTCGGACTATCTTAGACTGGTTCGGGTCGTACTACTGCGGAGTAGCCCAGTACCTGCGTGACTCGTCATAGACATAAACAGAGAGAAGTAGCTCCAGCTACAATGTTCTTCCACAAGATACATGCAGTTCTGTTTATTAACCGCTAGAGCGCCAAAAGTTAAGGACTGCATCCTTAAGTGTATTTTGTAAACATAAACAAATTTTGATTTTGATGGCTGCAACACACACGGTTCTCATAACTCATGAACAGCCCATGGTCATCGTTGTCTAATTATTCTTTTCATGATGGGACAAATCGGAGACAGATATGGACTGCAGCCAGGCAAGTCAAGCACATCCAATCTACGGTGTAGAGTGTCTACAAAAACACTCAGTTTTAGCACATGCAGAATGAGGCCTGGCATTGTCTTGCTTCCTAGGAAAGATGTCATCACTATATGTCTCTGTACAATCCCAATATACACCCCCAGATCAATGGTACCTTCACTCACATGCAAGTCACCCATGCTGTTTGCACTTACGCACCCCCACACCATGACAGATGTTCATGAGTCAGAAGTGATTCTGACGAATGGGGATTGCTTGCGAGAGCTCATCTACTTCGAGTGAAATAAAACGAGCCAATGCACATTGGCATGCGTGCGTTCGCATCTTTGTCTTTCGCTTCGGAGCCAGACGGTGAATGCTGTTTCTGTCTCCTGCAAGATTTCTACACGGTGTTTATCGAGTCTCTGCGAGGAAGCCTCTGTGTGTGGTGTTGGTATGACGGCGCGAACAGCGGTGGTCGCTATCTCTCCGTGTCAACAGTTGAGAGCAAAAACAGCTGTTTTCACAGCTTTGTTGGTTCGGTGGGCATGACACTGAGAGTGAGTGCTCACACAGGACTATTCCTGTGTGTAGTCGCGGCTATCCCCCTGTGCGTTTCAGCACCTAAGAGCACTTCTAAAAGAGCTAACACGATCTGTCTGCGTCTCTTTCAAGATGTCATTCAGATCGTGTGTTTCTGGATGCGGCCGATGTTTGACTTTGGCTGACGGGCATGATCGCTGTATCACGTGCTTGGGCTATAGGCACGCTGAAATGGCGCTCATGGATGACTCATGTTCTCATTGTGGGAACATGACCATCGCGGCGTTACGGTCGAGACTCCGTTACCTCGAAAGAGGTGGAGCCCCTTCGCTTATTCCCCGATCTAGTGCTTCTTCTGCTCAGCAGAAGAAGCCTACTTCAGTTAATAGCCTTGGTGACCTGAGGATCACAGTGAGAGGTAACCCGCCGAGCCAGTCTCCTCGGGCCCCTCACTCCTCTATAACGCTTCCCGCAGAGCCTTCAAGAGAGAGCGCTGGGCCGTCCCCGGCGGTCCCAGTCATTTCTTTTGGAGCTCCACCGGATGATCAAATGTCGGTCGCTGCATCGGAGGGTGAGCTAATGTCCTCTGGGGATGATGACTCGGCTGCGCTGCCTCCTTCGGGTGTGCCAGCGTTGTCCGAGTCAGACCCAGAGCTCACGGCTATGCTTTCCTGGGCCGACACAAGTGTCAGGCTCGAGTGGAACCCTCCACCGTGTCCCGAACCTTCGCGGCTGGACGATTGGTATCTCGGGGCGGCCCATGCTGGTTCTCAGCGCCCCGCCCAAGTACCCTTCTTTCCGGAAGTGCATGAGGAGGTTACCAGAGCATGACGGCACATTTTTCTGCCCATTTTTCTTCCTCCCTCACTACCCTCGATGGCGGAGCAGCTAAGGGTTACGTGGAGATCACCCCGGTGGAGCGGTCTGTGGCGATGCAGCTGTGTCCCAAGACCGCTACCTCCTGGCGGGGAATCCGTTTTCCACGGCACAGAAGCAGACGGAGGTGATTAAGCACATCCTGCCCCGACGACCAGCTGCTGCCTCCGCCCAGTCGTCAGCGAGGGTGCCCCCCTGTGGCCACCTCCGCCCCTGCTCAGCCTAAGCAGCAGCCTCCACCCAGGCAGCAGGTGGCCGGTCGCAAGAGGAGCGCCCAGCCTGTCCAGGCCCCCGCTAAATCTGGCGGCAAGCGTAAGGGCAAGCGGCCCTGAGACGGGCGACCCAGCGATGGAGGAAGCTGCTCTTCGGGAGAGAGTGTCCACACCTCTCCCTCCCCCGGAGGAGGACCGGGTGGAGAATCCTTTGTTTAATTTTGTTTCTGTTCCGCGGCTGGCTCCTCGGAGTCCCACATTTTCAATAAAAGAGCAATTTCTTCCATCTCTGGGTCACAAGAGGGCGCGGATTGCAGTGACCGACGCTTCCATGCCTTGCCACTCCTTTCCCTCTATTCCATCGCCAGCGGGCAGCAGTGTGCGGTTCGGGGACGCCACCAAGCCTTCCCACGCACCCTCTGCCCCACCCTGGAACCAGGTAAGTGTGGCACAACACACTCAGACTCCACTTCAGGCCGCCTCAGTGCCTCCCGAGCCGAGTCCCTGTGTTCCACCTCACTGCCCCTTCCCGGGTACGTCTGTGGTCCCGTTGGTCCCGCTTATACGATGTCTGGGAGCCTGGTTAGCGCTTCCCAGCCCATCTGGCTGGCTCATCCATACCATCAGACTCGGCTATGCAATTCAGTTCGCCCGGCGCCCTCCCAAGTTCAGGGGCATCCACTTCACCTCTGTGCGGAGTTGCGATGCCCCTGTCTTGCAGGCAGAGATCGATGTCCTACTGGCAAAGGACGCGATCGAGCCGGTTCCTCCAGCCGATATGAGGACAGGGTTCTACAGCCCTACTTCATTGTACCCAAGAAAGGCGGTGGGTTACGGCCGATCTAGGAACTGCGAACTTTGAATCGGGCCCTGCACAAGCTCCCGTTCAAGATGCTCACGCAGAAACGCATTTTCGAGTGCATCCGTCCCCAAGATTGGTTTGCAGCGATCGACCTGAAGGACGCGTACTTTCATGTCTCTATACTTCCTCGACACAGACCGTTCCCTACGGTTTGCGTTCGAAGGACAGGCATATCAGTACAAAGTCCTGCCCTTCGGGCTGTCCCTGTCGCCCTGCGTCTTCACAAAAGTCGCGGAGGCAGCCATTGTTCCACTCCGAGAACGTGGCGTTCGTATTCTCATCTATCTCGACGACTGGCTGATTTTGGCTCAGTCTCGGGATCAGTTGTGCGAACACAGGGACATGGTGCTCCGTCACCTCAGCCTGTTGGGCCTTCGGGTCAACTGGGACAAGAGCAAACTCTCCCCTGTGCAGAGGATCTCTTATCTCGGTATGGAGTTGGACTCGGAGTTGGATCAGTGTTGAACTGCTTGAGTACAATCAAGAGCAGAACAGCGGTCCCACTGAAACTTTTTCAGAGGCTCCTAGGGCGGGCATATGGCAACCGCAGCCGTAGTAACGGGTTGCTTCATATGAGACCGCTTCAGCACTGGCTTCATGGCCGAGTCCCGAGATGGGCGTAGCAGAATGGCACGTACCGGGTGCACGTCACCCCGCACTGCCTCCAAACCTTCAGCCCGTGGTCGGACCCTTCCTTTCTACGGGGCAGGTGTTCCCCTAGAACAAGTGTCCAGGCATGCTGTGGGGGCCACGTACAACAGGCATGCAGTTTCAGGTCTGTGGACGGGGCCTCAACTACATTGGCACATCAATTGCCTCGAGTTGCTCACAGTACACCTTGAAGTGGGCCGCCTCAAAGGGCCGCTACAGGGCAAGCACGTACTGGTCCGTACGGAAAACACTGCGACCGTTGCGTACATCAACCGCCAAGGTGGTCTACGCTCCCGCCACGTCGCAACTCGCCCGCCATCTCCTCCTATGGGGTCGCTTCGTGCCTCTGAGGTCGCTTCGTGCCATTCACATCCCTGGCGTGCTCAATCGTGCAGCCGACGAGCTCTCACGACAGCCTACACTTCCGGGAGAGTGGAGTCTCAATCCCCAGGCGGTCCAGCTGATATGGGACTTCTTCGGAGCCGCACAAATAGATCTGTTTGCCTCTCCGGACTCGACCCATTGCCAGTTGTTTTACTCCCTGTCCGACAGAACCCTCGGCACGGATGCGCTGGCACACAGCTGGCCACAGGGCCTGCGCAAGTATGCGTTTCCCCCAGTGAGCCTTCTCGCACAGACAATGTGCAAAGTCAGGGAGGACGAGGAGCAGGTCTGGTTAGTTGCGCCGTATTGGCCCAACCGGACCTGGTTCCCAGAACTCATGCTCCACGCGACAGCACCTCCTTGGCCAATTCCTCTGGGGAAGGACCTACTTTCTCAGAGATGGGGCATTCTATGGGACCCGCGTCCAGACCTCTGGAAACTCCATTTCTGGTCCCTGGACGGGACGCAGAGGTTCTAGGTGACCTACCCCAAGCGGTGGTAGACACCATCACTTCTGCTAGAGCCCCCTCAACGAGGCGCCTCTATGCTCTGAAGTGGAACCTGTTCGTTGAATGGTGTTCTTCCCAACAAATCGTGCATAGAATTCGGGCCGGCTAACTCTCACTTTGTCCTGAGACCCCGGCAAGGATATGTGCCCAAGGTTCCTACCACTCCCTTTAGGGACCAGGTAGTGAACCTGCAAGCGCTGCCTTCAGAGGAGGCAGACCCAGCCCTGGCTTTTCTCTGTCCCATCCGCTCGTTGTGGTTTTACGTGGACAGAACGCAAAGCTTCAGGACCTCAGATCAGCTATTCATCTGTTACAGAGGCCAGCAGAAGGGAAAGGCTGTCTCCAAGCAGAGAAAGGCCCACTGGATAGTGGATGCCATCGCCTTGGCTTACGGAGCCCAAGGCGTGCCTTGCCCGTTTGGGTTGCGAGCACACTCAACTAGAAGTGTTGCTTCCTCCTGGGCGCTGGCTCAAGGCGCCTTGCTGACAGATATATGTAGAGCTGCGGGCTGGGCGACACCTAACACGTTCACTAGATTCTATAGCCTCCGTGTAGAGCCGGTATCTTCCCGTATACTCGCCCCCAGTGGCCAGTAGTGCGAGGGACCCGTTCTTAGTGTCGGCTTGCAACGCCACTCCCACCCCCATGGGCCGGAAATGTGCGTCTTTTTTCTCCAATAGTGTTCCCCAGAAATGGCTAACCCTGTGAGTTCCTCCGTCACCCCTCCGGCACTCAGACGTTGCAGAGCGTCTGACGCCAGGCCTACACTCGTATGCTTGTGGAATCTGTGTTAGGCTGGGTGTCCATATGTACGGTCCCTGCGGCGACCCCATATGTGTATTCCTCCACGATCAGCTCCTCTGCGGACGAGCCCGTGTCTTTCCCTTGTGTCCGTGTCGAGCCTGTGTCTCTGCTGGTGTTCTTTCCCCCCTATAATTAGGCTGAAACCACCCCAGAGACTGCCATATGTTGTACTGCTTGGCTAGTCCATATGTGTATCCGTCACTGTGCCTCCCTCCGGGGTAGGATGTTGCTTCCGCAGCGTTCCCTTCCACAAGGGCACGCTTTCCCAGCGTTATCCAATAAGTCACACTGAGTGGGTCTTGCGGAACAGCAGTGACTGACCTTCTCTGCTTAGAGCTCCTACTTCTGTCCAACACTCGGTCAGGCCAGGAGGCTCAAGCGGAGCGCTGGAAGGGCCAGCAGCCGTGGCGTTTTGCTAGATAATCACTTCTGACTCACGTTGTAATGATCTGACGAAGGGGAACGTCTCGGTTACGTATGGTAACCCTCGTTCCCCGAGGAGGGAACGGAGACTTAGATCCCCTCGCCACAGTTGCTGAGCTTCCGCTGTACGGCCGAGTCACAGGTCCGGCTCCTCAGCGGAAAAACAAAGATGCGAACGCACCTGCTGCTTGTTATATGCTGCTTGATACACAGCAACTGGTGCAATTATCGCATGCCAATGTGCATTGGCTCGTTTTATTTCACTCGAAGTAGATAGGCTCTTGCAAGCGATCCCCATTCGTCAGAATCACTTTTGACTCACGTCTCCGTTCCCTCCTCGGGGAACGAGGGTTACCATACGTAACCGAGACGTTTGCTTTTGCACCTGTCACTGATGAAAGTCTGGATGGTCCCTTTTGTATTTGGGACTGAGAACTCGAAGTCAGTTTTACCCCAAAACAAATCTGACCACAGCGCACATTTCCACTGTCTTTTAGACCATCTGAGACGAGCTCGGACCCAGAGAACTCAGCGCCGTCTCTTCATAGAACTGATGTATAGATTTATCATTGTGTAACAGAGATTCAAGTTGCATTTCTTGATGCAGCGTCAGACTTTTGTTTTCCAAAGTACTACCGAGCCCATGTGGCTGTATTTAACAGAGTAGCATGATGGTTTATCATGCAATACCATCCGAGGGCTCAAAGCTCACACACATTCAACAGAGGTCTCCTGCCTTGCCCTACACAGACTGAGATTTCTCTGGATTCCCTGAATCTTTTCACAATATTATGTATGATAGATGGTAAAATACCTAAATTATTTGCAATCTTGCATTGAGAAATGTGATTTTTGAATTGTTTGACAATTCTCTCACATTTGGCACAAAGTGGAGAGCCATGGCCCATGAGTCTTTGGTGGATGTTCCTTTTATACCCAAACAAGATACCCTCACCTACTGTACTACCAGTTGACCTGCTAACTGTGGACTGTTTCAAATATCCTATAGTCTTTTTTATTGTGCCTCTGTCCCAACTTTTTTGGAGTGTGTTGCAGCCATCAAAATCAAAATTTGTTTATATTCACAAAATACAATTAATTTGACCAGTGAAAACATTGGACATTTTTTCTTTGCACTTTTGTTAAATAAAGGCTAAAGAAAATTAACAAATCACAGATTCTTAATATTATAATTTTTTACAAAATGTCCCAACTTTTCAGGATTTGGCGGTTGTACTTTATGCCTCTGTAATAAACATGTTCGCTCACTGATTCTGAATGACCCACCTGTTTCTCCAATAGTTGGAGCCTTTGGCATTGCGAAGATAATCCAAGTCATAGTAGGCAGTCAACAAATCCCTCTTTTTAAACGAATCCTTATTCTCTTTGGTCAGGTGAGGACAAAGGCCAAAACTACAGAGCAAAAGCAATCAACATCTCAGCACCTGCTCTCTGTGTGTTTCTTATGTGCAAGTGTGTGGCGCATCAGTGTCTGCTCACATGTTGTCTCTAATGAAGCGCCGCAGGCCTGTGATGGACATTGATCCTCTGTGGTGCACCACACTCTCCTCAAACTTACTGCTCAGTCTGGGGGGTCGGAACAGAAGCACAGACCTGCCGGCAGAGTGTTTACAGATTTTTAATAGTGCATAATAATTTTAATATGAATCTTTTTTATTTATTTATCCTGAACAACAAGCTTAACTGTCAGCTTTGGTTCAGAACACTGGTTCTCAGCTGGTTTTGTTTCAGAATTCAGATTTTACTTTGGACAAGTACCCAAATAGTTTATTGAACCAAAGTGAACAAAAATCTCTTTAACATCAAATATTATGATTAAAATCAAAAGATCCAGTAATATGGAAAATTAAGATGACAGTCTAAATAGGAACAAAAATATATTTTTAAATATCTTCTTCATTTACACTGCCATTTACAGAGCCCTTAAATGGAAATGGTGATGGAAAAAAAGGAAATGGAAAAATTATGTCAATGATTTTGCATTCTCTGGCAAATGTTTTGCGTTTGAGAAACTTTGCATTCCCTCTGAAAACTTTTGTTTCCCTGGGGAAAGCAAAAGTTTTGAAATATATTTTGTCCTCCCAACTCATATTTGAGATGTCCCTTTAGGGGCTCCATAAACATTCGTAATGCTCCATAAAACTTGGGGCCGGTAAGATTTTTTTAAATGGTTTTTAAAGGAGCATTGCGGAAGTTCTGAAATTTCTTACCGTTACTGACACCAATGGCCGTTAGTGAAACTGCAGCCAGTCTCATGCTCGTTCTCGGTGCGCACGCTTGCACGCTCGTTGGCCGCACTAGATAAGGCTTTTCTTTTTCTTTTTCTTTACTTACAAGGAGTTTCCGTGTGTATCTGGATTGTGCTGGAGGCTGGTCGCTTCTTTCCGTCCGCAGAGTCCATTTGAAACACTACTGCTAGCGATTGCCGCTGCTTACTAATGGCTGCCGTACGGATGTAACCCCAAGTAGACAAGAACGCGCATGACGTCACATTTTGTGAATTTTCATGCCAATTCGGACCCGACTCCTCCACACACAAGCCTACAGGCTGATAGAGGCAACCGTGGTGGACAGTCAAGGTGTCATTCTTTCTATTACATCATGGTTGGCTCATAAATGTACAAATGAAGACTCTATCTTAAAGATTTTTTTAAGTAAAAACCTACACATAGCCCCTTTAAAAAATGTTTTTATAAGTTGATTTGCATTTATCATTTTCCGACTGCTGTTTCCCCCTATTAGAACAGACCCGCGACTCTGTTTTTGGGACACGACCCACCACCAGTTGAAGTTCCTCCCATTGCTTACTCGTATGTGACGCCAAATTTGTTTCCAAGTTGGAGGTCTGTGGTGTGGGCTAAGCGGAAACTGTCCCTCATTAAACTGGCTCCTTTAAGAAACTCTGAGAGTTGAGAGCTGTCAATCCCTGAGAAGAACCCTGAGAGACGAACAGAGAAAAGAAACGACGCAAGACATTAATAATAAAATATGTATTATGCTCATCTATCCATCCATCCATCCATCCATCCACACTCCTGGGCAAAAAAAAAGGGGCCAAGCCAAAAATGTTATAATATTTACTGGTCATATAATGGTCTAAACCATTTTAATCACTGGTCAGGAAATTAACAAGAATTGCACAAATGCTTTAGAGAAAGCTTGGCACGGAATAGCCTTGCAGGAATGCTTTTTACAGGAAGAAGACTCAATGTTGTTCCACTCAATGTCAATGGCTTCAATCACTTTAGTTGAAAAATGTCTCCCAGTTCGTATGAGTTTAAAATGAGACCAAATATATACTATAGGGTTCAAATCTGGACTCTGACCAAGCCAAAAAATGAGTCTGATGGACTTTTTCTCAAGCCACTTCTTGGTTGTCTTTGCAACTTGGGCAGGAGCATTATCTTGTTGAAAAATAACATCTGATCATTCTTCTTTAGATAACAACTTTTCATTTGTGGGAAGCAAGCCATTCTGCAATTTACTCCTGTACTCCAAAGCATTAAACGACTTTTCAATGTCCCCACACAATGACAACTCTATCCATCCATCCATCCATCCATCCATTGAATTTATGCATTTAAATGTACATAATATAAAATGTCACTATTACATTAAGAGTGTATTACATATTTTGAATCTACACAAGATATAATTTTTTTTTAGAGTAAGTTCAAACAAAGCCAATAAAATGCACTTACCGACTACGCTGGCATCAAAGTTGTTTATAAAGTTCTCCAGGTCATGCTCACTTTGCAGAGGCACAGAATCAGGCCCGGCCTGTTTCTTCATATAGTTCACAATTCCATCTGTTTGGAAATGATACATCCACTATGACATCCCCAGCCAAGTTGCATTTGCATTCATGGCACAGATCATTTGAAATGATACAGGAAACCTTAAAACAAATACCAGCTGAGCGTGGACCATCATACGATGATGATTCCTGTCCGTTCCGAAATATTTTGAGTGTTGGGTATCCAGTAACCCCATAGTGCTTACAGGTCTCTGTATTAGAAGTACAGTCCACCTGAACAAAGAATGGCACACATCCTTAAACCATCTGAAGAACATGCAATCTCTACTTATAAACATTACTATATCATATGAGGCTCCTTAATATTGGATCATAAGATCAGTTTCCATTAAAGAAATGTTGCTGGTTCAAATCAAGTTGAGCTCTATCAACACAATAAAAATTGTGATCACCACAGAAAAAAAAAATGTCAAACTCATTTTGTAAAAGCTAAAATTGCATTTATAGTAAAGCACTAAATATGGAAGTGGATGGGGGAAATTTAACAGCGGTTTTAAAGATAGAAATGTGAAGCTTGCATTTTTGTTAAAATAATTATATTTATTCTCCAACACTAAAGGTGTTAATTGAGCTGTCTAAACAGGGAGGATGATTTTATGTGTGGCTGGCTTTTGCTCTTTCTGGTATCCTTGCACACATTGTGTGAAAGTCAGCGCTTTACATGGTCATGACTCATGACAGATGTTAAAAGATTTAAATAACTTTACACAAATAAGGTTAGGACACGAATCAGATTTAATGCTTTCAAAATTGTGTGTATTTGACCATTTATCCCAGGACAATCTCTTGCCCTACTGACTTCCATTGTAAGAGCACTGTAAACAGAAAACAGTTTTTGTTTTCACAAATTTTAAATAACTGTCTGTGTTAATTGGCAGCATGTCACATTTTAAAAAGAGCCTCATTTGTATTGAACTCAGAACATTCCTGTAATGTGATCCGAGCCAAGAGATCCAGATATTGTAATTTCCTTCTCCTACTGTATTCACCTTGGCTAAAGTTACTGTTCCCTTCAGTCGAGTAGCTGCACTTTCAAACTCTGGGGCGAGTTTCTTACAGTGGCCACACCTGAAAACAAAACAGAGCAGCTAAACAATCAAAAACTGCTGGAATTTATGGAATAAATGACAACAATGCTGCTGAATAATTAACTTGTACTAGAACAATGGATAAATGAATGGTGCTACTTATCCCAGGACTGAGGGTTTTCCTAAAACCTTAAAATGCTTTATGAACATGAACAAATGTTCTTATGAGAACCGAGCTTGCCTCGCAACTGTCAGCTGTAAGTAGGCACCATGGACAGCTCACACAATCACATTCAGCAGCACTGTAGGGCGAGTTGCAAATGCAAGCATGCACTCTTCTTATAATCATTTTACAATAAAATGTTCTTAATTGCATATTTGTATGTGTAAATGAAACATTATTCTCTCACCATGGTGCATAAAACTTCACCAGCAGTGTCTCTTGCTCGGGCGCGAGGTAATCGAAGTCCGCGTCTCTGAGCTCGAGCACATCACTGCGTCCACGCGCTGACGAGCTCAACATACAAACAACTAACACACATAAAACCCCGCGCAATAGACAATTATCCATTAAGGAAGGAATAGAGAATAATTCTCCAAATTCAGAAACCAAAACTGAACTAAAAAAAACGCTCTTGCCGGGCGATTTCCACCGATATGCCTGTGCCCGTGTGAGGGGCGGGATGAAAACACAATGTGTCACTGAAGTAGGAGATGATTGGCTAGTAATTCTCCAGCTGATGAGATGTAAAACGGTCATTGGTGTATTTCTCTGTCAATCAAAGCTCCTCCTGGGAGACTCGTATTACACTATTACAGTCAGAACAAAAAATAATAATAGTCGATTTCACGATAATAAATTTAATAATTTATTTTGTGATATTCCTTTACATAAAATTATACAATAAAAATTCATACAATTGTAATCATTTTTAACAGGAAACAATATGAATAATAATTAAGACACTTCACTGTCTGTCATTTTTTAAAAATAACATAAATAATAATTCCACAATATTTTTAATGTCTGCCTTGAGAAAATAGAACCATAAATGTATCTTGTCCCAAGGATAACACATTTCCTAATACTATATGGTGTTTCTTATGTTCAAGTAACACAAAAAAAGTGTTACATTGTTTCTGAATCAATTCAGGCAGCAGGTCCAGCCTGCACTCATTGTTCAAATTGTTCAACAAAATTTTAATCTCAGGCTGGTTCATCTTCTATTGTACCGGACTGGAGCTCTGTGTCCGATTGGTTTGTGTGATGTAACTTGCTGGATTTGCGGAACAACTTAATGAGGTCTTGAAAGCGCTCAAAAACCTAAAGAGAAAAAAGAAAAATGGGTTGATTTCCTAGATGTGATTTATAATCGTTGACCTGACTACAGCATACACTGGATTAGATGGATTACCGCACACTGCCAATGAAAATAAAGAACATATTTTGCCCCAAAATAAAATAAGAAATATTGGCATTAATAAAATGAAGTGAAATATGAATCAGACATGATCTTTGTGTGAAAAAGCATCTAAAAGTGAAAGAAAGAGCTCAAACCTCGTTGGCTGTTTTGTTGCCAAGTTGGGCTGCGATGGCATTAAACGTGGCTGGCTTGGCTCCTCTCCGCTGACAGGTGGTCAGTATTACATGGTCTGCCTCCCTTATCATCACACAAACAAAACACAGATACATTTATTTTATAACATGAATATACATCTAAATCTGTGTTAAAACTTCACACTTTTGTAGAGGTACACAGCTAAGTCAGCTACCTATAAAAAATAAACAGGGTTGAACAAGAATCAGAAATTAAGCATTAGCTTCCGTGCAAATAATTATTGTGGATTTGAATAGAATAGGCCACAATCCATAGGATGCTGAATTTAATAGACAGAGAGAGGAATTGCTGATCTGTAATTCAAAGAAACACTTGCACAAATTATGATTGTCCACCACAAGTGATAAAAATAATACATCTAGACTCATTTTGACAATTTACTCCATGAGACACTACTGTTCAAAGTTTGGCATCAGTACAATTTTTTTTTAATGTTTTTGAAAGTCTCTTATGCTCACCAAGGCTGCATTTATTTGATTAAAAATACTGTAAAATACAGTAATATTGTGAAATATTATTACGATTAAAAATAACATTTATATGTAAATGTATTTTAAAATGTTATTTATTCCTGTGATGGCAAAGCTGAATTTGAAGAAACTGAATTTGTCTGAAACTATATGATTCAATATTATTTTTTTGTGTGGATTCTTTGAATAGAACGTTCGAAATAATAGCATTTATTTGAAATAAAAATCTTTTGAAACATTATAAATGTTATAATATAAATACAATATAAATATCAAAATACATTGATTTATACACATTTCTATTAGTAGCAACACTGATTTTTAAAATAATCTAATGGATCCAAAACTGAGACCATATGTGATGAAAATACAGCACATGAATTTATCTATATTCTTAATCTCAAATCTAAATTTTAATTATACATCCTGTATGCTGCCTCTGTTTAAATTAAGGTCTTGAAGGGGCTTCCCAATTCAGTTCTGAATGGCACACAACCCTGATAACAGCAAAATGAAATGATCTACGATCAAAAAAAAGAAAGAAAAGAAAGTATTGTGTAATATCAGACATGAATGTTGCACAACAATTCTAACCTCGTCCAGAGGACTACTTTTTTCCCATTTGGTGTGCGGGAGATATTTTTGGCACAGACTGAGTTTCCTGTAGCATTAGATAAAGACTGTTGACTGTCCACTGAAGAAGCTTCAGCTGCCTTCTTTTCCAACTCTGCACTGTTTTTCTTGGCCTTGTTCTTTTTTATTTCTGCCTTCTGAGAGAGATGAGGATTATATATTGTGTTAGATAAAAAAAAAAAAAAACAGACATTACGGAGAATATAATTTGAGGCTTGAGATCTCTATAGACATTGAATATATAGGAAAAGTGACCTATAAGAGGAGATGGTCTTCTCATGTGGTACCTGAGCATGTTTGTCTCTTTTTCTTCTATGTTTAATGGCTGTTTTGACTGGCTCCACTTTTTTATCTGGTACGACAATTCTGATTGGCTGATAGGACTGGCTTTCTTCCAAGCCTTGATTCGTTTCCACATTGGACACATTGTCTGCATGATCCTCATCTTGCACTTGGGGGTATAGCTGTTTAAAAAATTCCCAGAATTCCTCTAGCAAGTCAGTGTGATCACGGAACAGCAATGTTATTTGAGTTTTTATCTGAAAATAAAAAGAAAGTGAAGACATGCTAAAATGCCACAAGAAGGTAGGACTGTTTGTCTGCTTGAGCCCTTTTTGGTACCTCTTTGAAGTCAGCAAGATCCTGTGATGGACCCCTTTGTAAAATATGCACCACCTTTCTGTAGAGAGCAGACTGCTCTCCAAAAGTACACTCCAGCTGGCGTAGAAACCGTCTGCTGCGCTCAAACGCCTGCTGTTCTGCCAGCTAAAGTGACACATTAAGAACAGCATCACATTTGTACCATGAAACTTTATGATCGTGTGCTATATTTAGCCATGCATATGAAAGTATTGTTGATTCTCCTCTACCATGCCACACTCTCTGGCTTGATCTGGATGCAGGAAAGCAGCAAAATCTTGAAGCAGTTCAGGCCAGTCGCTCAGCACAGGCTTGAGTCTCGTCAGCAGCTCGAGTGATGTGCGACTTTCTGGATCTTTCTCAAACTCAGACAGAACACACAGGAACTCGTCCACCTTCCCTGGCACCATCTGCAGCACCTCATACACCTGGAGACAGACAGACAGTTCTGGGACATTTTAGACTCAATATGTAAAATCGGACAGGCAGAAATACTGTGCAATTATTATTTGTGCACATATAAATATTATACGTGCATATCCAAATATTTCTTGCCTTCTCCAGGTAAGCTTGGGCAAAGGCAACATCTTTAGCGTCTCTGTAGGGATCGTCATCAGGTGCACCATTGTGAAGGACAAAAGGGGTCTCCTCAGCCATCTCCTCAGTGTGGGTACGATGGGCACCTGAGTGTGCCACATTTATTCAATTTAGATTAACAGGGACATTTGCACATATATTAGCATTTCTGTAAATGTGCCCGTTTACTATTACAGCTATTTTTTCCAGCTACAGAATGTGCTGAATTCATTTACATCTCGTTTTTGGTGCACTCCTATTTAATGACGGCACTGACCTGAAGGTTGATGGTTTAATTTAACATCATCTGGTATTCCTTCATTTTCAGATCTTGTCTTTGTGGCCATGTGTGAGAATTTCTTCACGGTTTCCTGGTGTTTAGAATGATAAGGTTAACTAAAATGAAAAAGTCTCATAAATACAAACTGCATAAATGGGAACTCCAGCTTTTACTGGATGAATCTCAAGAGAACACATCATGTTCATATTTTACCTCAAAAGAAAAAATAACACATTCTATTTTGCATAAAGAAAATGATGCCTATTTTTAGAATTTTTTAAGTTTTTGCAATGTAAAGGTCCTTGCACAGTCCGAAATTTTTGTATGCGTTTTTTTTTCGTATTCGACATTCGGTGGCTCTGAATTGTCAAAACACCTCTCAAAATGCTTGCTACGGATGTGAAAAACGCAGAAAATCGAGCCAAATCTGATTTTTTTTATGACGGACAAAGTTTCGGAGGCAGTGTGTAAATGTGATTGACACAACGTGAAGTCGTATTTATTTGTTAACGTGCGAAAATTACGCCCGTGAATTTCGGACTCGGTGTGCAAGGACCTTAACATGCATATTTATGACAATTTAAAACAATATTATATTACCATAATATAATTTATATTTAAAGTAAATAGTAAAACATAGTAACAGAAAATAATCACAATAAAAAAATTTTGGGGAGTGAAATATGACCAGGAAACATTATTGACAGGTTCTTAACACAGAGAGAGAGAGCGCATTGTAAGGTTTACAAAATTAGTATTCAGTATTAGTATTCAGTTCCTTAATGTCAGGAAAAACATAAAAATGATCTCACCTGAAGTTCTGAAACAAATGGAATGTCTGAAACATTGTCAGCTCCACCTGTTTCCTCCTCCCCAGTCTGCCTACTGGTACCATGTCTTTCTTTTGCTTTCTGCTCCTCTAGTTTCTCTCCCCTGCCCAAAACCATCACCATGTCGACATCTTCCCCATCGATGCTGGGCGTCGGGCTCCCAGAGGATTCAGAAAGTGTGAGAAACAGCTCTCTGGAGTCCTTCTCACCGTACTCTTCTACCTCATTCTCAACTCCATCCTCAATATTCAGCTCTTCTTCTGCTAATGCAGTTTCTTGTAAGCACTCTTGAATGGAGAACATCTGTGATGGTCCTCCTTGTGGCCCATCAGCGCTGTGGAAATTATCTGGAGTTCTCTTTTGCGTACTGTGTTTTATCTCTGTGCTATTCAGAGCTGATGAGTGTTTTAAGGTTTGATGGCCAAAGCTACTGCTTGCAAACACATAGCCTGGAGGGAGGAGAAGAAACCGATTAAGAGGTTTTTGATATACTTGAGCTAGACCACCAGAGTCCCTCGGTATAAGTTTAAGCAGTGTGCCACAGCGCTGACTTATATGATCTTTAGACAATGGGGCGTTCGTCTTTATGATTGGGGTGGGACATATTAAGGTGTTGGGAACTGGAGGCGATTGAAGAGTAAT